GCGGCCCTCATCTCCCACGACACCGGCATCAACCCTGACAAGGTCTCTGCCCGCTCCCTCCGTCCTGGTAGCGCCACAGCCCTTCTCTGCGCACATGTTGACTCGGATGCCATCCGCCTTCTCGGCCGCTGGAAGTCCGATGCCATGCTCCGCTACCTGTGCATCCAAGCCGCTGCTGCCACCCACCACTACTCCCAACAGATGTTGGACCATGGGGCGTACAACTTCCCGGGAGGCACCTACGATCGCCACCTCCTCCCGGCACAAGCGCCCCAACACTTCAACGAGATTCTTCACCACGAAGAACTCTACGAGGACTAACCTACCCCTAGTCCTCGGCCCCCTGTCCTTGCCTACACCTGGACAGGGGGTTACTTCTCCCACCCCGCTACGCTCCCTCCCTGTTCTGCCTTTGCCTTTTGGGTTGCACGACTCAATTCTGTCCCGTGGAACATCACATTTCCGGGACCCCCCTTCCGCCGTGTGGAATCCATCCGGGACTCCCCAGTCCCGAATGGTACCCCGGGGACTGGAGACGGTCAGCTCAGTAAATGGCCGAGTCTCTCCACTCACCTAATCCTCTACTAGTCGTGCCTAGCTGCTCTGGGCGAGCGCAGCTTGTCTGCGCTCGGTGTCGAGCAGCAGCACGCCTGGGGAACCCCCCGTCCGAGTTTCCACGCCCCACAGCGTGGAAACTTGAACCCTGATGGGTTCTCGCAACTATGACCCTAATCATGGTTGCTGAGAGGACCATCTCACAATTTGCAAAATTAATTCCCACGCTCCTCACCTACAACTCAAGTACATCTCTACATCTCGCAGGTCATCACCTGCGTTCCGGAATTGGATACCCACATGATGATGCACCGCATCAGCTCCTCAATGCCTCTCGAACAGGATTACCCTTAAGGCAACGACGCCCGTCCAAGACCACATTTGGCAAGATCGACAGCGGCAACCATGAATCACTAAAGCCAGCGACCTAGCCAAGATCAGCCATTGAACTCCCGATCGCAAGAAGGTTGTCTCTCTCTCAGCTCACAATTCTTCATTCAGCTGACGCTGAAAGCAAGAACCTAGATTAGATTAACCCACCTCTCCCTCCCTGGTTGCACGACTCAAGGCTGTCCCGTGGAACATCACATTCCTGGGACTCCCTTCCGCCGTGTGGGATCCATCCGGGACTCCCCAGTCCCGAATGGTACCCCGGGGACTGGAGACGGTCGGCTCAGTACATGGCCGAGTCTCTCCACTCACCTAATCCTCTACTAGTCGTGCCTATTAATAGCTGCTCTGGGCGAGGGCAGCTTGTCTGCGCTCGAATCATGGACTTGGCCATGCTTGGAGTTGTGAAACGAGGAAAGTCTCATACAATGTACGAACGCCTGAGCTTCTGGCTTGCAGTGGTGTCTTCCACAGCGGGTCAGGCCATTGCCAGCAGTCTGCAATTCAATGCTCAAATGACATTCTTCGCAAGCCGAGCCGATCCAGCCATTGGAGGGTCGTACATGACTCTCCTGAACACGGCAGCCAACTTGGGAGGAACTTGGCCTTCTTCCTTTGTCATGTGGCTTGTTGGAGTCTTGACCGAAGAGGAGCATTGTCACTTTGACAAGAAAACTAAGAGCAACATTTGTGTTGGCAGAAACAGAGATCCTTACGTTGGGATGCAAGTTGGCTCCACTCTGCATGGCCTCCTTTGGATTTTCTTCTTTCAACAACACGTCTATGGCCTTGCCAAGCTCCCAGATGACGCTTGGAGAACGCACCTGCTGGATGATGACAGTTAAAGTGGAGAAGATGTTGAATCGCCCAGACAAGACGGGCTACGGAAGCGTTTTGCAAAGCACGAGTAGCGACCGAGAGGTGCATGGAGTGACAGTCAGAATGCAAGGAAACTGATTGTTAATAGCAAGTCCCTCTGTTCCTACCGCTCATACAGTCAGGGGCAAATACTGTTGACAATATTGTGCAGCAATTTTTGAATTTTCGTGAATGTGTAGGTGGGTCCAGCATTACCGGCACGGCCCTGCACAGCTAAAAGCAAGAGGCTAATGAAGTGCATTGGTGCTAGTGAGCCTTGGATGGCCCAACGCAGCTCCCTAGCCCTGAATACAAGCTAAGTTAATACTTGTCAAATCGGACGTCTTCCAGCAACATGCGCTAGTCCTTTCAGTGCGCAGTTGAAGCAAGGCAAGAAGCCAGGTCCTGTGGGCTACTAGCTACCTGTAGCTACCGCCAGAGATTGCGCATCAGTTCATTTACGGCTGCTTTGGTGTCTTTTGAAATTGAGTAACCAAATACGGTTTGGTCGATTGATTGTTTCGCTGAAGGGTTTCGCTGAAGGGTTTCGCAATCTAAAGACTATCAATGCTGTAAATTGTCTAGCTACTAGGTTGATTAGCGGTCTAACGCTAGCTAGCGCTCCCGTGAAATTTTTGAAATCCATATATAGAGTGTCATTTTGGCAAAACTAATCACCAATTACCAAATGACGTCCTTGCATGCAGTGAATTGTTGTTTACGTAGGTGCCATGAAACACAGATCCGTCATCAGCAAATCACTACTGTGGAAGATAGAAGAATAGGTTTTTGTTGGAGTGGATTGTCAGCTTCTTTACTCTCCCAGGTCAAGAGGGGCGCGTTGGAAAAGGTTAAAAACCTGCGTCAGACTGGATCCAACAACCACAATCAGGAAGAAAATGATCAAAGCCTTGGAGACAGGGAATTCATCTTCGTGGTCAGCAGCCTTGCCAATGGGTACATTCCCACGCTTTGTGATGTTCTTATCGAACTGCTTATTCCTGTTTCGAATGGCACGAGGGGCTGGCTGTTATCAGGATAAGCGAAAACAATCAATCAGTAAGATTAGGAATAGGACTCCGGTACAAAGTATTGCTGGCACAAACAATACAGCCACCCCGCCAATGCCAGCAACAAAATAGAGGGCTTCTCGATCGAAAAAACCGACTTGGAGGGATAACATTTCAACCTTCATCTATTTTGCGGGGCTCATCCAAGGCACTGATTCAACAAAGATATCCAATTGATCGACTCTCTACATACCATTGTTGCTTTTCTCTATTCCTTGCTTGGCTCTTGGCTGTTCCTATTGTGGATGCGTTGGTCAAGATCGAAACTTTACAAAGTTTTTGTGCTTGTGACTCCAAGGTCACTCGATCCTCTTGTGCGGTTGGGATTTCATGACCGTTAGCTTTATAATGTATCTGAGCTGCATTGGCATACATACATTGAACGATTCATGGAATCTTGGTTGCTCTGACCGGGTGGGTCTTGCAGTTCAGGGAGAAGACCACCAAGACTTAGTGTTGACCACAGTATTGATGCTTTTCGGCATGAGCGGGTCCCTCCTCCCTTCCGGTCGGGGACGGGTCCGATCCCTGGGTCCGCCAATTTGCAATGGGAGCATGCAGCCGGGACCACTACAACAAGGAGACCGTGACGACAAAGCACCAGTACAAGTAGACTAGCTAGTGCAGGATTGTAATGAAATGCAAGTCTTTAACGTTTAGTGTGAATCTCTCTCTGGAGTGTATGAGTTTCTGTATCGGTTGTTTGGTTGTTGTTCTATGTGTAACTTTTCTTGTATAAGGAGTGAACTGTCACTTCCTTCATCTTTTTCTTCTATCTACTGCAAAGGGCACACGCGTGTCCCAGTAGATCTACCTATATTCTTGTAGGTTCCTTCCCTGCAAGCAACCAGCCAGGAACGGACTTGCACAAATGAGGAGACGTGGACGGCCGGGAGAGGAACTCATCACAGCAGCGTGTAGGCACTCACCTGTTGTTGGTAATGTTGACTGCCATGAGCCATGATGGCAGCCGGGTTGTAATACTGTCGCCAATTATTGTAAGCCATGGACTGCTGGTGCGCGGAAAACCTGCGTTCCACATCCAAAAGATCCTGCTGTACCGAAGTCACTTCTGGATTATCATCTCCCAAGCCCGCCTTGTGGAAGATTTGCAACGCATCCGTGTAGGCCTCCATTGCGTCTTGATACTGCAATGCTTCATTGTACACGTTGGCAATGGCAACGCAAGCTCGTGCCACTTGAATGTGATTGGGCCCCAGCAGTTGTTCCTGTAACAACTTGGCATCCCAGAAGCATTGAATAGCTCCGGACCAATCTTGAGCCGCGTGAAGGACATTCCCAATGTTATGCAATGTCGTCGCCACTTCGACATGTTCCCTAGTACCATAATGTTTGGCTCTCATCTCGAGCGCTTTCTCAAGTATTTCAATGGCCGAATCGTATCGTCCTAGTTTGCCCAATGCAATACCGATATTGTTGCAAGTGTTTGCAACGTCCGGGTGTGTCTCCCCGAGTACTTGTGTTCGAATCACCAGAGCATTCTCCCAGCAAGCGAGTGCCTTTTCCCAGGATCCCTTCTTTGCCTTGTGCAAGCCCTTGGCATTCCATCCATTACCAATGGCGATGCTTCGCTTTCGGAATGGTGACATCTTTGCTGCGGCCGGTGGTGTGGCCGACTTGGCATTTGTCGCTTGTTGTGGTGATTGAGGTGTCGCATCGGCTGTGCTTTCCGTTGTTGTCGTGACATTGGTGGACGAGATACTCTGCTTCACCTCCTCCTCAGACTCTTCTTTGGTTGTTGAAGTAGTAGTGTCCACAGTGGAAGATGGTGGAGTCTGTTCTGGAGGATATAGCTGTCGACAAATGTTGCTATCGTCTACACTGCATGCACTTTTATCATCATATCGAAGAGTGGGAAGATTAATGGCGCTCCTACTGGTCGGAGGGGATTCAGTCCTCGCCTTTGGCTGATGCTGCAGCATTGGAGACGACATTACTCGGCCTTTCTTCTTGGTGGGTGTCTGTAGCATCTGCCTTGCTAATTCGAGGTCTCTTGGATTGATCTCTTCCAGCCAATCCATCACAAAGAAAGGTTTGGGGAATATAGCCGTACTTGCCGTTGATTGCTTGTCGGATGTCACCGTGGCAGCTCCAGAGGGGAGCAGTGCCACTTGCGAGGACGAGTGGACCATTGCGACAGAAGCAGGGCAAGAGCTTGCAGCATTGGTGGCAGTGGAGGACGGAGTGGTCACCACCGACGTGGGGCTTAACGTCGCTTCGGGCATCTTGAGCATTGTCCAATGGATCAGTCCGATCTTTCGATGGTACTAGCTAGCTAGTAGAATACCCCTGTCGGCTGTACTTGTATATTTGTCAAGTAACACCAAGGATGCTGGGCGATCACTTAGAGCCATGCAAGCTATCAGACAGATAGCTCTAGCTAGTGCCAAGTGCCGATGATTTTATTTTCGCTTCGGGCAGACCAGTGGACACGCGATAACCCATAGATCAAAGCAGCGGCGGCAGCAGTAGGACCGATTGGAGGCAATCACACTATTTCCCCTTTGGAGCGTTTAATGCTCCACTGGACCAGCACAGCATCAACTTCTATTTTAATTTTTGAAGTCTTGTATACGATAGTTCAATTGCGGCAGCTGGGGCGTTGGTGTCTTTGGCGCACTACTACAAGACAAATCCAGAAGCAACAGGTGCCCGTCGGCGTTGAGCGATGGTAGCTGCGATGAGGATTTTCGATGTCATCGGCTAATATTGTAGCTGTTGCTAAGCATCGTTTCGCCTCGTCACGGTATGTGGCCCTTGCTTACTTTCTGTGGTCGACTCCGAGGCTTTTGTCCCGGTCCTCGGCCAGCTTTGGGTGCGCTCGGTGATCGTCCCGCTCTGTCAAACGGTACGATAGAGTTAGTGTTTGGAACGTGCAGCTGTTGGGCCAGATTGCAGCGTCCAAGCTGTTTTGGTGGGTGCGGCGGTTGGGATTTCATTTCTTTCTCTTGGTGGCTCTCTTGGTCTGTGGAAAGTTGTGACTGCAAAGCCCACCACCTATTCCTTGTTGAGGGCGGTCTAGCTAGACCTAGCGTAGGAAAGCTATCTACTGAAGCCGACAGAGGACAGGCGGGAAAAAAGGCAAAATTTGGGACTGTAGCTGGGTTCCTTTGATTGTTTTTATCCAGCCAGTAGCTACTAGGGCCATGGCCAGTAATGGGTCCAGAAGTTTACATCTCGTTGAGAAGTTGGAATTGGTCATTGGATTGGGGTCTGGGTTGGTAACTGAAGTGATGGATCCGGGGCATGTGTTGGCTCTTGACCGGAATTGTTTGAAATTGGTGCGTCCAAGCTTGGTGGTCCAGGTGTGGAACATGGAGTGGGGCCTGGAGATGCGGCCGATCCTGTTTTGGGGGCGGAGTAGGTCCAGGGGTAACATAGCTACCGTACTGATCAGGTTAGTATTCATGTCTGGTATTCTTGGTTTAGGTGGATTGCAAAGGGTGTGCAGGTGGGTGTAGCCCTGTAGTCCTGGGGTGGGGCCAGTGGTAGAGTTGTTCCTGGTTTGGGGCCTGCAGTGGGGCCTGGACTTAGCTTCCAGCCCTTGCTACTCTAGCTACTAGCTACATGTACAGATTATCACCTCTCTTTTGCTAGAATCCGATGGTCTGGAGGGTCTGGAGGGACGACTCTGGATTGGGGTCTCGGCGTGCGCTCTAACCGTCTAACGGATGGCGGTTGTATATCGGTACCGGTTGTTGACGTCGATAACCGGTGAAATTGAGACGCTCGATACGATGTTAAATATCTTGTCGTGGGGTCTGTGGTTACGTTAAATAGGGTTCGCGTTATCTTGTCGTGAAGTGGTCATGGGTACCAGTGAAATAGGGTTCGCGTTATCTTGTTAGGTTCGTCTTACGACTTGCTAGGCTGTTTGATGACCGAGTTTGTTCACAATATAATTCCTATCTCTGACTCTCTTTCATCTGTCTCTGAGTTCGACCATGGCTAACACTTTGGATGTCATCAATGCCACCGGGCAAAGTTCATCTAAGAAGCACATTTTTAGGTAGTTGTTGAATCCTCATGCATGGATGTTCCCATACTTAACCTTTTGGTTGAGAATCCGCAACCAAATTTCTTCTGGATTTGAGCCATTTCTTGTAATCTGGACTGCAGGTTCTCTATTGGTACCATCCATGGTTCTAGATTGACAACATACCTTTCTCCTCAATATGGAACTGTCTTTTTTGACCTCCTCTTTTCTTTCTCCTACCCCCAGGCACACAACCTAAACCTCCAGGTCTGGAACCAAAGCTGCTTCCCAATCCACAAGGAAAAGGTTCCAAGAACACTGTGGCGCCAATTTGGATGTAGGAGAAGCCACTATTGGATGGTTGTTCTTTGTTCTGTAAGGGGAGAAGCATCTATCGGTGAGCTGATAAGCCCTTGATATGGATGTGGCGATGCTGCTGTGTGGCAAGGTGGACTTGGATTTATAAGGAGGGCAAGCTGTTTTGGGAAGTGTCATTGGAGAGTACTCTCTGTACACACTAAAATATTCAAACAGACTTCACGGAACAGCCTGCCCGGCAACTATCTTCTTCGAAAAAGCACTCGTCACACATTCAACCAACAACAGCACCAACACAACACGACAATGGTGGCTGGAGGAGCGGCCGATCGCTGCTACTACTACGCAGTATTACGGGTAAGTCTATTATCAAGTGTGTTATTATTGAAGGCACAGTACTGACATCTCTCCCTCATTGTATTCCTATGGTAAACAGGAGGTAAATCCAAGCTTGGCCGACAACAGTGGTACTGCCTACAGCGGTAGGGGGAGTTCTTTATTCAATCGATCAATCGATCGATCGATCGGTGGTAAGCCTCTTATCAAGAGTGTGATTGAAGGTGCAGATTTGAAAGCCATCCCTCATTTGTTTCTATGGACCATGGGCAGGCAGTCAGTTCTCGGCCATCAACAGGTGAGTTGTTTTTTAAATTATTCGGCTCGATCAATCGTTGCACCTCTATTATCTCTGGTACTAGTATCCAAACCTCACTCAAGCCGACCGTCTGTAGATTGGAAAACCATCCCTCATTGAATCCTATGGACTATGGGATGGCAGTCAGTTCTCGGCCATGACGGCCAAGTTGGAGAAAATTAAAAACAATGGTAAGTCGCCGGTTTTCTTGAGCAACCATCGAGAAGAGAATCTCACTGCTATTCTTACTTTCTCTTGGGCCGCTCCTGACTGCCGGTGAATTACCATTGTCGAGGTCGAACGAACGATTGATCGCTCCGGATAACAGGAGGAGAGGCTACCGCTACGGAGCACGGAGAAGGCTGTTAACTCAAGCCCTATCAGCAGCCTGAACGGAGAAAAACGTCGTCGAGTCATTGAATGGCAACAAAAGGAGACTACACGACAACTCGAATACACAGAGGAGAGTGGATCCTCCCATTGGATTCATCCCTCCAGTGATATTTCCTAGTGATTTGGTGGTGATTCCTGTGTCGGCACCCATTTCCCTGTATGCACAAGTCCTGGACTTGGTGAATTTCGTGAGTTGTTGTCGAGGACTTGGTGTTGGTGGAGTACATCTTACCAATCTAGATAGCAAGTAATGAATTAGATAGCAAGTTTATGAATTGGCAACCAAAGAAACCATTAGGAACCTTGCTTTTAGACCTAGACATTGCTTCCCAATCTGGAACTGAGAGAGGTTCCCAATCCACAACCATGTGGAGGTTGCCAAAATGGACCTTGCCTTGCCTAATTGGAACCTAGCACTTGGTTGGGAAGATGTGGTTGGGATGTGCTTCCCAAACTAGACCAGAGGTTCCCAATTCAGGAACTACCTACAATTGCGCTTCTTAGATGTTGTATTGTTTGTTTCGAGCCGTTCCACAATGGCGACGGTGTTGCCGTTTTTCATTGCAACCACTTCATCTGTGGTGAATGCCACGACAACTTGATGGCTGTGCGAGTTACGGAAACGGACATGGATGGAGAAGACATCTTGATGGAGGGCAAGAACGGGGATGGGTGTCCAGCCTGTAGGGGGGATGATGAGGTTGTTACCGTCTACCAGGCTCAGATCTACTGCCACGGAACAGAAGAGGACCCTGTTGTTATCGATTAAACTATAGTATCCATGGTAACTTTCCACTCCACGTTAGGGTTACGGATACTCGGAACATTAGGTTACGGATACTCGGAACATTAGGTTACGGATACTCGGAACATTAGGTTACGGATACTCGGAACATACTCGGAACATTAGGTTACGGATACTCGGAACAGTCATAAAAGACAATCATGGGAAAAGAGACGTGTGCATGCAAGGAGAAGAAGGTGGTGGTAGGGTATATGTTGTTCGTAAAAGAGCATTATGATGAAGTTAAACGGGAGGATCCTGATCTTTCGTTTGGAGAAATTGGCAGAGTATTAGGAGAGAGATGGAGGTCTCTCTCGGATTGCCAGAGGCAAGAGTACTATTAGAGTCTAATCAATAGGGAGAATCTGGTTAACACCATCCTTCTCGATATATTCAACAATAGTGTACCCGTAGTTAGGAACGAAGGACCTATCGCCTACAATGATCCCTCCGTTATACAGATCATCCTCATCGCATTGAGCCATATGATGCCCTGGCTGAGGGTTGTTGTCGTGTATCTTACCGCAATAAGGGCATTTGATCTTGCTATCTCCTTGTCGTCTCAGCGCAATAGGGATACCGTAGTACCTTTGTAAATAACCCCGCATATCTTCCAGACGCATGGGAACCCCGTCAGCTACAGCATAATCGTTCGTCATGGTAGATATATTGTCTCACTTATCGAGAAAGAACTGTAGTTTCAAAATGTTTATTGTGACTAGTTTGTGTGCTACCCTCACAGATTACGTGACAATGGTGGGGTTTGTGCGGCGGGAATTTGTAACGGAAGCATTCATATGCTATAACCATAGGCGAGGCTTATTGCAGCTGTGCTGTCTGATCCACGAAGATGAAGAAGTGGATGTCAGGAGCTGGTTTCAAGACTACACTGTTCAACGATTCGATGATGATATTTCAGAACTGGACCAGCCATTGTCTATTGAGGGTTGTATGCTGATCGGCATGTCAGACTCTAGCCTGGTGCATACCAAGAATTTGAAGAACACAAGGCTTCGCCTGTGTGAGCGTCTAGGTATATCAATCCCAGTAACATCGGCAGTCGTCGAGTCCTAGATTTTAATAATATTAAAATGTCCTAGATTTTTAATAATATTAAAATCTATCACCTGACGTCATGTATTGGGTAAAACTATTAGGGTTCGTGTAGGGAAAAAAACGAGGAGACTCCGCTAGCGAAACCGCCGTGGAGGACCGCGTTAGCGAAACCACCGTGGAGTGGAGTGGTTAACGTGGGTCGAAACCGAACTACGTTAAGGTCGTACGAAACTCGTGAAACCGACAAAGAAAAAGGATCACAACTCGACAAGTCAACTCGACAAGTCTCAAACTAGCGCTATCATGCCTTTCACCCTCGTCTACGTTAGCGGTCGTTATCTGATGAACATCACCTTCGATGATCGGGCTCAAAGCGCGCGTTGGATCGATCAGGTGGAACGGATCAAGACTTCTATGGGAGCGTCTGAAAGTGGTCGTGTGCGTTACTATCAAGCTTGGCTTGATCTTGTTGATGCTTTTATTGGCAACTGGGGCGAGGACTTGCTTCCCCGTGATATCAAGGATGCCGTGAATGATGTTGAGGTTAACATCGGAGTCCAGGCGACTGCTTGGGGTGATGCCTACCAGCGCCGAGTTCGTCCTTGGAATCAGGTGTGAGGCTTTTAAGACAGAGCTTTGGTTTTAAGATTTATTCTATCTAGTTTAAGACCTATAATTTGGACAGAAAATTAAAATAAAAAATATTAAAATATCTAATTTTTACGTTTTTTTTATTCCGTCGAATTAGATATTTTGTTATGTCAATTAAATGTGGCTGTAATCCAGTGGCATTCACCTTTGGCATGTTTTGTAAGTCGGTTCTGCCTGTGCGACAGTACCAATAGAATTTAGGGACGTCTTCGGCTTTCATTCTTTGTTTATGGAAGTGCGTCGCTTTTCTTATTTTTTCTCCATGGTCAGGAGCTTTTGCGTTACCGTTAGGTTTTCTTTGCATACATCGTCGAACCCCGAATCGAACAAGTTCTGGATCGACGCTCCTTGTTGGATTAAACCTACCATGGTTTTGATTCTATCGCGGAAACACACCGAATGGACGTCTTCACCGTACTCTTCAAAGGATGGTGCTGCCTGAATTTCAAATAGGACCGACTTGAAAGAGGTGCAGCCTTTGAGGAATACATTACCGATTAAGCGGTGCATAGGTGGGATACGCTTACGGTTGCTAGTTACAATGTATCCTTGGACGAAATGGTTGCCGACGTCGTCCTTACATACGGCAAAAGTGATATAGACTATGATGCTATGCGAGATCAGACCTGAAAGGTGATCGATTAGCGTCTGAGTGAAAGTGGGTGCGGTGAACTCCCATCGTGCATATTTTCTCCTTCTATCAACAAGTCTTCTTTCAATCGATGGGGGCATACTGAAAGACTATGGTTAACTTATGATGGTTTAATGGGGTTGAGAGTGTCAGGTTCCTATCGATCGGTGTCAAGTTCATACCGGTGTCAAGTTCATACCGGTGTCAAGTTCATACCGGTGTCAAGTTCACAGAATAGACGAATAGAATAGACGAATAGAATAGACGAATAGAATAGACGAATAGAATAGACGAATAGACGAATAGACGAATGGAAAAGACGAATAGACTAAAATAGACTAAAATAGACTAAAATAGACTAAAATAGACTAATAGACGGATGGATGAATGAGAAGGAAGGGATAGAAGTTTGGGTACGCTCAGTTGCCGCGTGGGCTTTAGTTTGTAAGGGCTCCATGGTCTTCTGAGATAGGGTTAGGGAAGGGGTCAATGCCGGGGACCGGGGGACGGCCAGCAAATTGGCGCTTTGAGTACCGGATGTTAACTCTTCAGCTTGATTCCACTTAACGCCGGTCCCCCGGTCCCCCGATTTTGGGATTTACTATAGAAAAAACAGTACGGGGACCATGGAGACCCGAGGGGGTAATAATAGTTTCGACATATACGCCTCTAGATGCACATTTGATCGGTGCATCTTTTGTCGGTATGTCTCACGCGCTACGCTTGACCCCCCTCGGGTCTCCTGGTCCTTCTCACATTTCAGGATGGGATATCGTTACACGGAAACACTTGTTTGTGAATTCCACAACGATGATGCTACCAGACTTAAGCATTACAATGACATCAAATACACAAGCTTGGTGCTTTTCAACAAGCTAGTAGAGGCGTTGCGGGAGATGCAACGATGTTGTGGTATGAACTTTTCGTGGATTGACGCGGTTTTGGAGGCGTCGGAGATTATTGAAGAGACTACATTGATGAGAGAACAGATGGGAGGGGATGAAACTAGATACAAACAGGACTTGTACATCTGGCATGGCAAGATGATGTATCGTATCCCTAACAAGGTGGACACTTTCGTGCAGTTCCGAAAGAAGAAGAGCTGTAAGGTGAAGGACTACGCTATTGAAGTGGTTACAAAGATGTACCGACTTGATCAAGTCAATCGGAAGGAGATGCTGGAGGAGATCGCAAAATGTCCGAACCCTAGCTATTAACCCTAGTCTAGCTAGTTCAACTCTGACGTTTTAATTAATTGCAAAGTGCGCTTCGCTATGAGCGCCTACCGGCTTTGGCCTACCGCCGGTTAAAAAATGTTTAAAAATGTTACTCGTTTTTTAGAGTTCGTTGACACAACCGTGGACTGAGAAACCACCGTGGAGTGGAGTGGTTAACGTGGGTCGAAACCGAACCACGTTGAGGTCGTACGAAATTGATGGAACCGACACAGGAACAGAGCCACAACTCGAGCAAGAGAACATCAATCAGAGATTTCAATACCAACGATTTCAATACCAACCATGGCTAATATTCCCTACCACGGAATCATCATTCATGAAGACATTGAGTGTAATTTGAACCTTGTGATGTCTAAGCATCTCAGCACCGCGGTGAAGGTTGAGTTCCATCTCGTTGGCGAGGGCGAGGGTGATTTCTTGCATGTGAAATGGTTTAACGGAGAAGGTCAGGTCTGTGAAAACTACTTCAACGATTTTGAAAACCGATGGCTACGCAGCCAATTCATGACGGCTTTGACGGCTTTGTTTCACTTTCCTTTCGAGGTTATTAACCACGACATGGATGATGTTGGCGGCGGCGGTGCCGATGGCGATGACGATGGCGGTGACGATGATACCGATGATGATACGATCGATTTCTCCGATGGTGCGATGAATTTGGATGATATCGATACCGATGATGCTGATACCGATGAAGCCGAGTGAGGGGTGGTCTAGGAGAGTGGTCTATCTAGAACTTAAACTAATGGATGGTCACGAGAAGAAACTTCGCCAATCTTCTGGGGTGTTCTCTGGTAGCATTCCCGTCTTCTCAAGTTCACGGAATTTAGGATTTTTCAATTTTCTCTCTAGTTTGTTGTGCGTGATGAACATGTCTTTCTCAAACTGGAGGGTTCGTCGTATCTGGTCTTCTGCTGGTTTTGCAAGCCTTCTGATCTCTTCTTTGTTTGTGACGAGGGGAAAGTCGTCTGCATGCATCAGGACGAATCTTACCGCGCGTTTCATTGAGCCAAACTTGTTAATGAGTGCTCTTCTGTCGGTTTTCGGTAGTTCATCCCAGGAACCGCTTCTCTGATCCAATGCATAACCTGCGCGGTAATCTTCAGCAAAGAACGAAGTGGTTAGTTCTGTCAGAGACGGTGGCTTTCCTTCTGCGATGATTGAGAACTTGATGACGCCTTTTCGTTTGTGTTCACGTTTTGGTTCCGGGGTTTCTCCTACGAGATGTCTCTCAAGTCGTTGGATTGATTTATTCATGGTGCATAATTGCCCTACGACGAAAGTGTTCGTGATTCTGCTCTCGTTCTGAATTGCATGGCGCATGTCGTTGACTTTATGTTCGAGGCTTTGGAGTCTCATGTGACTTGCTTGGGCTAATGAGGCGAGGGCATTGAAGTGGTCGACGAGGCAACGGGGGTCGACGAGGATTTGATTCGCATCCCCACCGTATAAGGAAAGAGTTTCGATTGGGAGACCTGGTGCGTTGCGGGCTAGGAAGGCTTTCCGGGCTTCGGTGGTCCAGGCATCTAGGAAGTCTTCGCATCAACTTTCACCAGTACTTGATGGATGCGGCAGAGGAAAGGGTTATCTCGGACGGTGGAACTCGTGAAACCTGGGGATACATCATCTTCGACGAGTTTTGCAAGTGGGTGACATTCGAGGATTTCACAGAATTGGTTGTAACGTAAAAGCAAGGTCATGACTAACAGTTCTCGTACTTGGGGGTTCCAGACTTTCTTGACATCGTCTTCAAACAGTGCGTTGGTGAATCTTTTCAATACATCGATGTCTGTTTCGATGTCGTCGAAGGTTGGGGGTTGCCCCCCGAAGATCGTGTCACTGTGGAACTTGGCTGTCCACCCTGCCAGAGTTTTACCGGCTTGATGTGACATCTTCAGAGATCCATTGATGTAATCGAACACCGAATGGAGTCCGTTGACCGACCAACCGGTTCGGAATATCCCGGCCATGCCGTTCAAAGCAAGACATTCTGCCATGTCTTGATTAGAGCCTTTCCGATTGGAATGAGAGGATAGTTCTTCGTTGATCTCATCGGCTAACACCTCGAAAGTATTACGGACTTGGTCGAAAAGGTTGGTGAAGGCTTTGGAGACACCACTGTCAGATTTACCTGACGTTGTCTTCAACGCGGCTTTGGAGAACATTGGAAAGGTGTATTCATTGTTGCAACCATTCAGTACTAACATGTGAAGGAGAGAGAAGTAGAAATCTTCGAGAAGACCGTCTCTGTGAGGGTAGATGGAGGGTCTGGGGTTTATTGTCCTTTTGACGCTGACAATAGGTTGTGATGACTGGATAACGGTAGACTTGTTCATTCACTTCAGTGACATTCGTATCTTTTGCTTTTATTAGGGATACCTCACTGCCACGTCCACAGCAGTGATAGCTGGCATTCAAGAGATGCCAGAACTCGGCGTATTGTGTGTTTTCAACCAGATACACGCGGTCGCCAATGCTTCTCGGTCCCGGCGTGTGCTGGTCGCCTTCTCTTCTGTTGTTCGTTTGCCGGTGGCACGGTTGGATTCACGGTAAAATCCTCTTAGCTTCAGTAACAGTTGCTTCCAATGCGTTTGTTGAAAGATGGTGATTGCGGTTTCGGTTCTGAATGCGTCAACAAAGTAAGTTTTGACTCCTGAACAGTATTGTTCTGATGTGCTTGCTGCAAGCTTTGTCTTGTTGCCCATGAAGAAGATGAAATTTCCGAATAGAGCGTCCCAGAATTCAAAGATGGCTTTGGGGGTTGACCTGGACGGAATACCGTCGTCGGGAATGGTGGTGCCATCCTCCACCACTTCGATTTTAAGTTGTAGGCAGTATCCTTTGAGGAAGCGGTTGAAATAATTGAAGGCTTTCTTCTGTCTGGAAGCTGATGAAGTAAAGAGGCAGGTTAAGGCATGGACAGTGAAGACGGCCTCATCATCGTCTTCATCGGTCGGCATCGTTGGAATGATTGCGATTAATGAGGTGATGAATGGTGTGATCTTTCGATGGTATGATCTTTCAATGGTACAAGGGTGACTCATTCGATGGGCATCTTACTTGGCGTGCGTTTCTAATCTTGCTTGGTTGCAAAGGGTGACTCGTTCGACGGGCGTCTCACTCGGTACGCGTTCGAGCGTTGAAAATGCTCGTTTTGTGGAGGGGCGTGCGTTCGGTTTCGAGGTCTAGCATCGTCTGGCAAAGGGGGTTGGAGTCTAGCAAATTTTTGGTAAAGTAGTATCCATGGAGTCTTGAAACCTTTTCAGGCCACAAACACAAAACAGGATGTCCCCCAAGTTTCTTCGAAAGCTTTGGAAAGCTTGACCTAATTTGAGCTAGCTAGCAAGATTAATGTACTAGTATCTAACAGCAGGGCCAACAATATATTTGGCGCACCCACGGAGAGGAGGACCTTTTGGATTCCATTCCTCAGGATTCACGCCCAATTCTTTTTACGTGCATTACTAGTATTTCGAGATAGCACAAGACGCAGGCAACTCCTTGCCATGTCCACAAAGTCATTTGCTTGGCTCATGTGTCGAGTGGGATGCTACTTTTTTGGGTGCTTTGGTTCTTGTCGTTGGTGTTGTTGTTGCTTTCCTCGTCATCAGAGTACGGTGTTTCGCGCCCTTCATCACTGTCAAAACTGCCCTCGATCTGATTGTCTTGATTCCAATCTTCCTCCTGAGACGCATCACTGACTCGGTCGGTACCACTATTATTGCTGTCTTTTGTATCCTTATTGTCGTGATCAACAATAATTTGATTGCCAGTGTCATCCACACCCAACACCACGGCCCAGTCATCGACATCGAGTGCCGCAGAAGCAGCTAGCTCGTCCACGTCAATGTCGACATCGATGGATCTCTTGTAGGGATTGTTGTTGTTTTCTTCATTTGTGGCAACTTTATCTGGAGCCGCCGCCAACTCTTGGAGGTCCATTTCATGGTTTGCAGCCGAGTCCGTTGGCTGATCATTATTGTCACCTGTATCTATTATTTTGTCGCTTTTTGTTTGAGAAATATTTGGCTCTTGAAGGGCAGCATTTTCCGAAACAATAGTATCAGTTGCATCCTCTGTCAATTCTGGTTTGGCAACAGTTGTCTTGGCAGTATTTTCTTCCATTTCATGTGTGGCGATATTCTGCGCAGTGGTTTCTTCCGAGTCCGTGCCTACATGTATTGCTGTTGTTGTTCTTTCCACCTGGATATCTTCTATTAGGGTACCGGTAGGGGTGTTAGGGGGAGCTGTCGTGTCCTCCTTGGAAAGTGTATTGTCTTGTGTTGGAGCTGCCATTTCTTTGGATCCATTCTCCTTCCGCGTGGCTTCAGTCTTGCTTTTACTATCTGAGCAAGCTGCTGCTGCTGACATTCCAACATCTTGACTACTAGTACTATTATTTTTGGGACTTTGATTGGAGATGACTTGGGTGACCCCGGTATCGGCGCTGGCCACGGATATTGACTTGATTGGTTCTTGTTCTTTCTCGTGCGAAGGGATCAAGTGGGAAATGGACTTGAGGCGAGGAAGCATGTCATCCGGCTCCACGGTAACATCGTCCTGGACCTGAATCTCAAAGGAACGACGTTTAGGTGCTGGCGGATCTCGGGGTTTACGACGGGGAGACATGATGATGTTGGTGGTGGTTCTGTGTTGGTGGACTGTTGGTTGTCTTGGTATAATGATGAGGATGCTTCTTGCTGTCGGAAGGAAGCGAACTGCGACTTCCACGTTTTGTTCTGGATCGTGGAGAAAAGATATTTGCGCCAGCGATCTCCCACAAGCAAGAACAAAGAAGCAACGGGTGTGTCGACGGTTGGATCAATTGCAATACATCGTAGCCATCACCGACGGCGAATCTTTTTCTTGATGGCCTCCATGGTCCATGGCATTGGTTTGATACGACTGTACAGCAGCCTCAAAAAGTACCAAGCCAAGAACAAGCAAGCAAGGAAGCAAGCTAGAAAGAGGAAGGATGCCCACAAGAATAGTCTTGCGAGAACCCACCGCTGCTCCTTCACGGCTCGGCTTGCCCGCATCGACACCCGAAGAAGAAGTGATTCGATCGGGCGACAATAGTTTGTTCACACCACCACGATCCGGTCCTCCGACTCGAGTCACCAGCAGTCAGCGAAAGGTGGTCGGATTCCGATCCAGTATTCTCCGAGATTTCTCGTCTCATCACGGCGACGACGATTACTTTGAAGATTTTATACGACAAGATGAAGCTGCGGAAAAGCGACGCTTGCAGCTCCATTTGTCGGGAGAAGATATTCGAGCGAGTCCTAGATTGTTGGGATACTTGTTTGGGGCGATTGGTATGTACTGTACAGAAAGAGTAGAAAAATGGACGGCCAGAAGGTTTTTGTGACTTCTTCTTCCACACTAACTTCCTGTTTTGTAATATTTATTAGCGTCCTTGGTCATGCTGACCAGTGTGGTCCAGTTCTACACACGAGAAGAAAAGACGTTCCTCGAAGTCGTCAAACTCAGGAATGAAACGCGGTCGTCTGCCCACAAATTCTTTCAAACTATCAACGGACCCGTATACATCTGGAAACTATGGGCATGTATTGGTGTCGCATCCGCCGGAGTACTCATGTTTGTACTCATTCTACTCATGCATTTTGATACCATTTGTTTTCCCAAAGTATGGTTTCAAGTATTTCGTGATGGATCGCTCGCTGAACGCAATATACTCTTTGCCATGCTCCTATTCTGGTGTGGAGCACTCCACATTAATACCGCCAGTTTGAGCGTCGGAGAAGTCCAAGCCAATGTTTTTTTCACCACCTGGATTGTCTTTGTCTGTACGGTACTCAATATGGGAGTCTGGAGACAATCGGCCAACTTGCCACGGTTGACCGTCAAAGTATTGACGCATCATCGCGAAACAACCTACAATTGGACATGGACGTTGGTATTTGTACTACTCACGGCAGGTGCCGGGACGGACTTGTATTTGCATCGACAAGATGTGCAACTGCGGTACGAAGGACAACGTCTCGTGTTGGATGAATGGCAATGGACACGCGTCTTGGTCATGCTATGGTCCGAAGTATTCTTGTGTCTCTTGGCCATTTTCTTCAATCACGTCTGGTCGACAGCACTCAAATTCAATTTCCCAGGGGGTTGTCGATTTGTGCTCAATTGGAGATCTCTCGAGGGACTCTTGATTTTGGGCGACGTGGGATTTAAGTTTTGGATGATTTTGACCGCCACAGGTGCCGATGGTGTCATTACCGGACTCAACAATGTCTATTTTGGCGTCTTTGGAAGCTTTTTCAATATTGTCTTTACATTTGGGACCTGGTTGCGAGAAAACAAAGACATCGACTACATTATATGATCATGATAATGATGATGAGGTGGTGAGATGATTGACATGACACGCAACAATATATCATTCACAGTGTCAAAAGTGTGGGCCAGAAGCATCAACCGCCTTCCCACAGAGAGCCTCTTGATTCATGGCTTGCTTGGCCATTATGGAAGTACGCTCGCACAGCAACCACGGCATCGTGCCGGTATGGTAGAGAGTACTCCGAGAGCCGTTGGATCAACACCAGAGGCCAATCCGCTTCAGGGCAACACATGACACATTTGATAACTCGCTCGGCCAGTAACTTTGTGCAGAAAGACATTACATTAGAAGGAAACAGAGATGTAATCGTTGTAACAAAACGAATTGTGGATCTTTTGGGCAGTGAGCTTGTGGATGCTTGAAAACTTTCAGTTTCGAACCCTGTGTGCCTTTGCCTGTACCGTACGGTGCCCGGCATTGTCACCTTTAGAATTGAATCTCGCAGGCAGATCTTTTGCTGGATGGAAAATCAGACCTCCTTCAGGGTCGTTGGATAAAGCTGCGAGTAAAGCTGCAACTGATGTACTGTACCCAACAACCCGGGACCAATATCGCTAGTGAAAATAAATGTTACAGATCTCGGGGCTAAAAATCAAATGTACCGTACCAGTATGGCATCGGTTGACGTGATGCTTCCTCCCGCCCACACGGTACCGATAGGCAGGCAGTACGGGTACCACCGACAACCTGTGCAACCGTAAATCAGTGAACGAGTAAATCAAGAAAACAGCACTTTGGAAAGCTTGACCTGACTAACTTTTTTGTTTCGTTTTGACTAACTTGATGTCTCGAATCCGCCTCCTTGAAAATCATAGCTAGGTTCACCAAAGATGATGTTCTTGAAGAAAAGGGATTCACTGGTTGAGGCGAATTAGAAAAAACACTTCCTCATAATAGTGCATCACACATTCTATCTCTACGCATAATTTTTATGTATCATATCCCCTATCGAGGTTTCTCTAATGTCATGTGTGGTTGCCGTCACTTGTGATGCTGGTCTGTCGCCTGGGCAGCATGGGTGGCATGCTTAACATGCCTCTTCGTGATTGTGATGGTGCATTTTCTTTTGATGAGCCGTCACATGAGCTTTCCCACCGTTCTTTTCCGATAGAGATGTCGAGTGTGTCATTGCAGGAAGCATCTTCATTGGACTTCTTACTAGAGCAAGCTTCTACTGGTGCGCATGCATTGTCCGAAACCACAACCATTTCGGCATTTTGCTGGACCAGGTCCATTCTGAGCTGCTGCAAGAACACATCCATGGGGGAGGATGCCATAGATCCTTTTTGATATTGAAGGGGTTGGATTGTTCGTTGATTCATGGCGGCAGCAACAGTGGGTTGGCACATTTGTTGTGTTTTAAAGGAATAATTGTGAGAACAGAGCAAACAGGAGGCACTCGGTGTGCCGGTCCCTGTACCGGTACTGGTCTGTACGCTCGAGGATGACCTACTGTATTCAAAGATATCTTTGTTCCTGGATGTTCGTAGACTTCTTCGGCACACACAGTTTTATTTAAGGATGCGTTTTCGTTTGCTTCTCGAGCACAATCCAACGACAATCACCCCGTCACCAACACTACTATTAGCTAGACTACCAGGCACACACCACAACCCCGCCTGCAGCCTGCAATCTGGAACCTTGTTTGTAGCTGCCGTAGCTAGAAGCTTCCTCTCACTTTTTCGCACCGGTACAACCACCCCAGGCAATCCAACAAAAGCAACCACCATGCTACAAGTTCAACAGTACCTCGACCCTGAGTCGATCAATATCAATTCCCCCGAAGTTGCGCTCACCTGCAAGCGTCGAAGAAGCAGCCTTCGGAGAAGAACCAAGTCGAGCACCTCGGGCGAGACCAATGCCAAAAGGCGCCGATTGACGGTCAAGACTGTTCGGTTTGCTGATACCAAAGACGAAATCTTGCCTGTATTCACTGCCTCAGCCAAGGGTTGGAATAGCCGTGATGATACCATCAGATTCCGTGCTAACGTCATGCAAGATGTCGTATACTTGGGGACGCTCATTATGCAAAACAAGCTTCAAGATTATGACCAAACAGAACACAGTTCCATTGGGCTTGAACTAATGTGCTGTTCTCTAACAAAGCGCGCACAAAGGCGGGCCTTGAGTGCTCATCACATCGAATCGGTCCTTCGCGTACAGACGCTCCAAAGAGAGTTTGGTTCTACCGACGTTGAATTCATGCGTCGAGCATCAGAGCTGTGTTCAGAGGAATCAAAAGAACGAGCCATGAGCCAAGCTGCCAGTCTCTGGAAGAGACCTTAATTAATTAAGGACATCCTTTGGACATAGCTACATATTATTTGAGAAGCCTCCTTCCTATCGTCGTCCTGTCCACCCAGCAACACAGGAATGTATTATAATAATAAACACTCCTGTCAATTTATTCAAGTCTATAGTTTGGTACAGCTATCTTCATGACTGACTAAAGTAATTCTATTGGTTGCTAGCTAGCGAGAAAATCAACGTTTGTCTATGTATACCACTAATCTGAACATTGCAGTATCAAATGGTATTGGCTCCATAGTGTAGGTGGTTATCACTCCAGGTTCTGATTCTGGCGACGCGAGTTCGAGTCTCGCTGGAGCCTATTTCTTTTGTCCTTGTGTTGTGTTGACGGCATGTCAACACTGCAAGGTCCCGAAACGGGACTCAAAAGATAGTTTCACGCTTTTTGTTAGTTTCACCCTTTTTGGTTAGTTTCACGCTTTTTTGGTTAGTTTCACGCTTTTTGGTTTAGTTTCACGCTTTTGGGTTAGTTTCACGCTTTTGAGTTAGTTTCACGCTTTTAGGCGTGTTTACATTGATTTACTATGACACATACTGTACTAGTTTCACGCTTTTTGGTTAGTTTCACGCGTTTTGGGTTAGTTTCACGCTTTCTGGTTTAGTTTTACACTTTTGGGTCAGTTTCACGCTTTTGGGTCAGTTTCAAGGAATCGGTGGTCCATTTTCGGTGAAACTAACAAAAAGCGTGAAACTAACCCAAAAGCGTGAAACTAGTCCCATTTCAGGACCTTGCTCAGTCGACTCGACTCGACTCCATCAGCAACAGACAACACCCGCTAACTGTTCGATTCTGTGCATTGTTTGGCTGGCTTATTCTTGTAGCCAGCTGAGCTGTTTGCTTTCATCTGCTTTTTCTTCCTTCGTGATTTCCAGGCTCCGTCGTTGGCTCCTGGCGTAACAATGCGGAAGGGCGAGGAATTTTAAACGTCAACCCCCGCGGATTTCGTCTCTCACAACACGAGAAGACTGAGAGTAACAAAGCAGGAACAATGGATAGAAACTGGACAACAGTTCTGCCTCGAAAGAGCAAGAAGAAGGGCAACAAGGGTAATGCTGCTGAGGGCACTGGGATGGTTCCTCTTGGCCAGTTATCTGCTAATACGATGAGCCGTGCTGATTTTCCTCCTTTGGAGGCAGCAACCACCAATCATAACCATGAAGTCACCGCCACGGATAACAGTAACAAGGCATCTACTTCCACGCCAATCAACAAAGAAGATGATACTCGGAGTTTGCGATACTCGCTCTTTTATTCTTGTGTGTTCAATATTGCCGAGGAAGAGCTTGAGCAAGATCAGGAACAAGGCAGCGTCCCGCGCGACGATATCGGCAGCTTTGGCGTTGATGAGTATGAATCAGCGGGACGCTCCAGTGCCAGTCTGGTGCCACCTCTGATGGAGACATGCCGTCAACATACAAGGAAAGCCAAATGTCAAAATTTCCACACACGGAGCGCGTCCCATCAGCTGGTCGCACCGCATAGTCCTCCTCTTTGACCCACATGCGAAGACCAGGCTCGTCATAGTTGGCTGGCAGATGTTCGTTCACCATGAGTTGGATCGCATCTTCGTTGTCTTGGAGGTCAGGCTTGGTCTTGGCGGATTTATTGGGTCCCTTGGTCCGGTTGCCTGAGTTGGCTACCGTTTCATCGTGCAGTTTCTGGAGTAACTTTGCCAGCGGCGAATTTGCTTTTGCGTGACCTTTTATTGCTCATGGTGTGTCTTGAATTCAAAGAGGTTATTCCGAGGCGTATTCAAAGAGTGCTCAGTGATGTTTGTTTTATTTTGTTGCTTTTGCTCTCCCTCAGAAATTTGTTGCTGTCATGGTCATGGTGCCGGCGCCATGGGTCAGTCAACGAACGTTCCCAATCCAACAAGCCAAACTCCGATTCGGGTAAAGGCCAGCAGAGTTGTTATTGGGGCAGCTTTTGTTTTGCGAGACCCAGATCCGCTTTTCCCGGCAAGCGAGAGATTTTTAAAAGGTCAACACCCGCAGATTTTCCTCGCCTTGCCTCGCCTCGCACACACACAAACTCCAAGGACGCGAGAAGAGAAAAGCGAGAAGACCAAGACTAGACGAACACAGCAAGCAGGAACAATGGATGGAAACTGGACAACAGTTCTGCCTCGAAAGAGCAAGAAGAAGGGCAACAAAGGCAATTCTGCCAATGCTGCCGAGGGCACTGTGATGGTTCCTCTTGGCCAGTTATCTGCTAATACGATAAGCCCTGCAGATGGAGGTTTTCCTTTGGGGGCAGCTACCAACGAAGTCGCCGCCACGGAGAACAGTACCAGTAACAAGGGAACTGCCACGAAGGGTTACAAGGCCACCGCTGCCACGGCAATCAACAAAGAGGATACAACGAGCGTCGCCAACAAGGAAGTGACTCAGCGAAGCATTGCTGGGGCTCCAACTCCGGAACACGGTCGCAGTAACGGTACCAACAATCATGTGGCTAGCAACAATGACATCAAGCATACTGTTAACTGGTATGATTACACACTCAAAAAAGCCAAGGAAACCTTTGAGAAAAAGCAACGAGGAGGCGTCCCATGCGATGATAACTTGGGTGTTGACGAGTTTGAATCAGCTGACGCATTATCTAAGGGCAACGGTTATTGCAAAGACGACAGTCAATTCGCCGAGATGACAGCTCCTCGTTCCAATGAATCCATCCCCACTACTAATATTGCTGACCACTACAAGGCAGTCAACAATTTGAGATGCTCTAAACAAGCAAGGATGCAAAACTGAACGTCGCCCAATCATTGGTTGCCTTTGTGGTTGCAATTTGAACTTCTACTGTAGCGAGATCTGTGCAGAAGAAGGATTGTCAGAACACGGTGGAAAAGCAAAAGATTGGGATGTTGGATTCTGCCAATTGTGCCTCCAAAACAAGGTCAAACGGAAACAGTGGGGTGACCATGCATGCCCCCTCTGTCATTGTGAATTCTGTTTTGATTGCTTTCATTCTCATGTCAAGGGCACACACAAGGACATGGTGAAGAAAGCCAAAGGCATTTCTTGTCTCATTCAACAACAATAGCAACAAACATCACGACAACCAAAGCGGCGGAAAGGAGCCTGTCATGGCTGGTGACAGTGGCGGAACGGAACCTGCTGAGCACAAGTCCTCAAAGTAGGCTCGCCTGGAAGGGGTCTTTGCAGCTCCAGCCAAGCGGTCGCGGGCTATAAAGAGATTGGAGATACTCGGTTGCCCATTATGCCCATGTGAACTCTACGGGCTACCAGTACGATTGATTCAATCGTGAAATTCTGGAATACGCTGGTCCAGATGCGGTTGCATTGTCATCCGTTGTGGTACTTGAACTCCGTGGTGTCGTCTTTGATTTACGGGGTCGCTTTTACATCTTTTGGAAACTAAAGATTATAAAGCTCCTTTTGTTGCGGTACTAGCAGGGCTGCTGCATGGCCTGGGCAAACATCTCAAGTCTACTTCGCTGTCATAAGATCACGTAAGCTGGCTTCCTGTAATCTAGTATTCCTTTAAACTTGATGACTTCCTCCTTTTGCGGCAGACACGAGCTGCGAAGTCACCGTCAATGTTGGTTGAGGCAACCAGCCACGTCAGTCGGCAAAAGAAATTCACAGGTCCTCGACGATGATGGTGCCGAGATGGGGGCACGAAACCAGCGGGAAATGCTAGTGCCGAAGGCATTCCTATTCCGCAATAAAACAGGGAGCAAATCATTCGCCATTGACCCAGGTCATGGCTGGAGATATTAAGAGCCAAGAACTGAAGATGAGCGTCGCCGACCGAGAAGCCATAGCGAAAGGAAGGTGGGAGTCGAAACTAGCTAGGTCCCAGCCCGGAACACGGTTACAGCCCCAGCAATCAGTCAGTCGCCTTCCTTGGGAGGCTACCTCTTCTTCAAGCACACGACCTAATTGGGCCAATGCCACTGACGACAGTGTTTTCTGCTTCTAGAGTTGTCTGCTGGCGCACTGAATGCACTCTTTCTGCATCGTTGTCGTCTTGTCTGGCTTTGGCGCAGGGTTTGGTTGTTGGAAGCAACGATGACAACATGGTGCTCGGAGACCAAACAATCGCCCCAAACTGTGTTCCTTGCAATGTGCAATGTACGAGTACCGGTACGTGTGCAGTATCAAGCACCAGCCTAGCTAGCTAGCAGTGAATCAAGGGTTTGCCGAACCTGCTACATGTATGCAGTACTACAGTAGTACCGGTACCGGTACCAGTACCGGTAGGCGGCGGAGTTTCAAGAGCTTGGCAAGGGATGTTGTACACGTACTGGTCACATACCAGTCAAGAGTATCCAGGACTGACTCCCCCAAGAGGTTATTTTTTATTTTAAAAAAACACACAAGAGGTCACTTGATCATTCACCAGCCGTATCCTGCCCCCCTTGTTTTGCCCTGCTCGCGTCCTCATTGCTCTCCCCGTATGCCCACCACACCAGCCACCCACCACCGCAGCCACTGCTTTGCCTAGCCTCGCCCCCCTCGCTCCTTAACGTATCTATTTAGTATTTATTTATTTGTATCCAGTATCCATGTCTGCCGTCTGTCACCCTCCATCTTCACAAAATTAAATAAAGATGTCCCCGCCTTTTGACAATGAAGAAGTCAACTGTGGAAACCATTCTACTACTGACATTGAGCGCTCAGTAGAAATCCACCCTCTCCACCATCGCTGCCGGAGGACCAACCCAATAAAAACTTGGAGAAATTCTGCTGATGACGACCACGATGACTGTAAGATCAAGAGGACAGAATCTCAATCGGTTTCTTCCACAGTTCGGAGGATCATGGGTGCAGCAAAACATCATAGAGCTGCGGAAAAGCAACCCTGCTGGGCTGACCTGGTGCACGAGTTTGGGGCGCTCTCCCTCCACTACGGCATGCGTACGTTGAGGAGGGCAACCTCCGCCAGGATCGCTTGGATGGCTCTTGCTTGTATCGGTATCTCTACGGGTTTGACGTTATGCGCGGTGATTGGCTTTGTTGGACATGTCTCCCTTGGATGCACTCCCCCCTCCACCAATGTGCCCAATCAAAGACCGTTCGTAGAATACTATGTTCATGGGAGAGGAATGGGGCATGCAGCTGGAAGTGTTGGTATTGTTTCCAAGCTGAACGAGGCGGGGGTCGATGTACGCTTATTCCTGCCTCAAATATCCTTTTGGAACGCGCATCGACAGCTCAAGCCCCTTCGAGTGGAACAACGACCGCCCTCGAAATCACGTCTGTCACGCCCGATGAAAGCTTCTGGCCGAGCGTGGCTCATATCGTACGGAGAATCACAACTGACTGCCACGCATCTGTACAAGAGAACAAGTATCCCGACTTGGTGATATCCAATGGCGACATGCCCGGCATGATCCGAGCCAAGCTGGGGGGCATCCCCAGTGCGTCGATTGCGCACGGACAGCTCTTTCGTGTCGCCGAAAAGCCCGACTTTGTGACGGAGGATGACCACCTCGACAAGGCGTGGGATCGCGAAGACTTCAAGAACTTTGCCGCGAGCTTCTTTGCCCAGTGGACCATTGCGACCCACTTTTGTTACCTCCAGTCCAAAATGCCCCGTGGGTCCGTCGTTCAGACGCCCCTGCGGCAAGAAGTCATCACCATGGCCAGTGCCCGACAACTCGCACCCGCTTCCTTCAATAAGATACCCCGTGGCGATGAAGTAGAGAAGCTCTTGATTGAAGAGTACCCTCTAATATCCCGCCGTCGGCTAGTGATTTGTTATTTCCGGGACAAGAATGGCCAGTCCATTATTGATGCCTTACTGGCGTCGGGATTCAACGTATTGCTCATGGTGGACGAGACGAGCGGCAGCGACGAAACCACCAAGGTCAAAGTCATGGGAACATCGGGTCAAGACCCCACCTCCCCTTACCTTATCCAAGTCGCTGATCGTCAACTCTTTCTCCCCCTCATGCACGTGGTGGACGGGGTGGCCTCGTCAGCGGGTTCGCAACTCATGTCAGAATGTATCCACTCCAAGATACCCCTCTTGGCGCTCTACCGACAAAAAAGACGACGAACAACACTTGAATGTCGAACTCAGCCGCCAATGTCAACAAACGCAAGTCTTTGGCACGTCCTTTGAGTCCTTCGAGTCACGATACGGGAAAAGGCGGCGGGCGGCCTCCGATTGGGAACCCAACACGGACAATCTGCTCATGTCAGAAAAGCGTTTTCAAGGCTTTGAGGAGGCGGTGCAAATGAGTCAAATGAGTGACATGTACTTTGACTTTTTGGAGGGTCAAAAAGCCAATCCCCAACATATTGACAACCTTTTGGCGGGCATCGAAGGTTCCATGCCAGGGGCCGTCGAAGGCGCCATGCCCGGGGTCATGGATATTATCCGCGATATTCTCCAAGAGCTCAACCACCAAGAGCCTGTCTCTTCGTAATCACGTTTTTTCCTTCGTGATTGAGAAACCCACTAGTACAGTTTAAAAAAATGTCACTCTGTTTTGTTAAGTTTTCTCGCTCCTTTCATACTTGCTACCTACCATAGCCAACGAGTCTAGCTAAATCGGGCTTCTGTCTCTGCGATCCAAGGTGGAATGCCTCGTGCCTTACAAGGCCAAAGATACTAGCTAGTAGGGATTCTCACCCCGAAAACGGTCGCGGCGCCAGGAAGGCGCCAGGTTTAAAGTGGTTACGGAGCGAATCCCGGATTTTCGAAAGTCGCGCTGGATCGCCGAAAGTCGTTCTAAAGTCGCGCACCGCGACTTTATCGCGACTTTATACCGCGACTACAACGACTTCCGCGACTTTAGCACGACTTTACAACGACTTCTCGTGGTCTTATCCAGTGAAACAGCGCGACTTTACCACGACTTTATCGCGACTATTTACTTCCAAGTGGAAGTCGCGCACGACTTCTTAGCGACTTTCAGCGCGACTTTAGCGCGACTACCGCGACTATTTTTTGGCCACTAGGCACGCTTCACCAAAACCTGGCGCCTTCCAGGAATGAATCATTCAGTCGCCTTTCTTGGGATGCTACGTCTAATTCTAGCATGCGACCTTTAGAATCAATGCAAATGACGACAGTGCTTTCTACTTCTACTTCTACTTGTATGCTGGCGCACTGCACACACTCCTCATTCTGCATCATTGTTGCCACAGGGTTTTGGTTACAACTTCCCTACTCCAAACTGTATTGTAAGCCCAGATCCATCTACCAGCAGTCACGGTACCGGTGCGCACTTGGGCAAGTGTTCCTTAACCTCGGCAGTCTTGCTGCCAGAGCCCTCAACCCCTTTAATTGTTTTTCCTGCTACGGTGGTCCCTGCAGGTATAAGGGTAGGGTTAGAACACAAATAAGTCAGCAAAAACTAAATAAGTTCCTGGGATGGTGCTTTTAAACCAGCTAAAGCTATTTACATGCATCTTAGTAGGGGGATCTGCTTCTACCAGGAAAAACTCTAAAGCCAGTGAAAGCTATATAACTAGTATTCTAGCTAGCTAGGGTATCTGCTTCTAGTACCTTGCTATGGGAATCTGCTTCTAGCTAGCTAAGCACAAGTTAAGCACTAGCTAAGCACTAGAGGTATCTGCTTCTAGCTAGCAAGCTAATAGGGGTATCTGCTTACACTGAAACCTTTCTGCCGAGGTTACACAGCTCCGCTGGCTTATTTCTTTTTTCAGACGGGGGGAGACTATAACAATTATGCTGCTGATCGTTACCAGATGCCACAAAATCGCTCACAAAATCTGGTAAAATCGATTGATTCCTGTCTATCTGGTATGTCTAACACACTTCACTGCATGAATAGTTCGCCAGGTGCCTGAACGTACAGGATCAGTATGATATCGTCTTTGCTTGATTGTATCTTGCTTGTAAAGTTAGCTCGATATGATGATATCAATCAAACCGTAGCAGCCGCAAAGTTTCGATATAGTATCATCCACTCATCACGCGTCAACAAAATGACGTCTCACTCGCCGTCGCCGAACAACCAGATGCCGAGCTCATCGGAAACCGACAGATCTCGTAGTAGACCTCCAAAGAGATTGGTGCCTTACTTGCTGGGTGTCTTGTGTGTTTGCATTCTGCAATCACAAACGATCTTTACACATCGAAGAGTCCTAAGCAATGCACTTTGGTTGGGTGAATTAGAAGAGCAGCTCGTGGAAGCAGCGGCATCTACTACAACAAAGAGGAGGGTGCTTCGTCAGGATCAGGAGGATACCCCAACAGGAGGCATCGTGTCCAAAGCAGCATCTGCCAGAGCAAATACAAGAATGCGAATGCCCCTGCACGATCAGGAGGATATCCCAACTGAGAGGATCGCTTCAAAAAAACGGATCAGCGACGTGGATGCGCCTACCACAACAAACAAGAGAAAATCTCATCCAAAGGATACCCCAACTGTTAGGATCATTTCCAAAGTCTATCCTCAGAACATGACTCACCATAGCTCTCACCATCATCATGATCATAACAAGAACGAAACCTCCTTCAAACACAACAGCTCGGTTGCTACCAGTAAATCTAAACAGAACAAAACCAAGAAAGGTGAGGGGGGAAATGAGGCCGACAAGAGGACAACTCAACAGGGGGATACCGCGACGACAATTAAGATCATTTCTAAAGTCAGTCATAAGAATTTGACTCGCCGTCATCATGATCATAACAAGAACGAAACCTCCCTCGAACTCAACAGTTCGGCTGTGACCAATAAACCTGAGCAAAACAAAACCAAGATTAGTGAGCGGGGAAATGAGAACACCAAGAGAGGAAGTCAACAGGAGGATACCAGAACAGTTAAGGTAGTTTCCAAAGTCAGTCATCAGAATTTGACCCGCCGGCATCATGGTAATCTTCACCACAACAACTCCCATCATCACACCCACAACAAAAATGGAACATCCCTGAAACACGGCACCACCGCTGCGAGGCAAAGGCTTTCACAACTGCAAGCATCGCCTTTTGAGACAGATGACCTGTGTGGAGGTTGTAGATATCAACAAACCCACAAAGTCCAATGTGGAAGACTCATCGAAGAGCTTGCTAGAGATCAGAACATGACATTGGTTGAAGCCGCCAGGGAGGCACTTGAAAAAGCTGACACAGTACCAAAAAAGTGTCGAGTTTGTTTGGAGTGCGAAGAACACCACCGCCAATATTGGAGACCTGACATGGCTGCTCCTACGATCCATAAGGCAACAACTCACTACTTGACCACAATCCCGGAAGAACAGTACAGGATACCACGGGATGTGCTCGCTACGGAAGGACACGATAACATTACTCAATACTTCAAACAAGAGCCCAATCGATACCCAGCCAAACGATATCTCTTTGAGTACAATCCAACCATTGTACCCATGCCGGTCAACGACGTTCAATCCATGCTCGCATTTGATGGAGTTTCTCCGACCTACGTTGCTTCATATCGTGTAGGGACACAGCAATCGTGCTTCCCTGCCAATACAACTCTTGAAATGATTGGGGGATCCTGGGAAAGTAAACCACCCTCTATCAGTTACCTAGGCATTGCTTTGCTCGACAAAGACTTGGCTCTCCTCGCAGATGTGGTGCTGAATCTGCCAACAAGCTTTGGCAAGAGAGAAGACTTCCGACTCTTTGTGTTGCACAACCAACTCTATCTGTCATCCTATGCTAAACTGACGCCCCTTCACATTGGGAATGAAGAGCGTCCGCCATACAATCATATCTCTGAGACAGTAGTTGACAAAGTCTTTGATTCACCCCTGCAAGTCACAATTGGCAAACGACCCTTGTTTATCAGCAATGACACGGCAGTCCTCAAACATGGGAAGAATTTCAACTACTTTGTAGACCCCGATACAAACCACACAATAGTCGAGTTGAATCCAGCTGGCGATTTACTGTCCAAGCACCGTCCTCATTTGGTCCAACCAGTCGACTTGACACTCCCAACCGAGAGCAACAACCTGCAAGGGCAACGCTATGGGAGTGCCAACTTCTCAAGGGTTGCATTCCACGGTAAACCGTCGTTCTACACCGCCGATGAGTTGGCACTGGCTAGATACCAAAACTTTTATGAGAGTCCATATGTGGCAGACCGAGGTAGCGCTTGTTGTATCCCATTTGAAGAGCCAAGTCACAAGAAGCAACTGCTTTTGGGCATTAGTCATGTCAAGATCCCGTGGGGGCGTCTCAGGATGCAAGAAGCCGGATTGGTGCCCAACCAATACCTGAGTCGGTTCTATGCAATAGAGGCAACGGCACCCTACCAGACGGTAGCCATGAGTGGATACATTTGCTTGACCTCTTTTACCAATGACGCGAATGACAACCCACTGGCAGCCCGGCCACCTCACGTCTGGTTCTCTATTGGGGAACTCACGTTGAACTGTCCAGGTAAGCAAGGAAAGGGGGGTTTCTACGGAGACTAGATTCAAAACTTTGGTTGAAGATGCCCATCTCATGCGCAATTTCAATTTGTTTAGCTATTCACTTTGTCACAGGCATGACCGAGAAGGTGGACGACCCCAGTACTCTCATCATTGCCTATGGAGTTAGTGATTGCACATCTTGGTTTGTGGAAGTGTCGAAGCAAGAAGTCGTTGATTTACTGTATGGACCGCCCAAAGTAACTGCACTGGAAGCAACTTCTCCAAAAGCATTAGAAACACCAAAAAATCCCAAGAAAGAACCAGAAGCAAAAACTCCAAAGGTAACAAAAGCAACAACTTTGAGAGAACCCGAAGCAACAACTCCAATGGCGCCAAAAGCAACAACACCCGAAGCAACACCAATCGTGAACGTCAAGGTAGAGCGACGTCCAAAGGCACCAAAAGCAGCATCTTTGAACGAACCAGAAGCACCAACTTCAAAGGCACCAAAAGCAACAACTCCAAAGGCACTAGAGGTGACAACTCCAAAGGTACCAAAGGCACTAACACCAAAGGCACCAAAAGCACCAACTCCAAACGCATCAACAGCAACAACTTTGAAAGAACCCGAAGCAACAACTCCAAATGCGCCAAAAGCAACAACACCCAAAGCAACACCAATCGTGAACGTCAAGGTAGAGCGACATCCAAAGGCACCAAAAGCAGCATCTTTGAACGAACCAGAAGCAAAAACTCCAAAGACACCAAAAGCAACAGCCCCAAAAGGCACCAAAGGCAACAGCGGCGCCACAACGGCGCCAAATGCACCAAAGGCAACAACGGCCCGAAAGGCAACAACGGCCCGAAAGGCAACAACGCCAAAGGCACCAAAAGCACCAACTTCGAAAGAACCGGAAGCAGCAAATCCGAAGGCACCAAAAGCGACAACTTCGAAAGAACCAAAAGAAACAACTCCAAAGGCACCAAAAGCAACAACTTCGGAAGAATCCGAAGCAACACCAATCGTGAATGTCAAGGTAGAGCGACGCACGAAGGGGGGGGATCGTGCGGAAGCTCTTGCGTAGATACTGCAAGCGGGCAGGTGCCATTGCTTTGGCTTGTACACAACTTTGTAAATTTCCATACTATCCATCACTCCTCCTGTACGAAGGCCCTCTGTTAGTTACTACGATGATAGCCGCGTTCTCGTGATGCCTGCCGTCCGTAGCACCAAAACCAACTCCACCCTTTCATTCACCGCCCTCTGCAAAAGGCATGGCCCATGCTCCAGGTTCCGCGGCCTCCGGCAACCATGGGATGGGATGAGGTTCATCGTCGGCAGTAAAAAAGGCTAGCCCCTCGTCGTTTTCTCCGCCGTCATCCGGACCAATCTGATCCGAAAGTGCAACCACCACTGCCGATCGAATGAGAGCATATTGTTGTTGTTGTTCTGGTTTTGCATTGGCTTTGGCAGCTGCTTTTTGCAAGTGATCACACTTGTGGTACAATCGCCCCGATTCTTGGGAAATGGCCAAATAGGCGACTCGAAACTCTTGTGCTTGTGATCCAGCATATATCAATAGGGAAGAACCGGAGTGTTGTTGACTGGCATTCGTTTTCTCGTGCGTGTGAAAGACAATGGGAGTGGCGGCTGGACGGATGAAGTTGAGTTCTTTGCCACACCACGAGACAAAGGGATATTCCTCTTGTGCAATACCGCATTCGTTCATAATGGATAATTCTCGTGTCCCTACGGATCGTATTCGGCGAAAGAAAAAGTCCAAGAAACGAGTATCTTTGATGGAAGTAGCAATGTTTTTGGGTAGTGTTTCCTCTGGATAGGCATGCAATGTAGAAACAGGGCAGAGTGAGCCGTATTCATGCAAGTCAGAAAGCAAAGTCTCGCTGTGAAACATACCAAGAAAGAATCTCCCTTGCAGGTCAATGTTGTAAAAGTATCGTCTTGGTTCGTCATTGGCATGCGCATCGTAGAACTCTTGTGGTTTTACGATGGAGCTGAACCTGTGGAAAGGCAATCATTCATAGAGTACGGTACCCGACCAAATTACTGTGAGCTTATGAAGTCTTGGTTCATGATGGATGGATCAAGTATTTGCTTATTACATACCACTGATCAATATAACTAGCACTGCTGGCGCCGTTGCCGTGTTGCTGAAGATATCTGCTGCTATGGATCCTTCTGGAACGGAGATCAACGAGTGGTTGCTGCATGCAGCTTGTCGCAGGTAGTTCTACTTGTGGCATTCGTTTCCGACCAGGACAAGTCCAACCATACCGAATCCTCTTTTGTCCCATCTGGCGCCTCATGATGATGGTGGAGGATCTCATCTTCTCCTTAGTAGCGATGGAAGTACTGTACCTTTGCTACCGATTCTTGTCGTCCCTGTTTGTTTTGGGGAAGATGCGAAGATCCAAAGGATCCAAAGGAGTACCAGTATTCAGGTTACTAGTAACTCTGCTGTTTTATTATAAAACCATCGCATCTTCTACCGCAACGTACTAATTTCCCTACTAGTACTAGTACTCTAAAATCCCCGTATAAGAGGGAAAAAACTAGTAGACCATGACATTGTGCATGTATCGGTACAGTACCCGCACCGGTATTAATAGGTTACCTGCGTCCTTGTGATTGTTGGATCCATTCTCTGCCTGGAAAGCGACTGGATCGTCGCTCAAACTCGTAGAGATGTTGTTGACAGGACCCTCGCCCTTGATCCACCAAGTGACTTCCGGCTTTGGTCCAGTGGACTGCTCCCAAGTCGGCCTCATACTGTTTGGCAACCGTCCAATTGTGTGTGGCATTGTACGGAAAGGGGTCGTTCCGATTGTTGACGAGACATACCGCGGCCTTCTTTCGTGTGTATTTGATTCCGGTGGCATTGAAAATCCCATAATGCATCCCCTCGTTGTATCGATCCTTGGAAGGAAAGGTGTGTGAGTATCCATTTTTGAGTGCTTCGGGACCCGTCATTAAGACCAATTTGGGTCTTGAGATGTCCGGCATTTCCAAGAGTCGTTGGAAAATTGTCAGCATGGAGTGGTAGGTGGCCGGATGTCCCGGTGATGTGGCAAAACACCACTGGGAAGGCCGGGTATTGTCATCGCTAAAGGAGAAGAAATCGACATGCTGTGGGATGAGATCTTCAGTGAATTGTTCGGTTGGAATTTCGTCCAGGTCTACGTATAATCCGCCTTTTTGGGTGGATTGATTTGATTGGTTGAAAAAGCACGGGATGAATGAAATGAAACGAAGTGCACGCATGAGGAAATGATGACGTTGGCAAGGGGGGTACACATAGGTACTTGTTAATGATGTACTCACCAAATCGGTAGAGGACCAATTGTCTCCAGATGTCAATGAGCATGGCATTGCGCATTTTGACACACTGTAGAACTTTGGCCAATTCAGGGAACTCAGGCCAGAACTCTTGTTGCATCATTTTGGCAACGGAATAGTCATCATGGTAGAAAATGCTGTAATTGGGAAATAGTTTCTTCCATCGTTGAATGGAAACCGCTTGAAGGTGGTGCAAACAACGACCCTTGTTGGGTCCATGGTGTGGATCATCGTGGATCCATGTCAGATGGAGAATGCGTGGAATTTTGCGTTTGTTGTGTTGGTAGGACCAAGCATCGAATTGGTCTGTTTCTTCCTTGTTGGCATTGTCTTGATCCTGTTGGAGCAGGATGCGATCATCGATGAGGACAAAGGGCCATGTACAATTGTGATGCTGTTGATGATTCTGAGCACTTTCTCTGGAGAGTTGTAATAGACTGAGCTTTTGCAGTGGTGGTGAGTAGAAGTTCTTGTCACTCTTGGCAAGCTCATCTTGTGTTTTGGATGTTGTTGTGACTGCCCCCCAGGAAGATGACACGAATGTGGACATGTTTTGCATATTGGCAATTTGGAGTCCCTTCATCCACCCCGCCATGGAGCGCTTTTCTGAAAACAGATGGATCCCCAGCAGGATGCAGACAATCAGTGGAAGTGTCCCCATCCCAATGGAATTACAGTCACAACTGCTGCCCGTGCCTGTACACGATGATGTAATGCCATTGTCAGTTTTCTTGTTGCCTCGCCTCAGTAATCGGGATTTTGAATTCTTCATTCTATCAATCTATCCTCAAAATATATCTTTTACTAACTGACTGATGAGATACATGCTCAACCAATCAAGCAGTCAATCATTGGACTGTATGACCAAACAAAATATTAGGGAAGGTAACAACACGCTTTCTTGCTCTTTTGCGTGAATGACCCAAAATGACCAAAAAGGTTTGGTAGTCTAGTTTTGATTTGAATTTATTTTTCTCCGCATGACTTCTTTGGGTGTCTGAGAAGATCTGCATTCATTCAAGGGTGACTTTTAATCAAACCGCTCTGTTGTTTTATTAAATCACACCACGTGCACCAGCCAAAACCCAAACGGAAGGATGCGAGAGGACCACCCAGATGACCTTTCAGTTCGGTTTTGCGGGGATTGAATGAAACCATTCTTTCACCTCTAATCACTCCCTCACTCACTTGGACGCCGCGCCTTCACTCTCACACAACATCTCCACTCCACCAAATAAATCACCACATACATACCCAAAGAAGTCAAACACAAACAATACAAAGTTTCTCTTTCCCATTAACAACAACAACTAACACATCATCATACATCATCATCATGGTCAATACCCGACATTCCGACACCAGCAGCAGCAGCAGCAGCCCAAGCAAGAAGAAGGAGACGGTCACCAAATGGATGAACAAGATTCAAGTGACGGCCGTTCCTCGTCGGATCCAAAAGTACGCTCCGCGAGCCAATAACACCAAGTTTCGCAAAACCAAGAGCACCAATGAAGAATCCGTCCAAGTCTTCAAGATGCTGACGGGTGTCCTCTACCTGTATCGTGGCCAAAATCCACGCGCCGAGTTTGTCCGGAAGGTGTGATTGATGAGACAACAAACAAGATACGATCGATAGATGGGGGTAATCAAACAAACAGCAACACTTACTTACTTACAACAACAACAACAACAACAAGAGAAGAGAAGAGACTGCGGAGGAAGGAAGAAGTGGTTTCTCTTGTTTGATTTCATTTTGGATTCGATTCAATAATCATTTTGGTGGGTTTGAGAGGAGATGACAACGCCAAGGGGCTTGGCTTGGCACCTTCCTACATCCAGCACTGTACTTCAACAACAACGACAATCATCATTCATTCATTCTTTCTTTAGACGACAGTTAACAATAATCTAATACATATAAGTTATGGTGAACCATTTCAAAGCTGTGATTCTTCCGCCAGATGGAGGTTCATCCCTTTATATCCGCAGTTGAGGGTATAGACTACTACCAGCTAGCGAGACTAGCTAGAGGTTGATTAATGCACTGGTAGCTTTCGTACTGTCTAGCTAGAGAGCGACTATCCCTTGATTCCACATCATACCAATCAAAGTAGTCTAGACTTGCCTGGATGCATTTTCTCATACTGGTAGAGTCTTGGCACACACCATCACCATGACATCCTCCTCCAGCGAACCCGAGAAGCTGGCAAAAAAGCCCCTCGCAAAGTTAGAAGGCTTCCTCGATCCAAACTGATGCAATCAACGCAAGCAAGCCTTCACAACAAGTCCTGGACGTGCAAGCAAGTCTTACAGGGCAGTATGCCAAAAAGAGTACTCAGTACTATTAATTAAAGACATCCTCGTCGTCTGTCCACCACACCATTAGAAAATCGGAACAAGTTCCATCGAACTCAAGTTGAAGCAACCCTCACAAATTCTTTCTTCTATCTGCGTCAGCAGCTTCCGACCAACGACCGGGGTTGATGCCAACATGCCAGCCATGTACTGGTTACGATGATGTCGATGCTTTCATCAGCATACAATCAACCCCTATCTTCATATTGCCTTCTCCTTTGTTGATTCCAATTGATTATCACAGTAATTCAACACCATGAGACCTGCTACCACCACCACTGGCTTTTCCTTATCTCCAGGTGGCCTCTTGCTACCCTACCACATGGGGGCATTGGAAGCCTTGGAGCACCACCAGCAACTGGATCTCGATCAGACACCACTGGCCGGGTCTTCTGCGGGAAGTATTGCCGTGGCTGCCATGGCCTGTGGCATTCGAGGCCCTCAAGTCCTCGAAGCGACCAGTCAAATTGCCGACGAATGCACCCAAGAAGGAGGGACCCGAGGACGATTGTTGGGCAAACTACGCACCACCCTAAATGAACTCATTACCGACGAACACTTTCAAGTACTCCAGGAACGACCCATTGTCATTGCCCATCAACAAGTGTTGCCCACTTGGACGTCACGGCACGAGACGTCTTTTGCCAGTCGTCAGGATCTCATTCAGGCCATTTGCCATTCGAGCTCCTTTCCGTTCTTCACCACCAATTGGCCCTGCGTATTGGATACCTCACGACGAGGACGAGTCCCTCGACTGGTGGTGGATGGATTCTTTGCCGTGCCACGAGAGCGATTTGGTTGTCCCGATTTTGCACTGGCACATGAACAACAATCTTCTTCTAACAACAACAAGGACACTACTGCTTTTGCGGCGGTGGACCGGACCGTGTTCATCTCGGTCTTTCCACGAGACAAAATTGGAATAGATGCCGCAGACCCCGAGGATTGTATTTCACCAGCCTATCGAGGGGTGGACCAAATGCAAAATCTACTCCGATTGGCCACACAATCGGCTTCCCGGCAAGAATATGCCGCCGTCTACGAAGATGGATGGAAGGATGCCGAGCAGTGGTGTCAACGACAGCAGGAACAGACTTTAGTACAAGAAGAGGACAGTGCTACAACAGCCCTCAATTAATTAAATAACTACCATGAGCAATCGATCAAGATGGAATGTAAAAGAGTGCTTTAAGTTAGTTAGAAAAGTATGCATTAAATGTATGTAGTCTTGTTGCCCAGATCGATGATTGATGGGTGTCATGCAGTTTGTAACTACAGCCCGATTTCTCCTACGCAGTGGCAGTGGCCTCCTCACAGGTTGGTTGACCACCATCTTTGGCCACACAAGTGGGAGCTGGAACGTCTTTTAGCTCCGCCTCCCTGCGAGCCTTCTTGTCCTGGTACTTGCCGTCCACCATGTCCTTTAGCGTCGAGTAGTACTTTTCATCCTCCAAATACAATTCACAAGTCTTGGGACAGTCCAGACGGAATCCATCGGGGTCGTTCACACAAAGTTCCTTTTGTTCGACGCAGTCAGGTCGTGTGTCTTGCACGTTAATGGGGACACGTCCTTGATCCGTTTTCAAGCTACGGGAGGGGTCTTCGCGACTCAAGAAGCGTCCCTTTTGTGCACGGAACCAGTGAGTGTCACCCTGTGTGGGCCACAATGATGTACTATCGGATGCCACAATCTCGACATTTTCATCATTGACATCGGCCAAATAAATGGCCACGGACAAGCGAACATCCTTTTGAGGGCGGTAATCGCATTCACCGGTGCCGTGACGAGTTCCGGCGCCCTGTACAATACCACGATTGTAGCGCATTTGAATGGGCGAGGCGCGTTCGTCGTCTCCCAAGTACAGGGGTGCTCCTCCTTCGGGAATGTAAATGGGGACAATGACATTGTAGAAAGCACCCTTGGCTTCGATCAAATCATGGTGTATTTGATTGTATTCGGGATCGTGGTCAAAATGACTCAAAAAGATGGGACCAATGCCTTGAATCATGACGCCATCCAAGTCAAACCTGTCAAAGAAATCAATCAATCGAAGAGAGCAAAGCCAAATACTTATTTTCAGCACATGACGGTACGGCCAAGCAAAACACACGCCCTGCTCTGATGTTGACTGTGACTTACAGCTCTGCCACAGACTCCAACACAACATCAAAGTTTCCCTTTCGAAGGACATTGACCAGACTCTCAAAGCATTCTTCATCACCAGGATCGATCCAAATCATATCCATGCCTGCCCACTTGGGACGCATAGTTCCCCAGGTTTGACCATCTTTGAGGGTGTAAATCTTGTTTTCCTGGTTGTGGTCAAACCGTTCTTCTTCGGACAGAGAATCATGTTCGTAAATGAGCCGCTTGGCCAGTTCCAGCATGCCATTGCCTTCGACATACTTGGTGAATTCTTGATGCAATTCCGGTGGCAACCCAATAACGTAGGCTTCATCATCCTTGATGCGTTCCATGTTGTCTCTCCAAAAGATGGGCAAGTGTTGTCCCGGTTCCAATTTGCGGGGTACCAAAAAGTGTGGTTCTTCCGTGTCATTAAAGAACAATTTGTCCATGTCGCTTTGAAAAAAGTCCGGAAGGTAGCGCTCCTCGGGTTCCCAGTAGTCTTCTCCCCATTCTTCCTCATCCTCGTCACTCTCCGAGTAGTCGCCACTGTCCCATTGTTCATGTTGCTCTTTGGAGAGTGGTGGTGGAGGGGGTGCTCCCTGTTGCTTGGCCTTTTCCACGTCATCCAAGTGTTCCAAAATCGCCTCTCGCGACACACCATGTTGCGTTGCTTTGGAAAAGGAAACCGAACAAGGTTCTCCAGGAACATGTCCTGCCTTGTTGCATGCTCGAATGTAATCGTCCATATTGTCGCCATTGGAATTCCAGAGTGTATTTCCAAGAGGAAGATCTGGATTGAACCACAATTCGTTGGAAAACATTTCTCGATGGCCTCCACTAATCTGAGTGACGCCGTGATAATAAAATCCTCCCAAGAAAACCACAGCCGAGTATTTGGCTGGTTTGAAAAAGGTCTTTTCTCCTTCATTGTCGACCACATAGAGGTATCCACCCTGATAATCCTCTGGTCCGGAAAGCGCAAAATTGACCGTGTACGCAGTATCCTGTCCATCAAAGTGAGCATCCAAATTGGGAAAGTCGTCATATGTCAAATGCTCGGACGCTCGAAATCCCAATTCTTCCGGGAGTGGAATGGCCGTGGACGAGCGTCGACGTCCTTGTTGTTTGGAAACGGGAGCATCCGGATCGGTTTGCAAATTGCCCAAGATTTTGTCGCGAATGGTGATTCCCTGCCATCCGGCATGATCGTACGCGAATCGAACGGTACTCAGAATCGTGTCGACAATGGTAGGCAAGTAAATTCCCAAAAAGGGCATTAAATGAGTGGGAGTATTACCACCCAGTCCTTCGTCTTCTTCCATGTTGAATTCCTTGTACATGGCCCTCACTTCAAAATACTGCGGGAGATACGTTCGCACACAATGGGCCAATCGTTGGACCGCCTTGACTTGAAGCGGTGCCATGGCCTGTGTGACTTCTACCAAAATGACATTGCCCCATCGATCTTGTTTGTTGTCCACAATGCGTTGTCCAATGCCACGACCTGGTTCGACCTGTTCTTGGAACATGGTTTCCAACTGCGTCGCTTCTTCTTTGCTGAGAGCACCTTCTTCGGTTTCGTAGAGACAATCCCAAATGGTCTGATAGTTATCCACGCCATCCACAATCAACGTCTTGGTTTCCTTGTGGTGTCTCCAGAATCGATCGCGAGGGCCAATGTACGAAGGACGGGCATGATACTCCGGAGGCAAAGACGCGTTGGCGCTGACCGTAGTGATACCGCCCAATAACGTCGAGAACGACACCGTCTTCATGGTGAGTTGAGGATCTTTTGATCGATGGAGGATGAATTGAATTGTGTGAAGAAGATTGGTGTGAGCAGCGGAAAGCAAGTCGGAAGCATTGGAGATCGCATTAGGTTCCCAACAAAACGTGGGGGCAGCATGAGATCTTTGTGGACCACCCCCTTTTGAATAAATATTAACGTTTTAAGAAATCTTTAAAAGGGGGAAAGCCTAAGTTCGCCCCCACTTTTTAACCTTCGGATTAGGTGGCTTCAAAGCGATCTTTCTTCAAAAAATTGCATTGGTATTGCGGAGAACGAAAATCGGCCAGGCTCGATGCACATTTAGACAAAAAGTGCGCCTCGTGCCTAACTATCATGGCATGGCATGCTCGAGAGACTCCAACGCACGTGTACACGAATGAAAAGGTATTGATTTAACAATGGGTGCCGGTCTGACATTCAGAGATCCAATGATGCACGAATGAGGGGTATCTTTCACGCAACAAGGTGCACGAAGATGGCCAATTTTTCCCACAGAAAATGCTACCGGTACCCAAGGCAGGAAAGAAGTGATTTGCCTTGAGAGGAATACTAGTACAGGACACGAGACAATCTACTATCTGGAGCAATAAAAGAGGCAAGAGACAGAGAGATTCAGAGATTCAGATAGATAGAGCTATTGGAGAAAAAGATGGTTTCCCAACCGAGAATTGGGTTGGTATGGTCACTCCTGCTACCCCTCATTATCATTCCAAGCCATGCCGCAGTGAACCACGGCCAAGCGTTGATCCAATGGCTGCGACAACATGAACGAGGCTATTTCAGCCCCAAGATTACCATGCACAGTACTACAGGCAGCAGTGATGGAAGTACCAATGACGAAGATGTCCGCAATGGCGTCTTTGCCGAAGAATTCATTGCCCAAAATGAAACTCTCGTCGTCATTCCCAAGGAATACTTGTTACGCGCCAGTTCCGGTCCGTATACCGACGATACCAGCGTAGACATGTGCGACACGACCTGGAATTTAGTGCGAGAATATTATCAGGGCGAATCGTCGCTCTTTGCGCCTTATATCGATTATGTCATGGGACACATGCGTTCTACAACAACACGCGATGCCGATCGACATCGATTGCCCGCCGATTGGTCCGACGAAGGATTGGCATTGATGGAAACCATTGTGGGAGGTGAAATGGAACCATCGGAACTATGGAATGTCGATTTTAGACAATCTTGTCGCGAACATGATTTGAAGCAATTGCACAAGAATGTCAAAGAAATCATTCTGCAAGTTCAAAACAAGAGTAAAAGTTGTGAAGGAGAAGATCAAGAATGTACGGATACAACTAGTACTAGCACTACTACCAACAACAACAACAATCACCGTCAAGAATTCAACGAAATGCTCCTCATTGTCCAAGAAGCCTGGAGGACCGTTATTGCCAGAAGTTGGAACGAAGTCATGGTCCCCATTTACGACATGATGAATCATCGCAATGGACACTGGCACAATGCCGATCAACTAACTTCGGCACACGACAAGGAGCAGGATCTGATTGTCGTGGCGTTGCGGGATATCCAAAAGGGAGAACAAGTGTACATTTCCTACAATGAATGCGATGACTTGGATTGCGAAGGCATGGCACACAAGTACGTCTTGCAACAAATCTTCAAGGATTACGGGTTTGTCGAACAGTATCCTCGGCGATGGCGCTTTGATAGTTTTGGAGGGGAAGTGGTGGAGGATGACAGCGAGGCTGTAGTTTTTGAAATTGATCTCGTCAATGATAATGATGATGGAGTGGACGATCCCGACTTGAAACTCACCTGGTTGAGTGAAGAACCAATGACATTGGCCAAGATGCACTTTTTTCACGGACATTTGCACAAGCAACGTCGTCTTTTGCCCTTTGTCGAACAGAGTCTACAAGAACTAGAGTACAGCAGCGAACGAGATACCATTGAAGACTACTACGATGCTCTCGTGACGGCACTGGAAATGGTCGTGGCGTACGCCGATAGCACTCCCAAAAAGGTTCCCGATTTGACAAGTGCCTTGGACGACTTGCAGGTGCACGGCGTCAAACCAGGCATGCCGTTCAGCGAGCAACAAGAAGAGGAAGAGGAACTCTTTGTCTGTGGTGGCGATACCACTTCCTACATGGGAGAAGCTTCCTACGAACAAATAGGAGATATCACGTCACAGTATCAAGGGATTACTTTTGAATACAATGAAGAAATTGAAGATGTCTGTCTCTACCTCAGTGGTTGGTTGCAGACGTGTACCAGTTGGCGTCCACACTATCACGAATCGGTCGTCCACTACCCCACCCGGTTCATACCAACCCTGAAGCGAGTCATTTACTTGGGGGGTGGAGACAACATGCTGTTGCATGAAATTTTAAAGTATGAAGATTCCTTGGAGGTTGTCTTTGGGATGGAATTGGATCAAGAAGTCGTTCGAAGCAGTTTCAAGCACATGGGGACACAGCCCCATTTTGACAATCCCAAAGTGCAGTGGTGGTTTGGTGATGCCACCAAGAGTCTATCCATGTTGCTGGAACAGGGCGATGAGTTTTATGGTACCTTTGATTTGGTCATTGTGGATCTGCAGACCAACGTGGCGGAAACCTTGATGGTGACGCATGACAAGACCATTATGGATGTTGCCATGCAGCTACTGCAGCCCGAAGGCATTCTGGCCCGCAACGAAGACTTCTATCCTCGTCGGTCCACGGGCTTCGCGGCCTACGAGGTGGATCTCGAGTTCCTGGACGTCCCACAGTTGTGTCAACAATCGATTACCATTGGCAGTACCAATGTGGACTTTCTCACCAAGGAGCTGACGGGTCATGGCGTGGAGACGGTCTATTTGAATGTATCCAGTTTGGATGATGGCACCGACAAGTTTGCTCGCTGGTTGAATTACCGCAATAATGACATTCCGGACCCATCGTGTGATGGTTCGGCCGACGGCGAAAAGGATCAAAAGGAACGAGGTTTTGGTGTCCACATGATCCTTGAAGTGGAAGACACTCAAATTGCAAAGGAGAAACCTGAAAAGATACAAGCCAAAATCAGCAATGTCATGGCGGGCATCGGCCTCACGGAACTGACCACGAATGAGGCTCCAAACAATGACAATCTTGCTGTGATGCTTTTCGTAGAAGGTTACGTCGCTGTACAAGTCTTTCCTGACCAAAAGTACATTGCATTGGATGTGAAACTCTACAGTCATTTTGGCAAGCTTGAACCAGCACGCAAGGAGCTGGTAGCTGTGCTAAGCAGTAATGCGGACAAGCCGTCTTCTTCGTCCCTCCGCATCGTGTCGGGTGGAATGTTTGGTGTACCCAAGGCGTCAAGTCGCGGAAAACAAGCCCCCACATGTGGCGAGAAGGGGACCTTGGATGCTGCCGCCGTCGAAGGCATTGCCGATGCTGCCATCACGACCATTGTCCAAAAGGCTGCTCTATTCGGGGGCAAATCAGAGCCCGTCGTTGCTGTTGTGTGCCCCGATGAAGAATCGTCCTGTGTTGCGCTTGGAGCGCTTCGTAATGCCGGATTCAAGAACTTGATTCCTCTAATGGGCTGCGCAGACCTCAGTGACAGCTCTTCTGATGATCTAGAGAAGATCAACGCATGTGCCTTGGCGGCAGCTGCTGCACTCTTGGAATCCGTGGAACGAGTCGGGAAGATTGATAACATTGTGGTCGACGTGAACGCCTCCAAAGTCATGGGGCAGATCTTGCACAAGATCCTTCGGGACAAGCCTCAGAGGCTTGAGCTGTTGCAAGAAGCGTATGCCGTCCTGTCACTGTCTTTCGAGGTATCGGCATCATCGTGGCGGCAAGCGCTTCTGGAACGCTTCCAAACGGAATTCGATATCCACACCACGGCACAAAGAGGCGTTGTACTCTTTGAAAGCAAGTCAAACTCCTTGGAGGTTGGACTGTTCTCTACCGGTAGCCGCGGCGTGTTTCATGATGTGGCAACATTTCTCAAGGAGGTCGAAGAAGAAACGAGCCTCGTCGGACACCTTCGCAAGGTCGATGATGGTGTATTACAATACGCTGCGGACTTTCTGCCAAATGTTGTCGGGTCCACTTCAGACTTTGATCGCGGTGACGCCACTAAACAGTGGCTGAACCAAAATGCTGTGGGGCACCAAACCATTTTGCAATTTGAGATCCAACCCTCCGAATCGCCTCTTGAAGGAGGAACAAAGATACTGATCAACTACAATGTTGATGTCTGGAAGGGCCGTTGGGCACTTGGGCAGGTCGTCGAGGAACGGGACGGTGGTGGCTATGCCGTCATTGTGGATGGAGAAGAGGAAGAGCAAGAAACGAGCCGCGATAGACTTCGGAAGTTCGAGAATGAATCTCCTTTGGAAGTTCGGCAACCTGTTTTGATTCGACGCAATGGATTTTGGTCTCAGGGTGCAGTCATTGAACAACTTCCGGAGGAGGGCATGTTCAAAATCAGAGGGTACGATTCCGATGGCGATGTGATGACAGTGCACAGGAAGGACTTGGTTGCTCGGTTCGAGGCTGCGGACGAGGCAGAAACCGCTTCGTTGTCGTCAACAATTGTGCACGAGACCTTCTCTTCGGCTCTCAGCTCGGTCGAAATTGACATCGACAAGAAGGACGGACGGCATGATTTGCAGGTGTCTGGAGGGATTTCCGAGGGTTGTGTAATCACAGCGTTCTGGCCGGATGGGCATGCAGTTACGACCTGGGATGGAAGGGGTCACATTGATATCAGTGTCTTCACTTTTGAGGAGGATGATATCATGCGTGACGAACTTGCTGTGTCAATTATGACACATCTTCCCTTTCTCAAGCCGACATCGCGGGACGAAATGCCTCGAGGAACCGGCAGGGTTGTGAATTTCAACAGCGAGGCCCAAGAGTCGCCCCATTGGTTGCTGGAACTTGAAACACCTGAAGCACCATCCGCTGAATGATGAGCCTATCCTCCCCTGACGCTACCTTCCAAGGGTGTTACCGATATTCATACAAATAAATGAGGACGTTCTTTCAGTTTAGAAGTGGTAATGTTGTACAACTAGAATGGCTGTAGCGAAGCAAAGACTGATGATGGAACCATCTGATGCTGGCTCCTCCGATAGTATGCACACCCTGGTAGCCTTCTGGAACGCCCTCGGTTTATTTAAAAGCGGTACTGGTACCGTAGGGTTAGCTGTCCTCCGGACGCTCGAGTGTGTCGAAAAGGAGAGACTCTTGTGTGCAGCGAACGGTTACAGCTCTGATTTTCAGAATAGCACAATGGTACCAACACTCCTGCCAATTTACTATTTTGGGCGGGAGGTTTTTTCCTGGCGGATTTCCAAATTGATATACAGGAGATAAAAGTGATCCGTGCCAATACCTAATAATGCCAGTGCCAATACCTAATAATGCCAATGCCAAACAAGTGAGAGTTCAATACATAGAAAAGGTGACCACCTTGAAGAATCCCGTCGACCCAGACAATGCTGGATACCGTATCCATTCGACACAACCTTGTACCTGGTACCAGAACGAGAACGCCCTAGTGACAATGGACAATCGCTGTCGCATTACGGAGTGGGATCAAGCGGGCCCTCAGGAGGAGCAAGACGACTTTGACGAAGCAACAGCGGAAATCACGGCAGAGTTACTTTCGCCCTTTACAAATTGGGCGCCTCCAAAGCTACTAGAAGTGTTATGGTTGTCCCCTGCGGGTGGGTCCCACATCAACATCGACGCCATTTCAGCGAGTGTGAGTTACAGCTTGGTGCTTCCAATGGATAATACAACAATACAACACAACAACATGGCAGGTAGAGGGATAGGTGGATAAGACAAGCGTGCGAACCCCATCGACAGCAACTTCATGGCAGCTAGCCAGTCTTCTGCTTTTTGCCCACAGCATTCTCGCTATCCAACGTCCAATCCTCACTTGTTAGTTAGCCAGCCCATCAATGGGGCTGGGGGGCTGTGGCTGTGGGGATGTGGCAACAAAAAAGAAGAGAAGGACGACCTGATGTCAGTTTTGAAAGTTATTACCGGTACCATAGGAAAACACAGCCTCTTTAATAATACAGTAGTACATGTAGTACTCACTCAGTATAGTAAATCGTTTCACGATCGGTAGGTCTTTCTACTTACAGGCTTTCAATGTCCCAGTTCGGATTTGAGTCGAATGCCATAAATATATTTTTAAATTTTAATAGTATTAAATACCAGTATAAGTAGCAGGACCTCTGTGGAAACGTGATTCTGTTGTGGCCACGAATTTAACTAAAATTTATTAAAGTCGTAATAATAGAGTCTAGACGTCCACATCTCTTCTTTAAACGTCTCCTTTTTATAGCAGACGTCTCGAAATAAATGAAAGAAGTCTCATAATAGAGAAGAGACTTTGTAACTAAGATGGGTACGTCTCATATTGCTTAGTAGACATCCGCTTTAAATAGTAGACGTCTCCTTTTAATTAATAGGAGCATTCTCTTTAATCTCCTAAGTCTGCACCGGAGACATTTTAAGTCTCCTACAAGAGACGTCTCATAATTAAAAGAGAGCCAACCACGACTCCAAATTTCCTCAACGGTCCAGGACCGTGCTTCCTGATTGGTTTGTGCTGTTGTTCCAGCCTCCTTCTTTGGCAGAGACGCAGAGACGCAGAGACGCAGAGACCAAGTTGCTGTAATGAGAGCCTAACAAAACTTCGCTCTGGCCATGGTCCAAAAAAAGAGGGTTGGCTGCGACAGTGGCGCTTGCGCCCATTGCTTCCGCAGCCTCACCACGTCTATTTATTAGTGAACTGGCAACGAGGGAGTTTAGTTAGATGTGCCGCTACGGAAGCCAGCGTAAATCGTCTCACAAAAAACAGCAAAACGAGCATAGACGAACATGTCGGAAGAAGCAGATCCAAAAAAAGAGTCCAGTGGTAAGAAGGCGCTCGAGAGTGATGTGCTTCAATAGTTTGTCTCCTTCCTAAAACTGCGTTGATTTCTTTGCTCGGAGCTGCAGGGAAAGAGACGATGGCCGAGAACACCAATGAAGAAAGTGAGTTAGAGGAGGATGTTCTCTTGAAGATTGTCCAGCAGCGCGTGAGTGAAAACAAGGAGGAAGGAGGAAGAAACATGTCATCCTTAGAAGCAGACCAAAAGAACGGGTCAGCAGCTGCAGTGGAAGAGATGATGGCCGACAACACCAACGAAGAAAGCGAGTTAGACGAGGATGTTCTCTTGAAGGTCGTCAAGCAGCGTATGAGTGACGCTCAGAATGACTGGGACAACATCGCATTCATCGATGTTAGCGTTGAGGAGGAGGCACTGGAAGTTGGCAAAGAAAAGCTACAAGATCCTGATGTAGCGCAAGCTCCCATTCATGAAGCACCAGAGCACCAGACCCCACAGAGACAGCGCCCTCCTCAAACACTTCTTCGGAGGGGAGCTGTGGAGACACCACAAGCCCAGCCCGGAGCATACCCAGTCTACAACAGCCTACATGTAGACACCCCACACCACGACAATCATGAACAAAACGAGCGGTCACGGGCCGAGGATACGTCGCTTGCACTACCTCAATCTCAAGGTACTAGTGACATGGCCATTCGTCAAAGTCCCTTGCAAGGATTTGTGGTCGTGGCGGCAAGATCTGGTCACAACGAGCGTGATGCAGCTGCATTAGAGGAGGGTCAGGAGGCTGAAGCAAGACCTGGGGAAGCGCAGCAAGCATCCCGCTTCCAGCCCCCTTTGATTGAAGGAGTAGTAGAACCATCCCGAACGTTTGGCTGGAGAAAAACCATCATTGCCGCGGGAGGCTTGTGTATGGTGTGTATCATTGTAGTTTTGGTTTTGGGTTTGGCAGGTACATTTGATCCCAAACAGGAGATCCTGATGGAGATGGCACCCTCCTCCGACAAACTGGAGCAATCGGTTCTCCAAAGAGTGAAAGAGCGTGGCTATCTAAAATGTGCCATTCGATACTACCAAGACTCTTTGATGGGCTTTGATATGGATGTGGTAAGTAAGGAGGTGGTGGCAGACCCACTCTTAGATTCGCCGTCAGCTTGCAAATCTGCTTCTCATTCTTTGCTTTGTACATGTAGTGCAAGGCAATTGCCGGAGCCATTCTAGGTGATGCAGCCCTGGTGAGCCGTGAGGGCGCTGCATCTAACGCCACAGTGTTTCTACAAGTCAACGACGGAACATTTGACATTATATCCAGAGCCTTGACACACAACATGCAGCGACAAGTGACGGGGGTAGGTTGCTTGTTCTGGATGCTTGTTTGCATTGGTTCAAGGATGCTACCGCAACTCAAGATTGTCATTCTTTTTTATCAATGTAGCCAGAAGGTGGAATGGGGCTGTCATTTTCACAGCCCTATTTCTATGAGTGTCTGAAGTTAGCAGGGGATCCTTTCTATCTCAAGTGCGCAGAAGACGGGTTTCGGCATCTTGGAAACTGTAGTGATATCAGGATCTGCGTCTGGGGTGACTCAATAGATTCAAGATTTCTGGAAGGCAAACTTCCTCACAAGTTCATTGTTCAAAAGAGCGGCATGGCAGCTATTCGCGGTGGCTTAGCTGATGGTAGCTGCAATATTGCTACATTTGAAGGCACTTCCATTCTTGAGGAGTATGCCCGTGATGCTGGCTATGTAGGTGACTATGAGATTGGCACTCAATGCTTTTACAAGGAGCCCAATTGCCTGGTGATGGGACAAAGTGATCCCGAATTCATTGCGTTTGTCAACAGTGTCCTACAAGCATTATTTGCAGCTGAACAGCACAACATCACACAAGCAGAAGCTGACATGATGCCTCAGACAAGTGTGTTCGGGGAACAGTATGAGGACATGTTTCGTTGGGCTATTCAAGCTTCAGGCAACTTCGGTGAGATCTATGAACGACATTTTTCTTCCACTCTTCCCCGTGGCAGTCTGAATTCCATCAACAATGGTGCCTCTGGCTTGCTCTATTCACATCCCTTTGGCGTCATAGACTACCAAAGGGATCAAAGCGATTTTGGAACCACAATGGCTGCTATCCTTGACAGGGGCGTGGTGCACTGTGGAGTGAGGTATGCTCGTCCAGGTTTTGCAACAATGACGAAGGAGAAGAATGCACCACTGGGGGTGGATGTGGACTATTGCCGTGCCATTGCAGCTGGCTTGTTCAGCGGTCCAAATCATGTTGTACTTGTTGATTTGAATGATTCCACTGATGCCTTTGCCAAACTTGCCGGTGGTGAGGTGGATGTTGTTGCTGGCGCCACATGGAAACTAGAAAATTTTCGTGACCCTATGACTGGAGTTGTGTACTCCTTTTCCAAACCATACTTTTATGGGTCAGGGGATCATGGGGAAGAAGAAAACTACTGCCTTGCTACAGTTAGTGATGACCATGATTGGTCCACATTTGTTTACTGGATTGTGGAGGCAATCACATTTGCAGAAGAGGAAGGCATTAACAGTACAACATCAATCCGAATGCCAGAGGTCCTCCTCTATGGACCCTCCATGAAGCGAATGTTCCGCGATGCCATTCTTGCAGTTGGCAGTTATGCAGAGATATATGAGAGGAACCTTCAAACCTGGATCCCCCGAGATGGACGAAACATGTTGAATCCAGGCTTGAATGGACCTCAGCACTATGTGCTCCCTGGAATCATATGAGAAAGTGGCTGGCAGGCTCGGCGTTTTCTCACATCAGTGTTTTACTTTTTATTTTGCATGTCAAAGATCACACGGTACACCAAATCTAAATTAGCCATCTATCCTATGCTCCACGCTGGATTGGCCGCGTTGCACCGATTCCAAGCAAAGCAAAGTTACTGATGGAGAGTCCACATGTAGACACGGCAGTCAAGGGCGTGTTTTAGTTGCCAAGGCAGGAACAAAGCTTTCATTTGTACCAGTGTGCCATGAGGTTGTTTTTGCTCTGTTGGTTTCTCGACTACACGAATCGAAGGCGAACTCGTCATCATCCTGGTTTTGAGGCTGGTGGCATCGTAGCTTTTAAAAGGGTACCCGGACAAGTCCTACGGCCACGTTTACCACAAATCTCCAATCATGTCCAGATAATTGGGCCGTGCCTCGTTGAACAAATAATGTTCTCCATTCCAGGGACTCAGAATGGTGCCGCTTTGCTTCCACAATGGTGCGCAACTCCTCTCGCGTTCCCCCCCGCCCACGTGAAGAAACCTGCTCGTCTCTGTACTAGACTAAGTCCCAGCCGGAGGAGCGATTATTCAATCAACCATCAAGTGTGCCCCTGTCGCCTCGACTCCTCATGCTCACATGCTTTCTTCGGCCGCCACGATCTCCATTTGTCCTGCGATACAAGGTGCCTGAACCAAAAAGAAATGGAACCATGCAACTGGCTTCCGTAGATAATCTACCTACTCTAAACCCCCGTTGTCTTCTTGCAACGGTTACACAAGCTGACAGTGAACGTCCAGTGGTAAAATCTAAGTTCGATAATAGTTTGTGCTGTGGACTTTGATTCTTGGGAAGAAACCGACGGATTCATGAGTTTGCCGAGAAGACTTCCATACTACTAGCTAGTAAGGACCTGTAGACTCGGCTCTAGCTAGCTAGCTAGCTAGCTAGCTAGCTAGCTAGCTAGCTAGTCAAAGGAGAAACTAAGTCGTCATGGACCACCTGCTAAGAGCGCCAACCTGTAAAGACGTCCGGTGGAGGAATTACGGTACCACACAGCCGGCATAAATCTATAAGTCCCGCTTGTGGGAGCTTAAGAGGCACACCTCTTTGAACGTGCTGCCAGCAACAACAACAACAACAACAACAACAACAACAACAACAACAAAAAACAGCAACAGCAACAGCAAACAGCAACAGCAACAGCAACAGCAACAAGCAGAACAGCAACAGCAACAGCAACAACAACAACAACAGCAACAACAACAGGCAAACAGCAACAGCAACAACAACAACAACAACAACAACAACAACAACAACAACAACAAAAAACAGCGAAGGAAGAGACGACGCACAACCACCGAAGTACTAAATCGGTATATAGCTAGCAAGCAACAAAAACAGCGACGACTACGTAGACTATGATAGAAGGAAAGCCCGTTCTCCAAGATCCCTCTTTCGATATTCTCTTGAGCGATGTGAAGAATGAGCGTAGAACCGATGAAAAAGGGGTTGTTACTTTGGGAGAAATCACAGCTCAGTTGGGGTTGTGAACCGTTGCCATGTTTCCGGGGATGCCGCCCAAATTAATCCCCGTTGAATGGTATCGTCGTGGCAAGGTACAGTCGATGCTTTGCTCCGTGTGTTATCAGCTTTCGGGGTACAACGAACAAGACGGTCTTTCTCCTTGATACGGGTGCCACCTGCACATTTATTGGAAAACCAACCTGGGACAGATTGGTGGAGGGTGTTAAGGACGTCGGGAACAATACGAAAAAGGTGACTTTGAATGGGGAGACCGCCAGGAGGTCACTCTTTCCCCACAGGACAGACATTTCGCGGACATCAACGTACTTGGTACTGATTTCTTCAATCGCATGGACGCTCGCTTCCGCGTTGACTACGAGACCAAGACTTGTGCTTTGGAGTGGGATGAACCCTAATTGAGGAAACTCGATGGCGGAGGTGGAGGCACTTGACTGCTATTTGTGGAGGTTCGACGCGGTGAAGTCCAGAAAGGATTGGAGTTTTTCAAAAGTCAGCGAAATGTTGGAAAAGCTCATGCATCCGAGCTGCAGAGCACTCATTGATGCTAGGAGCTAGGAGGGAAGTGATTGATCCATGTGTTGATTCATCATTCTTCTTGTCAGCAAGAAACGAAGCGGTAGACAAGGGGAGTTTAGTAGGTTTGATGAGTTCGTACACTCTGTGTTGGTTCCCACTTATGTTCTTGTCCCTCTTTCATAGCAATTTCTTATGTTCAAAAAGAGAAAAGAGTACAGCAGCTTGCTGCTTTGTGAGCTTGCTGATGCTGATCCTCCTCTCCGTGTTTGCTTAGACTAGCTAGCTAGCTAGTTGGTGGTAAGGAAACAGTGAAGATTCGATTGAATCGAATCGAATCGAATCTTCCGGTACCCGTTTCACAAGCACCACTAGTTCGCACTGTAGTTTGCGCCAAAATTGAAATTTCAATCAACAGTTAGGAGCTTTCAACCGTCCTTAGTATGCCAGGCGGAAAACTTCTAAATAATCGATGATGCATCCTCTACCGGCGGTCCTCCAGTAACTACCCAGGTGACAATGAAAACACAGCCTCAAAATTCTTTGGTTGACACTTCTGGCTTGCAACCTGCAACCTACCGGTATGACATCCGTCGTCACGCATTGCCAAGTTTGAAAGCAATGTTTCTGAGCTCACCACCTCCCATGTACGACTGTACCGGTACTTTCCTCCAACATGGACTGCAATAACTTTGCCGTAGTCGTCAGGAATGATGCCATTACACTCCTCACTCACACTTAAGATAAGTAAGTGTAAGATACCGAGTACTCAACTTATCGGAAATGTTTAGATAACCCGGACACTCAGATTTCCCAAACCAATAAGATAAGCTACAAGTACTGAGGTCTCAAATCCTAAGCTAATACTAAGACTATGCGGGGATTGAATGCAGCTAGTACCCACTATCTACCACATCACCATCTACATCCAAGTACTCCATATCCTCATCTTAGGGTGCCTCCCTACCACAAAATCTTTGGTTTCATCAATTTTAGCTTTGCACCTTGGCCTTCTTGAGCTTTGGTGGTGGCTCCTCACTGTCTCAGGGCATGGTTAGTAGTAGGGTATGTAATAAAAGCATTTACCAGGTAGTGGCTATAAGATATGAAAGATACTGAGATTGGTCTGCTTGTAAGATAATAACTCAGTGTTGCTGTAGCTAAATGGGTTAAGATACCTCCAGTACTGGACAAAGAATATAGTTATCTTATTGATGAGGTTGGAGTGTATCAATCTGGCCTTGATCAAGCAGAAAGACAATTGCTCCAGAACACCCACGGAAAGTGTTTATGTCATGCTCAAAAGCACGACCGTCCGGCGAGATGTCCTTGATCTCCCCGGTGTAGATATCTGATCGGTCAAACCATAGATTGCTTCAAGTTCTGTCAACGGCACGGAGTTTCGCCTCATCCCAGCATCTTCGCATGTGATCGCAAAATCACGGAAGACTGCGATGCCAATCTTCTGCCCAATCCGAAAACGATAGACTAGTCCTCTCTCATAACAGCCTCGAAAGTAGACCACCGTGCAGTAAAATGGCTCGACACGTTCGACAGTGGGGCCGCTTTTGTTGTGTCATTTCGTGGTTGTGGTGTTTTCCTCTTGATTGCGGGTGTACAACACCGGCAAATCACTTTTCGAGCGCGCCATATTCTATTCACTGGTGAATCCGCAGTGTTATCCTTACATAACGGTTTCACGAGTCGGGCAAACTTCATTGCCGATAGGACACCTAAATTCGCACGGGATACACACTCTCCAGCGGTGAGTTTTCTGATTGGTGGATTGGATTCGGATTCAACTTCAAGTGTCAAGGTGCGTTCGGATTCAACTTCAAGAGCGCATGCCGCGCCAGTGATGCGGTGGATCTTAAATTAAGGGCTGTCCACTCCTTTTAACTCTTTAAACGTTTTACTAAAGAGAAAACAGTAGGGTGGACCGTGGACCGAGGTGGGGTAACAATGAATTTCCCACCTCGGTCCACGCATTAGGGATAGGGGTACGACGGGCCATCGGTGTTGATTAAAACTAGAAAGTTACTTGATTTAATTGACTACGGGTACACCGGGAGAGAAATGAAGCAACGTGGTTACCATGGCGCCACTGTCAAGTCCATGCTCTTTCACGATGTCGTTTTTGGGTAAGGCCGTATTGGCTGCGTAAACGGCTTCCACAACTAGTAGATTCGACGTGGCGGTTGAGGGGGATGCGCTCCAATCTACTAGGGCTTCATCGCTCAGGTTTGACAACCAATTCGGTATCGTCGCTAGGTCTTGGCCGCGGTTGTTGATGAGGAGTTTCCAATGGGTGGCAGAGTGCGGTAGTGTTTCTGCCATGTTGCCGTATAGTAGACTCGGAAATATTTCTGCCATGTTGCCGTAGGCTCAGAAATAGTGAGCTGGGGTTGCGTTTGGTCATGTTCACATTTGCATGTTAGTGCTTACCAGTGAAGTACGCATTCGCGCATCTTGTATCGCGGGTCGGCCGGCTCGTTCATACCAGTGGTGACGTTAGTGCGTCACACGGAACATGGGCTTCCGAGTATCCGGAAGTTAGTCGGAAGTGCGTCACATGGAACATGGGCTTCCGAGTATCCGGAAGTTAGTCGGAAGTGCGTCACACGGAACATGGGCTTCCGAGTATCCGGAAGTTAGTCGGAAGTGCGTCACACGGAACATGGGCTTCCGAGTATCCGGAAGTTAGTCACACGAGTTGGGATTCAATTTTTTTTGTTATCTTAAAGTTGGGAATTAAGGTTCAAATAGGGCTGAATGAGGTGTGGTTGTTAGATTTAAGCGTTCACATAGACGGTTCCTAGTGTTCTTCAGATTCTTCGTGTGCATTAAGCTTAAGTTTGCCATGGAGATCCACATACAGCTTTCTATGGAGAGTGGCTGGTCAAGTTCTACAGTGGCGTCGTCTAATTCTTGGACTGAGTAATTGGGAAACCAGTTTCGGATGTCGACTTCTTCGTCGGGGTTAATCAACAAACACATCTGCAATTGGTTTCGACTATGGTTGTAAGCTATGAAGGCTTCAGTCGCAAACTCGCGACGTATGAACTGGACGAAAGTCGAGTAATCTAGGAGCGAAACACAAAGGGCGGAGACAATAAACATCTGGTTTTTATTATGACAATGACGAACGACTTTAGGATTGCTAACGGAGTACCAATGGGGTTGGGGGAAATACGGCTTTATTTACAGGGGTTTTATGGGATCCCAGTCGCGCTGAGGAAGCAGGGAGATACTGAGATTATGTGTCCGTACTGTGGAGAGGTACATGATCATGGACAGGGTCCTGGGCATTATGTAGCAGCGTGTGACGAAAAAAAGAGGTGTTCTGTGGGAATTGTTATCGGGAATAGGACTTACGTCCCTAATTATGGATACCGGGTCGTTGAATACAAGGAGGAGGACAATGTGAACAAGTTGATTTAGAGGCGCTAGATTTAAAGTATCATTTAAGAATGGATTGTTGGCTTTTGTCCTTACTTGAAGTTGAAGTTGAAGTTCTCTTTCTTGGCGTTCTTTTATTGTACGGGGAGTACCTCGTCGTTAATGGGAAGGACATTCTGTTATCACCGACTCCAGACATTGCTCTTATTTCTTCTTATGGGTGTATTGTTCGATCGGTTGACTTGAAAGATGTTTTTTCATTGCTCGGCTGATGGGCTTCTGCATGATACTGGTTACGTATTTGCCAGCGTTTGACGTTGTTGTCTTTGATTTCTCTAGCCAAGTTTTCACTGCTTGGTTGAAAGCGTTCTGAAGACTCTGTGGTTCTGTATGATGTGTTTCATACACTTTGTTGAAGGCGTCTTGCAGGCTATTGGGGATTCTTGGTTGGGTTGTTGCTTGGATTACATCGTATGCTTTGAGATGGAACCCTGGTGCCATCGCTCCGCCTTCGTCTCCATGGTAGCCTTCAAGCCATTCGGCGTTGTCTCCTTGGATAAAGAGGTAGAGGTATCGGTCTTCTGATAAACCTGGATCATTTACTGTCTTAGAGGGCCAGGCGTTTGTCATCACCACCATGTGGGGGATCTCTTTGAGGTGAATTGATTTGGAGTTGTATTTCGGACTGTCCAGTTTTTTGTTCTTTACATCTTCTAGGAAGGCGCTTGATATGTAGGATTGACGAGCTCGAGGTACGTCCATGAATACTACCTTGGGGTCTCCGTATTCGATGACTTTGTTGATAAGTGCGTAGCCTATATCTGCACGCTTATCTGCTCCTATTAAGTAGGTCTTTCTTTCTCTCCATACTTTTGATCGTACCATTTGCAAAACCATGATTTCCCTGCATTGCCTTCTTTGTCGACTACGAAGATGATTTCTCGGTCATTGGTTGGGCCTTGTAGTTTCTCTACAAGCATCTGTTGCCATTTGTGGAGAGGGTGATTTGGCTCTGATGGTTTGGCACGGTGGGTAACTAGGAGGTCTCGCCAATATTCTTGGTGGCGGGCAGCAAGTTCGGCAGATGCTTCTCGCACTTCTGCCATCGTTGTGACGGATCCTTCCTGGATTTTGGCAGTCACATTGGTGTACTCTGAAGATACATGACCTGTTGCCTTTTTAGTTTGAATTTTCAGTCCATCATGTTTATCGAGGTCTTTCCCTACTATATAGTAGTCTCCTTCTTTCATACAGTACCGAAATGCCGCAAGTGGGGGTTTCCCGCCTTCTCCCTGGACACTCAAATGCATGCACGGGGAGTTGTATCCGAAGAAGGCGTGGACGGTTGATTGGCGCAGACGCTTCTTGAAATGGAGGATGTAACCTTGGAGGTGGGGGGTACCGGAAGCACTTACTTCCCTGCCTATGATCGCGGTGATGATTTCTTCTTTGCCTTTTGCAAATCCTTCTTCAGGCTTAGTATAGTCTTCAGGGGTGTAGTTGTTAAAGGTGATACACCAGTGTCTGGCTTGGACGGTATTGTTCCACTTAACCTTTCCCGTAGGGTTTCTTTGATCATTGGTAATGTCTGATGGCAAGTCTTCTCTACCTGTTGCATCTCCTTGGGGATGCACGTTCGATACATCCGGCAGTGGTTGTGGGCGGTTACCAACTGAGTCATGGCATGCTGTAGGTTCTCTAACTCCATTGTCGTCATGAGTGGCAGCATTTTTACAAGTACGGGCGGTGACAGGGATAGGAGATGAGAGATTCTGGAGGCCATCTGTGTTCATGTTTTTTATGAGTGACAGAGTGACAGAGTGACGATTATACGAATGGGTGGGGGTTTGGACCTTGAACTAACTAACTAATGCTATGGGCTGGGCTATGGCTATGACTACTAACTAAACTAATGCTATGGGCTGGGCTATGGCTATGCTAACTAACTAACTACTAATGCTATGGGTTATGCTAACTAGCTAATGCTATGGGCTGGGCTATGGCTATGCTAACTAACTAACTAATGCTATGGGGCTGGGCTATGGCTATGCTAACTAGCTAATGCTATGCTAACTAGCTAATGCTATGGGCTGGGCTATGGCTATGCTAACTAACTAGGGTTAGTGGCCTAACTGAACTGCATGACTGATAGGGTTAATAGAAAAATAATGGATTGATGGAGTTTGTAGACGCTCACACGCCGCTTGGGCTGTTTGGAGACGAAAAGTGCGGAGAGACAGGTGACAAAAACGTAAACCGGGGAGGGTTTGGACCTTGGCACTTTTCGTGTAGGAATTGTACCAACCTCTACGAGGAGGTCCAATTTTGCCTGTAATAATACCCCCCCCCCCTCAAATTTGAGTGCGGGTGTGTGTTTGGCAAAATTGTACTTTATCATTAGAGGAGAAACACTACCAGGAGAACGTGGAGTCTCCACCTCCACGGTAAGCGTGAGCGTGAGCGTGACACGCTTTCAACAGAGCGTGTTAACGTGGAATGGTCGTTGTCCACTACATTAGGGGTAGGGATTTTGTTTAGGGATTTTTCTTGATTTAAAGGTAGCATTCTTAGTTACTCCTCTTCTTCGCTGTCATCATCCGTATCTCCTTCGTAAGGAGCAGGAAGTTCATGATCCCAATCAGTAACATGGACTCCAATGTTTGTTTCAATGTCGTTAACAGCCGCCTTGATGTCACCAGGAATCAATCCACCACCCCAACGAAGACCGAAGGCGCGCACAAGAGCCAACCAACGACGGTACTTGGGGACTCTTGCATCACCGGCATTCCCATCATCATTGATTTCCGCGATCACATCCTTGATAGTCATGACACCGGTGTTCCAAACAAACCACAACGCAAAACTAGCGAAAACATAGTGATGGATGTAATGTCCACTCATGTAGATGTATTCGTAAGCAGCATCAACGGTGACCGCCAGCTGCATGAGGATGAAGAAATGTAGAAGAGTAAACATTGCAAAGGAAACTGACGAAGGTTGTTTGTTGGCTTTGTTGTCGAAGGTTGTTTGTTGGCTTTGTTGTCGAATTGTGGTGGTCTCCAAGTTCGTTGTCGACGATTTTTTCGTGCACTTATGGGAGTCACCGTGAAAACGCCACGATGGGAAAATCCACGATGGGAATCAATCAATCGGGGTTACTCACAGCCAAATCATCGCCGAAATGCATGATTGACTTTAAATTTAAATTTTTAAATAACGACGTATCAAGCGTGAACCGAACGAAACGTAGTGTAAAGCGTGGTGATGTAAAGAGTGGTGACACGCTTTCAACGGAGCGTGTTAACGTGGAATGGTCGTAGGAACTGAGTATCGCCTCACAACAATCACTCACAAGGGACAAAGCAAAGTCGACAACAACAATGCCGGTCCTTTTCCAAGCTGCCGCTTATCTTGTTCATGCCAAGTCGAATTGGGCCTGGGAGTTCATGTTCCCTGATCCTAACAGTGGAGGACCAATCACAGCTCAGGCAGCTGTGGTGTTTGTTCGCGTGACTTACACTGAAAGGGATGGCAACAGGACTGTCCAGGGATTTGGGTCCCTCCGGGATGCCTATATGTACTCTCAGCAGATTGGAACCTTTTGGGAGGCTGTTGATGCAGCAAACAGATGCAACGAGGTTGTTAAGAGGGTTTGTTACCGACAGGTCTTGGATTTGATGAATCAGCAGATTGGAACCTACGGGCAGGGTTATCTCCCGCATGAACTCAAGAGGGCCATGAACGAAATTGAGGGGTACCTCAACGTCGCGTTGACTGTTTGGGTCTAGAGTCCCATGAAGAGAGAGTGTTGTGGCTGCCATGTTGTCTATTGGATAAGGACAAGGAGGAGTGCAGATAAACACTAAAAAATAAAAAATAAAAATAAATTATATTTGCTTGGTTGCTTAGACCTGGTAGATCTTTCGTGAGAACATGTGTTCGATGAAGGAGTAGGGGGTGTTAGGTGGGAGAGGGTGGTACCAGGGCTTCGTCTTGTCAGTGAGGAGTGCTTCATTGCGGCCGATGATAGAGAGGTGGACTGCTGTCGCTGCACTGAATGGATGTTTGCCTTGAGTCTTAACGTTTGAAGCGTTGCTCAACAATGCTTTCTTGATGCGCTCCGTCACAAGACCTGCTTCTTCCATTGATGGCTTGGTGGTTGGATAGGAGTCGAGGAAGTGGACCATGACTCTGACAGCTGCTTTAATGACTCGGTACTTACATCTCATGCGGTTGTCAACCTTTGCAGACTTGTAGGATTTCATGAAGTTGTAAGCGAAGTAATTGACGAAGACAACTTTGGGATCTGGGTTCCTGCTGACGAGATCCAGAAGCGCTTTCAGGGGTTTGATGTTCAATTCACGCTGGAACGGAGAGATGGTCAAGTCTGCATTCGAATCTGTTGAGGCCGGTGGAGAGGGGACGGGGGAGACTGTAGTGTGTTCAACGAGGTTTGCCTTGTCGAAGAGATCTAGACACGATGACTTGAACTTGTTGAATTCAGCTAGACTGATGTCTTCCTGCGCGAGTCGTTTCATAAGGGTTGCAACAAGGATGTGGTTGCTTGGGTCTTTGAATAAACCATTGGGTTCTGCCTCGATGTGATGTAGAAGCTGATCCCATTTGGCAAGGACACACATTAGAATCATTTGCATGGCTTGGATGCTGAGCACGTCATCAGGGATGTGACCGAAGAACACCGTACACATCTTATCGCCCATGTCTTTCGAGATGGGTTCATACGATGGGGTGGTGACACGTTGGTATTCACCGCTGACTTTGGAATAGCCTGCAAGAGCTTTGGCTCCATTGAGGAGGTACGGCCAGGGATTTGAGAAGTACTCGGTGCGAGCTCCTTCCCCGATATTCCATCCACCATACAACTGCGCGGCTATATGCTCCTTGGCTCCGTCAAGGAGGTATTGCGCCGTGTGTTTGCCAAAGTGTGATGTGCCTTTTCGTACAGCGATGTTCTCAGTCGGGGGATACCTCTTCCAGATGGAGTTGAGGGTGCTTGTGTAGTGGGCACTTACGTCTCCGGTCAAAGCTGCAATAGATGGCATGAGGGTTTTGTTGTTGTGGATGAACAAGGACAAACCGATCGCAACAGGAAGGTCACCAAAAACATCGTGCTTGTTGGGAATCAAAGGGTGGTTGTTGTCAACTCCCATCTTGTCGCGCACAAGATAGCATTGAAGGATATGGTTGAGGGGTCCTTCATAAACCTCTCTAACTGAGAGGTTCTCCACGGAGAGGCGGGAGGCTTCAGTTGCCCTGCCTGCTGCAAAGTCGGAGAGTGGCTGTCTGGAAAACGTAGAAGTCGATGTAATTTTCTAGATTGAACCAGAGGCAGCGTTGGAGGATGAATGCAATGTCTGTACTGGAGTAGACTTTGTTTTGGGTTGCTAGGGGGGTTGCTTTCTTCCGGTCCTTGACTTTCGCTTTCAAGGAACTGAAGGTTGAAGCGTAGGTTTCTTCGATGACTTTCAGGTAGCGGGAGAGCATGAACTTCTTTGTCAATTGATTCTTGATAGACGGCATGTACCGTTCCAGGGTGCCTACTGCATAGGCGGTTCCGTCGGCCTTTTTGAGGCTGAACCAAAAGGCTGGTTGGCCGTCGAAAAATAAAAACCACCACTTTGTTACATCGTCATCGTTAGTTGAGAAAGCGCCTCCTGTCTCAGTGATGTCTTCGTAGCTAACACTTGGTAAACCGAGTCGGATCTGGAGTTGGTTCAAATAGGGCTGAATCTTGGAGGCGGTGCTGTTATGCTTGGACTGGCATGACTTAGAGGATGAAGCGTAGAAGTTTACATGGACTTCTTCAAGGGACGACGATCCTTGAGAGGATACCATTGCTGGCGAACTTAGAATCGAATCTGTCAGGGTGCTTGGATGGTGCTTTGATGGGAATTGTGAGGAAGTTTGGGCTGAGAACACTCTTTGGAAGGGTCCCAGGAAGTGGACCGAGGACCGAGGTGGATTGGGGTTGTCAATCCGCGGTGACGAGCTTGGGTCTATAGTTTGACGTATACCATTGCTAGGGAGTGGAATCAGACGTCTGGAAGTAGATTACTTAGATGTTTTTCGCGTGCAGCGCTAACAACCCAAACTGTTGACTCAGATTTGGAAAATGGCGCGAAATGCATTTTGGGTGGACGACTGGTGTTGTGAAGGTATTTCCTTTGTTTGAGTTGTGGGGTGAGGAATGAAGAGGGGTTCCCCCAAAATCGCAAAGTTTACCCCATGAGCTTTACTATAGAAGTTAAAGTACACTGATAGTTTGTACACTGATAGTTTGTACACTACGAGCTCGACGAGAGGGTACTACTAGTAATACGGGGGTGCGACAGTGAATAATGGCGTGGCAAGCCGCGTTGAACATCAGAGATTTTCTCACTGAAAGGGGTTCTCTTCAAACTTCAATTATTAATTAATAACAAGACCACTCAGCGTACTGTACGAGCTGTACCGGTACTGAGTAACACGTAATACTCCATCCGAATCATGATGCATACGTCAGTTAATTGACTTGCACTTTTCATTAACGCATTTTTCAATACAGATTTAGAAAGCAATTCCTTTGCGCTTTCCAATAATACCATCATTAGAGGCAAAAGTGCCAACGGAACACCATAAGTGTAATAAATCTTGTGATAAGGTTCAACTTGCCGAAGATTATACAAAACTCTTGTGAGTTGCATGTCACATTTGGGACATCGCTTTTGTGAGGGTCATGTCGGCGTTTTACTGTCGAGATTTTATAGGCTTGCGTTTGTCAAAACGGCGGGAGTAAAGTGACAAAACAAAATTCGCAACCGCCCCAGATATCCCAATCCAACCCGGTGTCCATCCAAGGAAGAAGCCAGAAGCAAACACAAGTGAGAGGGCGACAGCGTGACAGCGGCAGCAACGCACAGGTGCACACGCCCTTTCCTCGTCAAACCTCACCACGTGAACCTCTACACAAAAGTTGAGGGCTGGCTGCGCCAGAGGTGAAGCTTCATACGGACCAGTAATTCGTTTCACAAACCAAGGAGGAGCAGAGTAAAACATGTCGGAAGAAGCAGATCCAAAAATAGAGTCCAGTGGTATGCAGGCACTTGAGAGTGATGAGAACTGTTCCGATTCCTTGCTCGGAGCTGCAGGGGAAGAGATGGCGGCCGAGGACGCCAACCAAGAAAGCGAGTTAGACGACGATTTTGTCTCGAAGATCGCCAAGCAGCTTGTGAGTGACGCCCCGAATGACAGGGACAACCTCGCATCCATCGGTGTCAGCGTCGAGGAGGAGGCAATGGAAATTGGCAAAGGACAGATACAAGATCCCGATGTAGCACAAGCTCCCATTCCTGAAGCAGAAGAGCACCAGACCTCGCAGAGACAGTGCACTCCTCGAACAGTTCTTCAGAGGGGAGCTGTGGAAACACAAGCCCTGCCCGGAGCATACCCAGTGTACAGCAGCCTACATCTAGACACCCCACACAATGACAATCATGAACAAAATGAGCGGTCGTGGGCCGAGGATACGTCACTTGCACCACCTCAATCTCAAGGTACTAGTGACATGACAATTAGTCGAACTCCTTTGCAAGGATTTGTGGTCGCGCCGGCAAGATCTGGTCACAACGAGCGTGATGTAGCTGCATTAGAGGAGGGACAGCAGGTTGAAGCCAGACCTGGGGAAGCACAGCAAGCATCCCGTTTCCAACCCCCTTTGATTGAAGGAGTAGTAGAGCCATCCCAAACGTTCAGCTGGAAAAAAGCCCTTATGGCTGCAGGAAGCTTGTGTATGGTGGGTATTATTGTGGTTTTGGCTTTGGGTTTGGCAGGTACATTTGATTCCAAACAGGAGATCCCGATGGAGATGGCACCCTCATCGGACAAACCTAAGCAATCGGTTCTCCAAAGAGTGAAAGAGCGTGGCTATCTAAAATGTGCCATTGTATACTTCCATGACGCTTTGAATGGCTTCAACATGGATTTGGTAAGTACGGAGGTGGATGAATGCATGCATGCATGAGTGGGGACCCACACTAGGATTCGCCTCGCCGTCAGCTCGTTACGAGAAGTGTGAATCTGCTTCTCATTCTTTTCTTCTTGCAGTGCAAGGCAGTTGCCGAAGCCATTCTAGGTGATTCAGCCCAAGTGAATCATGAGGGCGCCGCATCCAATGACACAGTGTTTCTACAAGTCAGCGACGGAATATTTGACATTATAGTCAGAGGCATTACACACAAGATGCAACGACAAGTGGCGGGGGTAGGTTACTTGTTCTGGATGTTTATTTGCGTTGTTTCAGGTGTGCTACTGCGACTCAAGATTGTCATTCCTTTAACAATGCAGCCAACAGGTGGAATCGGACTGTCATTTTCAACACCCTATCTCTATGATTGTATGAGGTTAGTAGGGGATCCTTTCTATCTCAAGTGCGCAGAAGATGGGTTTCAGCATCTTGGAAACTGTAGTGATATCAGGATCTGCGTCTGGGGTGACACATCACATTCAAGAGTTCTGGGAAAAAATATTCCTAACAAGTTCATTGTTCCAAAGAGAGCCATGGCAGCTATTCACGGTGGCCTAGCGGATGGTAGCTGCAATGTTGCTGCATTTGAAGGCATTTTCGTTCTTGAGGAGTATGCCCGTGAAGCTGGATATGTAGGTGACTATGAGATTGGCACTCAATGCTTTTCAAAGGAGCCCCTTGCCCTGGTGATGGGGCAAAGTGATCCCGAATTCACTGCTTTTGCCAACAGTGTCCTACAAGCATTATTTGCAGCTGAACAGCACAACATCACACAAGCAGAAGCTGACCTGATGCCTCAGACAAGTGTGTTCGGGGAACAGTATGAGGACATGTTTCGTTGGGCTATTCGAGCTGCAGGCAACTTTGGTGAGATCTATGAACGACACTTTGCTTTGACCCTTCCCCGTGGCAGTCTGAATTCCATCAACAATGGTGCGTCTGGCTTGCTCTATTCACATCCCTTTGGCATCATAGACTACCAGAGGGATCAAAGCACTTTTGGAACCACAATGGCTGCTATCCTTGACAGAGGAGTGGTGCACTGTGGAGTGAGGTATTCTCGTCCAGGATTTGCAACAACGACGAAGGAGAAGAATGCACCACTGGGGGTGGATGTGGACTATTGCCGTGCCATTGCAGCTGGCTTGTTCAGTGGTCCAAATCGCGTTGTACTTGTTGAGTTGACTAATTCCACTGATGCCTTTGCCAAACTTGCCAGTGGTGAGGTGGATGTTGTCGCTGGTGCTACATGGAAACTGGAAAACGTTCGGGACCCTAAGACTGGAGTTGTGTACTCCTTTTCCAAACCATACTTTTATGGGTCAGGTGGTGATGTGCAAGAAGAAAACTACTGCCTTGCTACAGTTGGTGATGACCATGATTGGTCCGCATTTGTTTACTGGATTGTGGAGGCAATCACATTTGCAGAAGAGGAAGGCATAAACAGTACAACATCAGTCCGAATGCCAGAGGTCCTCCTCTATGGACCCTCCATGAAGCGAATGTTCCGCGATGCCATTCTTGCAGTTGGCAGTTATGCAGAGATATATGAGAGAAACCTTCAGACCTTGATCCCCCGAGATGGACGAAACATGTTGAATCCAGGCTTGAATGGACCTCAGCACTATGTGCTCCCTGGAATCATCTGAGATAGCCGAAGTGGTAGTGGCCTAACAGGAGCACAAGCTGCAATTTGCTCAGTATCGCGGAGAAAACGTTTTAGCCTGCTCCAGTTGGAATTATAGTGAAGTGTTCTTTTGAGTTTGAGGCTCCCTTTGAAGATGACAGCTAGACACCCAAGAGGTGGTCGGGACGTCCGCAATACGTGCCATTCTTCCTAGTGTTGGTACTCTGCTCAGAAGTGGTGCCTTGTCGGAGATTCCTCTCTTCAACCACAGATATTGAATCTCTTGCCTCGATTCGCCTGTGCTTGTCATCTTGATGTTCTCACATTCTCTGGAGTGAACAACGTTCTAGTATCGACCTGACGAATCCCCACTTTGTTGTGCTAGTGGTGCATCGAAACGTAGCTGTCTCTCTGCTTCAGGAATACGTCTTGCTCGTCTCATCCAAGCTGAACGTAACAATCGTCGGGGATCCGATGCGGAAGAGTCGATCTTTCTCAGATCCCTGCCCCTTGTCCTCTTTGAATGTCATCGTTTTTCCGGTCCTCTAAGCTCTTCTGTTCGTGTCGGCAGTGAGCAATCCTCTTCATGTTTCCGTGGTCGTGTGCCATTCAGAACGTATTGATAGCAGATGAGTGTCGCGAGAGGCATCACAATCTTTCTTCGAAAGCGCGATGCCGGCTCAGCTCCTTCGTCCAGGACAAGTGAACGTACTCCACAGCTAGTTTCAGTGTGTCGAGACTGATTGAACAACCCAAGGCCTGGGCGAGTGGCTGAGGGGGGGGCTGATCACACAGGCTCTGCAATGACGCCCGGTTTTTATCGTGCGTCCACCAGGCGCCAGTAGCCGTGTGCCTCCACTGAACATTCGTTTACTCCTTGATTCCCGGCTTAGAATGGTTGATTCATCGAAGCCAATCCATCGTTCGTGCATGGTGCTATTTCACAGGAGGACTTGCCGTTGGAATACCAATAACGCACTCTACAATGAGCAGGAGACGACTTGAAACAGACGATCTCACCAGACCCCAGGCGACCCCTCTATAGCTAGTGGTTTCTTGTTTACTCAGGGGGTTTAGAGTAAGTGGTTTCTTGTTTCAGCGCTTGAAGCTAGCGTTGGTTCCAAGATAAGTCAATTTGATTCGACGTGCCCCGGTTGGATCCGGGAAGCCTCTCCAAGAGCATAATACATCCTGTGGCTTCATCAAACATAGGTCTGCGTGCTGCCCTAGTCTTGGACGCTAGTAGCGCAACCCGGCAAGCAGACAAAGGCAATGTGTGTGATATCGGTAGCCTGTTTTCGGTCTGTAACATCACGTTTGCCGGGTTAACCCTGGGTGTGCGGTCTTGCCCGGTCGCATCGGGCCTTCGTTTTGTTAGTAACAAGAAATCTCCACACGTATTTGCGAGTTGGCGCCTTGAATCGTTTTGGCAAACTTGTCCAGGTCTGGTTGGACATTCGTCGATTGAAAATTCTCGAAACGTACTTTGCGGACAGAAAAGTATCCGGAAACAATGAGGATGTCCTTGATGTTGGTCAGCGTAAGGGTATTAGCCACATTGATGGATTCAGCTTTGTCTGCAATGAGTGCAGCTAGCCCAATAAAAGGAAGGTGCCGGTGTTGAAAGCGCTGATGTTGAAGGTGCTGGTGTCGCTGCTCCGTCCTTGCCTCCACCAGAAATCACTGTTGGAAATGAGATGGACGTTGTTGACTCTCCAGCAAGCAATTTTAGGGGAATGAGTGGATTTCCAGAATCGCCACAGAATCTCCACCGATCAAACTCGAATACAACAGCATTGGGGCAAAGTGATTCTGCACCTGGCGTGTTTGAGGATGCTCCATCTGAGTCTGAGCCCGGAACAACCGGAAGGTGCTTCTACGACCACTGAAGGCACTCCAGAATCTGAGCCTGCCGCCACTGAGGGCACTTCAGAGTCTGTGAGTGCTCACATCTGAAGGTGCTCCATCTGAGTTGGAGCCTGTCACAACCGAGGATAATTCTGCCACAACAGAAAATTCTTGACTTCATCAGAACCTGAGCCCGAGCTTGAAACAAATGAGGGTGATCCATCTAGTTTGGTACTCCTGTGAATTTTCCTTCGTCAGAGTCAGAGCTTGTCCTAGCTAGCTGACGGAGTTCCATCAGATGCGGTTCCATCAGATGCGGAGCCTGGCTACGTAGCCTGAGCGAAGTGGAACTTCTTAATATGAATGGGGAGTTACTATGGATTAGAGAGAGCTAAGATGAGGATGGGGACAGAGCTCGAGGGGAGGGCACGATGCATGAACACAAGGCAAGCAATCAAGTGCGCAAGCAGGGCAACATGGAAACCAAGGAAAGGGGTGAAGGCAGGAGGGCAGGGAGGAGCAAAGGAGCAAGACTAGCCGAAGAGATCAAGGGCACCACAGTCATCCCAACTTCTTTGGTCAACCCTGCTATCTAGCTAGCCTGTTGCCATGTTGCCATTGAGACCATTGAGATTGATTCATGAATCGAATCATTCATGGCTGGCTTCCGTAGATAAGCTACAGTACCTAGTACTAGCTACTACTAGCTAGCTAGTACAGCTAGACTACTCTAACCCCCCCCCTTCTCTCTTCAAGAAACAAGAAGAAAACAAAAGTGCCTGCGCCGTTTTTCGCGCGAAGCTTCTCTACGCGAACCTATGTTGTGAACTGGCAACAAGCTGTTTCGGGTCCATTAGTCTACTTCGACAACCGGAAATCTGTGGCACAAAACCAAGCTAAGGAGAGAATCACGGGGGCTTTGAGTGGGTGGATTATCTACGGAAGCCAAGGAGAGAAACATGTCGGAAGAAGCAGATCCAAATAAGGAGTCCAGTGGTAAGCAGGCGCTCGAGAGTGATGAAAACTGCGCCAATTTCTTGCTCGGAGCTGCAGGGGAAGAGACAACGGCCGAGAACACCAACGAAGAAATCGAGTTAGATGAGGATTTTCTCTTGAAGATCGCCAAACAGCTTGTGAGTGACGATCAGAATGTCGGGAACAACCTCGCATCCATCGGTGTCAGCGTTGAGGAGGAGGCAATGGAAATTGGCAAAGGACAGCTACAAGATCCTGATGGAACGCAAGCTCCCATTCCTGAAGCAACAGGGCACCAGACCTCTCAGAGACAGGGCCCTCCTGAGACAATTCTTCGGAGGGGAGAACCAGCCATGGCTGTGGACACACAAGACCAGCCCGGAGCATACCCAGTCTACCACGACATACATGTAGAAACCCCACACCGCGACAATCATGAACAAAACGAGCGGTCATGGGCCGAGGATACGTCGCTTGCGCCACCTCTATCTCAAGGAACCGGCATGGAAGGTCCAACAGGGATTAATCCTTCTGGCGACATGGTCGTTGGTCAACCTCCTTTGCAAGGATTTGTGGTCGCGCCGGCAAGATCTGGTCACAACGAGCGTGATGTAGCTGCATTAGAGGAGGGTCGGCAGGTTGACGCCAGACCTGGGGAAGCACAGCAAGCACCCCGTTTCCAACCCCCTTTGATTGAAGGCATAGTAGAACCAACCCAACCATTTGGCTGGAAAAAAGCCATCATGGCCGCGTGTAGCTTGAGTATGGTGGTTGTCATTGTGGTTTTGGCTTTGGGTTTGGCAGGTACATTTGATTCCAAACAGGAGATCCCGGTGGAGATGGCACCCTCCTCGGACAAACTGGAGCAATCGGTTCTCCAAAGAGTGAAAGAACGTGGCTATCTAAAATGTGCCATTCGATATTTCCATGACTCTTTGAAGGGCTTTGATATGGATGTGGTACGTAAGGAGGTGGATGAATGCATGCATGCATGAGTGGGGACCACAGTTGGATTCGCCCCGCCGTCAGCTCGTTACGAGTAGTTCAAATCTGCTTCTCATTCTTGCTTTCTTGCAGTGCAAGGCAATTGCCGGAGCCATTCTAGGTGATTCAGCCCAGGTGAAGCATGAGGGCGCTGCTTCTAACGACACAGTGTTTCTACAAGTCAGCAATGGAACATTTGACATGATGGTCAGAGGCATTACACACAATATGCAACGACAAGTGGCGGGGGTAGGTTGCTTGTTCTGGATGTTTATTTGCATTGGTTCAGTGATGCTACTGCAACTCACCTTTTTTACAATGTAGCCAACAGGCGGAATCGGGCTTTCATTTTCACGGCCTTATTTCTATGATTGTATGAGGTTAGCAGGGGATCCTTTCTATCTCAAGTGCGCAGAAGATGGGTTTCAGCATCTTAGAAACTGTAGTGATATCAGGATCTGTGTCTGGAGAGACACATCACATTCAAGATTTCTGGAAAAAAATATTCCTAACAAGTTCATTGTTCCAAAGGAAGGCATGAAAGCTATTCGCGCTGGCCTAGCTGACGGTGGCTGCAATATTGCTGCATTTGAAGGCATTTCCATTCTTGAGAAGTATGCCCGTGATGCTGGATATGTAGGTGACTATGAGATTGGCACTCAATGCTTTTCAAAGGAGCCCCTTGGCGCGGTGATGGGACAAAGTGATCAAGAATTCACTGCTTTTGTCAACAGTGTCCTACAAGCATTATTTGCAGCTGAACAGCACAACATCACACAAGCAGAATCTGACATGATGCCTCAGACTAGTGTGTTTGGGGAGGAGTATGAGGAAATGTTTCGTCGCGCTATTCGGGCTTCGGGCAACTTTGGTGAGATCTATGAACGACACTTTGTTTCGACCCCTCCCCGTGGCAGTCTGAGTTCCATCAACAATGGTGCCTTTGGTGAGATCCACGAACCACACTTTGCTTCGACCCTTCCCCGGGGCAGTCTGAATTCCATCAACAATGGTGCGTCTGGCTTGCTCTATTCACATCCCTTTGGCATCATAGACTATCAAAGGGATGAAAGTGATTTTGGAACCACAATGGCTGCTATCCTTGACAGGGGCGTGGTGCACTGTGGAGTGAGGTATTCTCGTCCAGGATTTGCAACAACGACGAAGGAGAAGAATGCACCACTGGGGGTGGATGTGGACTATTGCCGTGCCATTGCAGCTGGCTTGTTCAGTGGTCCAAATCGCGTTGTACTTGTTGAGTTGACTAATTCCACTGATGCCTTTGCCAAGCTTGCCAGTGGTGAGGTGGATGTTGTTGCTGGTGCCACATGGAAACTGGAAAACTTTCGGGACCCTAAGACAGGAGTTGTGTACTCCTTTTCCAAACCATACTTTTATGGGTCAGGTGGTGATGGGGAAGAAGAAAACTGCTGCCTTGCTACCGCTAGCGATGACCATGATTGGTCCTCCTTTGTTTACTGGATTGTGGAGGCGATCACATTTGCAGAAGAAGAAGGCATTAACAGTACAACATCAATCCAAATGCCAGAGGTCCTCCTCTATGGACCCTCAATGAAGCGAATCTTCCGCGATGCCATTCTTGCAGTAGGCAGTTATGCAGAGATATATGAGAGGAACCTTCAGACCTTGATCCCCCGAGCTGGACGAAACGTGTTGAATCCAGGCTTGAATGGACCTCAGCACTATGTGCTCCCTGGAATAATATGAGAAAGTGGCTGTGCTCTCTCACATCAGCGTTTACGTGATGCACCAGTATTATGAACGTCAAAGATCGCGAGGTACACTAATGAAAAAATTGTAGATTTAGCCACTTGTGGGATGAACAGAATGATGAACATCAGACATCTTCTTTTGATGCTGAAAACGGGGCTTCCTGGTTCGTTTCTTTTTCACTCGCGGCTTGGACGGTTTTAAAGAGGATGGGTATGGGTATTGTGGTTCCTCTTGTTGGCGCAACTATAGCTCGACTGCGCCCTTGAGGTCGCGGCCACACTCGACAGAGCACATTTATTAATAATAGACAAGAATGAGATTAGTAGAAACGAAACGCGCACAGCAGCCTTTTAATGGCTGCTCCGCTCCGTAGCCAGTTGTCGACCTCACAACAGATGTACGCCTGACAGTGACTTAGTTAGATGGCTAGCTAGCTACTAGTAGCCACTGTAAATGGAGAAGTCAAGCAAGACGCTGGAAGTTGGTTGGTCGGTAGGTGCAGCACGATGGCTGGTGTGGACAGTGGACGCATAGACGACCAAGTTTGGTAGTGAGAAGATTCGCAGGAAATCACACATAGTCCGATGCCTTGGCCAACTTGTGGTCCTTCCACAGGTACACGGCCAAACATTCCTTGGCACGAGCTTCATCTACGCCCGCTACTTGAAAGGTATTGATATCCAAAGGGCGGATGATTTCACGCGTCTCGCTGCCGGTTGTTGGTTTGCTCAATCCATCTGCCTTGAGAGCCAATTCCATCACTTGCTCCCAGAGCTGTCGACCACGCGGCGTGTCCTCAAAGGGAGCAATGTTGTGTGCATTGAGCCAGGCCGCTCGCACTAGTTGTGTCCATTGGTCCCAAGGTCTACGTTGGGGTGACACAGGGGCTCGTTGGCACCAAGCTTGAGCCATGGAAGTGCAATCGGCATATTTTTCGATACACGTTTGGTACCACTCGTGAAACTCTTTCAGATCGCCTTCTTGTTCCGGCAGGTCTTGGTAGTTCATACAGAATATCTCTGCCTTTACTCCCTCGTTCAAATTCAAATGATTGACACTGGAGTCCTGTTGGTCGGTTTTGTCGTCGTCACGTGAGGGGAAGAACCATCCCATTTGCTCCGTGTGTTCTTCCTGTTCTCGGGTAAAAAGGTTGATGAACGGGATGCGTTTCTCTTGAAGAAGGATCCTGGCGGGCCCCGGAGGCACCTCTGCTTCAATGTCCTCGGGACTATGCTCTCTCAGGAACGGAAATGCATTCTCCCCGGTCCAGTACTCCTCGGTAAAGATAAAGTAGTCGTCATGATCGCCCAGAACAAGATGTTGGCTAAACGCAAGTCCACCGAGTCGACCACTCCACACATGACACAAGGGAATACGGCCTCTGATAACGGATAGAAACTGCTCATTTGGTTGAAAGTGTCCATTGGGTGGCATTGTGATTTGATCCATAATAATCTCTCCAACAAGGCTGGCGTGAAGTGGGTGGGGATGAAAGGGCCCGTAGGTTTCCTGAAGAGTCATGAGCGCCTCCATAAAGACGTCCAGCACATCCATCCAATTAACGCTGTTGGGGTTGTTCGGTTCATTATTTTCTGTTGTTTCTTGAATGTGACTGTCGAGTCGATCGGCGTCCTCTTTTAGAATGCTAAACAGAGCAAAGAGACGATCCAGCTGAAAGGCGGGATTGCATACGCTGCGTGTAGCTTTACAACAGCAAGCCCATGCCTGAATTTCAAAGGGATCGAGAAACTCGGTTACATTGCGAATCAGTTCCTTGTTTTGCAAGAGTAGAGTTGGATCCTTTGGCCCGGTTTTCTGCTTTTTCGACAGTCGATCAGAAGAAGCTGCTTTCTTCGTCGTCAAAGGACGATGAGGCCGACGCCAAGCCAATCTCTCGACAGGAAAATCCTCAGCAAAGATGCGAGTGAGCGCTTGAGCTATGGCGGGACTAGTAGAGGGATCTGCCATGGTGCGGAAGAATAGTAGTCTAACAATAGTTGTCTCCCTTGACCAAGTTGTTGCCATTATTTGGGGTTCGTCAGTTTCACATTCAAAGCAAGAGAGGAAAAGATCTTCGAAAAAGAAGAAGATCCAAAAGACGTTGAGTCGAGTGACTCAGTCGGGTTTCAGAAATTCTGAATTTTGTCCAAACAGGATGGCGTTCAGCGAGGAAAATTGAAGGCAAATCGTGGATTTGTTTGGATCCTTCTCTAGCTAGCTAGTAGAGAGTTCTGGTATTCTCTGGATTCCTGGATAGTTTGATGGCAGCTGCAGTGGTCTCTGGCTTCGAGGAGGATTCTCATTAGTTTAGTTTGGCAGAACGGTGCGGCAGCCGGAAAAGGACCTTGGCTTGCAACCAAAATTTCATCCCGGGCCATCCCAATTAGTTAGAGGCAACCGCATCTGGAGGCTTCTATTCTGTCTTTCGGGCAGCTTGGTTGCCGTGACGACCCTCGTGGCTGGACGGCTAGCTAGAGCTGGCTTTGTTGGGGCGGATGGGCTTGGTTGCCGCAGCAAAAAAGTTGAAAAAGATCACCAAACTACTAGCTATTTTGGTCGGGACTTGCCTGGCCAGCCAGGTCATCGCTCCTTTACATCATGCACATGTTATTGGTAACCAAGCGAAGTGCTAACTATTACCATACTCCCAAGTTTGGCAAGCTGTTGCAACGGCATTTGACAGCCGTTGGGTTTGCAGTGAATCGGAAAGGGCGATGCCATTGACAGCTTGTCGCTCATTAGGTGAATGCTAAGTTTCCCCCTCATTTTTGTTGCAAACCTAGCCTGTGGTTTGCATGATTGAGGTAAAGTCTCTTTCTTGGAGGCAAATTTTGACACGGTCATTGGGTCATCCAGAACACAACCAACAAACGTCAGTCTACCCAGTGTTACGGTTTTCTTTGGTTGATGCCTCTGCATCCAATAGAAATGACACCCTCGCTTCTTGTAAGCCCAGGATAATATCAACGGAGCCTCCTCGTTCCATTCTTCCAGGATCCAATCCAAAGAAAACCAACTTGCTAGCTCTTGGTAGATTCGAATTATCAAGAAGAAGAGGGAGCTACGATAGATCAACCAAGGGCAGCTCGTGTCGGGATCGTAGGTAGCTAGCTAACTATCTTCCGGTAGCATAGCAACCATGGGAGCCATATTTGGCGGCGAGTTCCGCCGTCGCAAACGAAGAAGAAGAAGAGAGCGGGATGCCAACGAGAATGTGGATGTTGGTGCTAGTGTTCACTTTAACCATACCGTACAGAGAGACCAAGACCGGGTCTGTATGGATGCCCATGTGGCCTATTGGAATTACTCGTTGGTCACGGAAGGAGAGCTGTGGGATCCTGGCAAATGGTCCACGACAAGATTAGAGAGGATTCGAGATTTACAGAATCTGTCGACGCCTCAATCGGTGGTGATAGCGTCGCAAGTGATACTGATATGTCTCTACGTGTTGATTTTTCATATCAAATGGGTCAGACGGCGGAGTCGCATAACATTGGGAGGGCAACCATCGTCCGTTCTGGAGGATTCGGGACAAATCATTTCAAGATCATTATCAGAAGACGAGGTATTGGATCCAATCAGTTTCACAGAGTCGCAGGAGACCGGTACTACCGGTACCAGTAGTAGTGGTCTCCAGCAGACTCCAGATTCAACCTCAGAGGATGACTTGCAGATTAGTACCGGTACGAATGTTGTGGCAATGGGGCAGCAACAGCAACAACAACCACAAGAGTATCCCAATTCGTTTACCACTCCAGAACGGTCCAAGGAGGCCCCGCGACTACCGCTGCATCCCTCGCAGCTTCCTCAGGCCCCCAAACAAGAGCACCAACAAGAAGAAGACAAAAGCACCAAAGAGCTTGCACAACAGCTACGTCAACAGCAAGTGCAGTGGAAAAAGTATCAGCAAGATGTGAAGGAAAAGGAGGCTCAGGGGGTTGCCGAAATCCAACGGCTCAAGAGCCAACTCAGAGCCCAGGAAGAGCAGTTACAGCAAAAATACGCCTCCAAGACATCCCAGTACAAGAGTATTGCCAACAAGGTCGAAGCCATCCAAGTCAACATGCAGCGACGAACCACCCAAGCCACGGGTGTCCCGCCCTTGGTGCGTGATTTGAAACAAAAGTTGAGGTCGCTCGAAGATGATCTATTGACGTTTCGTGCCAAGGCACAGGCTCAGGATGTCGATTATGCCACTCAAGTCTATTCCTTGCGGACCGAACTGTCGACGTCGTCGTCCACAACAACAACGACGACGACGACAAAGCAACAGCAGCGATCCCAATACGAAGCATCCATGCCCGAGACCAGTCGACCATCGCCATTGCGGGTGGATTCGTCGTCGAGCAGTCCGGGATGGGGAGGAATTGCCAGTAGTATCATTCGGAGTGCCTTTCGTCCCGTCAAATCGTCCGAAGAAGAAGAACAAGCAGACAACAAGGCGGCATCCGAGAACAAGGGCGGGCTGCAGTACGGGGATTTGGTAAAGGAAGTCCAGTCGCTGACCAAGACGCTGCAAAAACCACAACCCAAGACCGCCGCCAAGGAACCAAACACGACGACGACTTCGACTACTTCTAGTGCTGTCTATCCGCCCAATCAACATTACATCAAGGTGTTGCAGAATCATTTGAAGGAGCGATCCAGTGACTGTGCCCGGTTGGAAGCTCAAATTGCAAGGTTGGAAAAGACGGCAAAAGAGCATGATGCCGAAACAGCCCGACTCAAGGCAAACTTTGAAGCGGAAAAATCCAGTCTGACTTCGCAGCTATCGTCTCTCCAAACTACACGAGATGTTCAGCGTGACAGCCTGGAACGGCATCAGACACTCTGCACATCTCTCAAAGCAGACAATCAGAGACTGACAGATGAACTGGAGGCTCTCAAACAGTCGTCTCCTCAAGACGAAGAGCCTGTCGGTAAATGGGAAACAGAAATGCTGGAATTGAAGCATAAATATCAACGAGACATGGGGTTGCTAAAAAGCGCGTTGATGGTCCAGAGGGAACGCTGTGTCGAGCTTGGCAAGGAAAAGGAAGCCTTGTCAGCGGCCGTGGAACGATCGAGTCAGGAAGTTTCGCGGATGGAAACAAAACAGCAAGAATGGGAAAAGCAAGTAACATCGCTCCAATCAAAATTGGAAGAGAAAGCGACGGAACGCCGTCAAGAGGCTGCTCTTCGAGAACTGGATGTGGCCGCAATGACACAACAGATAGAAGCGCTCCAAGAACAAGTCGCCACTGCCAAAGCAGAGACGAGGCAAGGGCAGGAGTCTGCGTCGCTGCAACGAGTAGAGCTGTTGGATCAGATTGATGAACTCAAAGGCAAACTGAGAGAGACCAAGACTCGACATCGTGAAGAGCTGGAGCTCCAAGAACAGCAGTGCGAGGAAGTGGCTGAAGAAACCGAAGAGACGAACCAGGCGCTGCAAGACTGTGAAGAGTGTCGGGAGGAACTGAAATCCAAATTTCGGGCCAAAGAAGGGGAGTTTATGGCTCAGATTGCTACCTTTCAGACACAGCTCCAAGAAAAAGTCGCCGAACTTGATGAGGTTCGGCAAGAAAACGAGGCTTTGCAAGAGCAGTTTGACACAGCGAGGGACGAGTTGGCAACTCTCAATTCAGCGTATCGAGCCCGAGAGATGCAACACGCTTCGGAACTCCAATCTATACAGCAAAAAGTAAAGGAAAAGTCTATGACACTCCAGACCACGTGTGAAGCAAAGGATAGCATATGCGATGCTTTGTCTGCCAAAGTCGAGGAGTTGACGGCCTCGCTTGAGGAATGTCAAGAGGAATTTGACCACTTCCATGACGAAGCGATGGCAAAAGAAATCGTGCTGTCATCTCGGGTCCATTCCCTGGAGGCGAGACTGCAAGTTAGGACGCAGGAAGAAAGAGATGCACTGACAAGATCGGCAGATCTCACATCACAGGTCGAGCTTTTGCAAAAAGAGACCAGAGAGCAGGCGGAACGATTGGCCCGGATGTCTCAGGATCGAAAGGACGCAGAAGACGCCTTGAAACTGCGTATTGACTTCCTCTCGGGAGAACTTGAAACCAAAGCAGGTCGCTTGCAGGTGTTCGAGGACACCTCGAAGTCACTTCAACAGACATTGGCAGACCGTAACAATGAAATTGCTGGCCTTCGTGCCAAGTTGGAACCAACCGATGATACTGAGACTCGAGTGAAAGAACTGACAGCTCAGGTTTCGTCTTTGCGGGACGAACTTAAAACTATGCACCGATGGCACGTTGAGGAACTTGCGGAAAAAGACGGCATGATCGAAGCTGCTGAGTCCAAGGTTGAGGCTCTCCGCGGAGACAAAGAGGGTCTTGAAACCTCTCTAGCAGAGTTTCGACGAGGTATGGGCAAGCGGATGGGTCTTGTCGAAGAAAGCGACGAAGACACTAGAAACCACGACCTGGACCAGCTGTTGATTCGAAAATTCAACGCTGTGAACGATAAGCTGGAGGCAAATCTAGAGGAAAACCAAAGGCTGCAAAAAACGCTGGAAGATCAAGAGGAAGCTCACCACGAGATTCTGAGGGACACGCAACAACAAGTCGCAGAAGCCCGAGCTACAGTAGAAAGGCAATCCGTGGAACTGATGGAACGAGAGAGGAGCTTTGAAGCCTACTGCATGGAAGCCGATGCCAAAGAACGGAACTATAGTAACCGCGTTCTGTCGTTACAGCAGCAGCTCGAGCAGCAACCTGCACTGACATCGACTCAGCTTTCTGACTGCGATGAACTTTCAGCGATGGTTGATGTCCTGATTCTGCAGTTGAAGACTTCTGAAGAAGAAATAAAGTCGCTCCAAGATCTGTTACGGAGAAAAGATGAACAATTTGCCGCTCTTTCTTCGAAATTGGCATCGTCGGAATTGAAGTCTGAATCGTCGTCATCGTTGCTGCAGCAGCTCGAGAGAGTGCGCCTCGAGGCACAAGAGACGGTGAAGACCAATGCTGCCCTGCAAAACAAGTTGCGCGAAGCCAGATCGGAAGCTTCTGAGTGGCAGTTAAAAGCCACAGCATTGGAAGAAAAGAATGTCACTGATATGAAGAAACGAGATTCCGCGGAACAAGAGCTCGCCGCGCTGAAGGCAAGCAGCGGCGATTCCATGAGACGTCTGCAGAAGGTGGATTGGAGAGTGGCCGCAGTGGAAACCGAAGCATCAAAGCTTAGAAAGGAGAAGGGAGAGATCGAAGCCGAAAAACAGCGACTTGATGATGCGTTGCGCGAGGCTCAGTCTGCTTTGGGTAATGCGAAAGTTTATCTTTCTGAGGCGGAAGAAGACAAGGAATCGGCTTTCAACGAAAAAAGGTCGGTTTTGGCCGAGAATGACAGCATGAAATCGAAGGTGCTGGAAGTCGAAGGTCGACTTAGCGAGGCAACAAGAAGCCTAGAAGCAATGCAGCGCCAGAAGGCACGAGTTGAGGAGTTGGCGGAGGAGAAAGATAGGCAATGTCGGGAGGTCCAGGACAGCTTGAGAGTTCTCAACGAAAAGGTTCTCGACTACAAGGAGCGCGCGTCTTTGGCTGAGAACAGGCTTGCGGAGAAAGCTCAGTCCTTATCGGATATACAGTCCAAGTTGTCTCAGCTTCAAGTAGAAAACGCAAAGTATCAGAAGCAAATTGATGTAGAATCTGGCATTGCCAACGAACAGTGTGCATCGCTGGAGTCTGATGTCAACCTTGCAAGGAAGGAGAAAGCCCAAGCTGAAAATGCTCTCAGCCAGCAGCGACAAGCAATGACGGGACTGGAGTCACAGCTCAAAACTCTAGAGAACTTGCTACAGACGAAAGAACGCATCATTGAATCGTCGCTTGACGAGATCAGTTCACTGAAACAAGAGCTGGCGTCCATTCGAAATTCGGAACGAGAACATCGTGTCTTATCTTCGAAGGTACCGTCGTTGGAAGCGTTTGTTGAGAGGATACCTGCTATGGAAGCAGCCCTGAAGCGCGCCACACAACAAATGCAGGGTGCTGTCGATGCCAAGTATATAGCCGAAAAGTCATTGCGCGACTGCGAGGATGCCCTGTCCCGCAAAGAGAAAGTTGTTCACAGGCTCATGGACGAAAAGAAGGCGCTTGAGAAGGAGTTGAATAGCTTGAAATTGCTGGAACCAAAGCTTCTTGAGGCCAATGAACGCGTTGTTGTTCTCGAGACATTGCTGGAAAAGGCAGAACTAGACACACAGGTGGCGCTCACTGCCAAGACAGAGACTGAAGCAGCATTGAGAGTGTCCGAAGCACGGGTAAAGGAACTTGCAGAGCAGCTGGCGAAGAAAGACTACATTGTTAGCTCGGCGTTGGGGGAGAAGAAAATTCTGACCAGAAATCTGTCCACGCTGAAATCGACCGAGCGAGAACTGCAAGAAGCTAATGTCAAGATTCGTGCCCTGGAAGCGGGAATGGCGAAGCTTCCTATTCTGGAGGCCGATCTGTTGAAGGCCACGCGTCAAAAGGTGGAGGCTGAAACTTCGAGAGCTGAGGTGGAGAAACGGCTTCGCGGACAAATGCAGGATTCAGATGCGCAAGCGCGAACCCTGGAAGATGCCTTAAATCGCAAAGAAAAGGTTGTTCAGAGACTGTTTGCCGAGAAGCAAGTTTTGAACGAGAAACTGATTACTCAAAAGGCGATCGCGGATGACTTGCAAGCGGCCAGGGCGCACATCTCGGAACTCGAAATGACTTTGCAGAGAGTGCAGCTGGAATCGACATCAGCTGCCGCTCAAAATGCGGCGTTGCAAGCTTCGATGGAAGACTCGAAAGAGATCGCAAAGAAGGCCACAAGTGCCAATGGAAGTCTCCGATTACAGTTGAATGAATCTAGACGCCGGGCTAGTGATGTGGAAGTAGCATTGGCGGCGTCTGTTCAAGAAAAGCGAGCTTTGCAGGATAAGGTTGCCACAGTGGAGAGCACTCTACAAGATTTGCAGCGTGAGGTGGAGAGCAAGGCGTCGGAGTTGGGGCTTGCGAACAAGCACAAGTACGAGGAAATCAAGCTAAAGCAAACCCTTGCGACATCACTTCAAGATGCCGAGTCATCCTTGAAGACAGAGCGAGCAAGAATAACGCAGTTAGAGAAAGATAGAAGTCTTGGCATGGAACAAAACCGGTCATTGTCACGAGAGATTTCCGAGCTGCAGAATGCCCTGTTCTTTGCCAAGAAAGCGATCCAAGAGTCCGAAAACCGGGAGGGCCGCACGTCATCAGACCTCGACAAAACAAGAAAAAGGTTGGCGGAGCTTCAAAAGACGTCTACACAGCTCGAAGGGCAGCTCGCCATCACAGAGGCACGTGCTGAGGCAGCCGAAAAAGCCTCCACGAGATGTAACGAGCTAGAGGCTGAATTGGAGGCATCGAAGTCAGAGACGATGATGGCATCTGTGCTCCAAGCAAAGCTAGCAGCAGTGATCGACGAATTGGAAAGCTTGAAAGAGCAAAATCATCAGACAAGCATCGCAAAAGAGAAAATGGAGAAAATCCTGCTTGAGCATGGGTCTGACACGGAGAAGCAACAGTTGAAAATTTCTCGACTGGAGGAGAGTTTCAAATTGAGCGAGAAACGGAGCTCTGATCTTCAGCAAGCTCTTCAAAAATCCAAAATGCTGGCCGATTCATTCCAATCAAAATTTCAGGAAACCAAGGCAGCACAAGAAGCACTAGAAGAGAGATGTGAACGTCTTCGTCAACAGGAGGCACAGAGCAAAGCAACTGTGGACAGCCTGAGGACGGAGAAAGATCAACTCCAAAAGGAAGCAGCGTCAATGACGAAAAGACTTGCAGCTTTGGAAGATGCCAACAAATCTCATCTTGCTACTGCCAGCAAGCTACCACAGATTGAAATGCTACTGAACGAAAGAGATAATGAATTGAAGATGAAGGTGAACGAAGCAGATGCTATGAGGGCTAAGTTGAAAGTTCTCGAAGAAGAAAAACTGTCACACTCCACCGCGAGGACAGTTTTGGAAGCAAGCATGATGGAGCTGAGGGTGACAAACGAGTCTGTTTCCGTCGAATTGGCTGCATGGGAAGAGAAGAACCTGAAGCTATTGCAAGAGATCAACTCTCTCAAAGCAGACTTAGCAACTTCAAATGACCAACTCAAGAGCACAACCAGTCACTTAGGTGCGCTCAAGCAGCTAGAGCCACAGCTGGAAGCAGCTAAGAGGCAGATTGATAGTGGCATCAAGGAAAACAGGGTGCTAGCCAGAGAGCTGGAAGCTAACAGAGCTGCTTCGGCATCTCAAGCAGACACCATATCAGAGCTGAAAGCAGCAAAGAGTGCTTTGTTGATGGAGAAAGATACCATTTCTCAAGACAGTGAACTCCTCAAGACAAGCAATGCAGCCTTAACACAGCAGCTCAAGGATACAACAAATGGGTTGGAAGCTCAAAAGCAGGCCAATTCATCCCTCACTGGTAAGCTGAAATCTTTGCAAAGGCAGAGTGACAATGACCTTCAACTGAAGAACAAGCTAGAAGAAGAACTGGCCACTGCTAGGGCCGTTTGTGATTCGTTGTCAGCAAAGAACTCAAACCTGGAGGATGCCAAGAGGAACCTGCTTGATGAGAAAGACACGCTTGGGAAAGAGAAATCAGCTCTTGAGTCCTCTGAGTCGCAGCTCAAGAAAGGACTTAGTGATGCGAGGATGAGGATTGATGAGCTCGAAGCGGACAGTTCTAGACATCAGAGCTCGCTTGAATCTGCCCAAAAGCGAATCGACAAACTTCTGGGAGCGCATGAGAAGTTGGAAGCTGGTTTGGATGAAGCAAGAACGACCTGTGCCCGCCTTGGTGAGAAAGTATCTGTGCTTGAAGTTGCTAAGCTGTCCCTAGAGGATGAGAGGGAAGAAATGAAAGAGAAGAATGCAAGCCTAGGTGCAACAGTCGTCTCTTTACAAGAGCAGTTGGTTCAAACATCCAACAAGTTAGAGACAAGTCAAGAATCAAAGGAGTTGATGGTCAAACAGCTGGAGGCTGCTCAGCAAGAGAGAGACAACAGCTTCAGAATATCCCAAAAACTGGAGTCTGAGTTGGCTGATGTCAAGGTAGCCAGGGATTCTCTTTCACAGCATATCTCCAAATTGAAATTGGCCAAGGAGGCTGCTGTTCAGGAGAAGTCAACCTTATCTGAGCTACATTCCAATCTCAAGCTGCAATTGTTCACCATGCAAGGTGAACTTGAGCGTGCAAAGTCTCAACTAGAGTCACTTCAAATGTCGAAGCACCTCAAAGAAGAGAATTTAGAGCTTGTCCAGACAGAGAGGGACGACAATCACAGTCGGGTGCAAAGGCTGGAAATTGAGCTGGCCGAGGTCAAGGGAGCTCGCGAATCTATGTCGCAGAAAATATCTGAGCTGAAAGCGGCCAAGGAAGAAAGTATAAGAGAGAAGAAAGTACTCGCTGAGCTCAATGCTAATCTCAAACTGTCAGTTTCTGCCTCGGAAGCAGAGCTTAAAGATGCAAAATCTCAGATGGAATCTTTGCAAATGTCAGAGCTGATGAAGGAATCTGAACTGGTTTCTGTTCAGAAAGCAAGAGATGCCAACATTAGCCTTGTGAAGAAACTTGAAAATGAGCTGGTCGAGGCAAATGTTGCATGTGAATCTCTTTCTCAGCGTGTATCTGACTTGCAAGGGGAAAAGGAAAGTGTTCTTGCTGAGAAAACGACTCTGTCTGAACTTCATGAAAACCTCAAGCTGCATTTGACCACACTGGAAGGAGAAATGGTTGAGGCCAAGTCTCAAATAGGATCACTCCAAATGTCCAAGCAGCTCAAGGAAGAAGAGCTAGATTCACTACGCTTGTCCAAGCAGCTAACAGAATCTGACCTGAAGTCAGCCCGGAAAGAAAGGGAAAGACTGGAAACTGAGTTGAACGAAACAAATGCTTCCTTTGACTCGCTATCATCACAGGTGTCTGCTTTGAAGCAGTCAAAGACATCTGTTCTTGGGGAAAGGGACACTCTGACTCAGCTCAACACTAACCTCAAGGCAGTTGCATCCACTATGGAAGATGAATTGAAGCATGCCAAGTCTCAATTGGAGGCACTGCAAGTCTCAAAGCAGCTCAAAGAAGAGGACTTGGAGTCGGTCCAGAAAGAGAGGTATGATAACCTTAATCTGGTGAGCAGGCTTGAGTCCGAACTGGCCGAAGCCAAGCGAGCATGTGAATTGCTATCGCAGCATGTATCTGAGTTGAAGTCAGCCAAGGAAAGTCTAGCAGGAGAGAAAGAGTCGATGGCTGAGCTCAATGACAATCTGAAACTATCACTCTCAACGATGGAGGATGAGCTGAAGGATGCCAAGTCCCAGATGGAAGCATTGCAAATGTCGAAGCAGTTGAAAGAATCTGACCTTGCTGATCTTCGGAGAGAAAGGGGGGACAACATCAGACTTAGTGAAAGACTGGAATTTGAGTTGAATGAAACAAAGGCTGCCTTTGATTCGCTATCATCACAGGTGTCTGCTTTGAAGCAGTCAAAGACATCTGTTATTGGGGAAAAGGACACTCTGGCTCAACTCAACACTAACCTTAAGGCAGTTGCGTCCACTATGGAAGATGAATTGAAGCATGCCAAGTCTCAATTGGAGTCACTTCAAATGTCAAAGCAGCTCAAAGAAGAGGACTTGGAGTCAATCCAGAAAGAGAGGGATGATAACCTCGATCTGGTGAGCAGGCTTGAGTCCGAACTGGCTGAAGCCAAGGGAACCTGTGAATCTCTATCCCATCATGTATCTGCGCTGAAGTCGGCAAAAACGAGTGTAGCAGGAGAGAAAGAGTCAATGGCTGAGCTCAACGACAATCTCAAACTATCAGTCTCAACCATGGAGGATGAGCTGAAGGATGCCAAGTCTCAGATGGAAGCATTGCAATTGTCAAAGCAGTTGAAAGAATCTGATCTTGCTGATCTTCAGAGAGAAAGGAAAGCCAACATCAGACTTATTGAAAGGCTGGAAGCAGATCTGACTGAAACAAAAACAGCCTTTGACTCCCTGTCCAATCATGTTGTTGCATTGGAAGATTCGAAGGAATCCACCACTGGTGAGAACAAAGAACTTGCGGAGCTCAACGCCAACCTCAAGGCAGTTGCGTCCACTATGGAAGACGAATTGAAGCACGCCAAGTCTCAATTGGAGGCACTGCACATGTCAAAACAGCTCAAAGAAGATGACTTGGAGTCGGTCCAGAGAGAGAGGGATGATAATCTCAGTCTGGTGAAGAGGCTTGAGTCCGAACTGGCTGAAGCCAAGCGAGCATGTGAATCGCTATCCCAGCATGTATCAGAGTTGAAGTCAGCCAAGGAAAGTGTTGCAGGAGAGAAAGAGTTGCTGGCTGAGCTCAATGACAATGTCAAACTATCAGTCTCAATGATGGAGGTTGAGCTCCAGGATGCCAAGTCTCAGATGGAATCCTTGCAAATGTCTAAGCAATTGAAAGAATCTGATCTTGTATCTCTCCAGAAAGAAAGAGAAGAAAACATGAGCCTGATGAATAGACTGGAGGCTGAGCTTGCTGAAACCAAAGCTGCCTTTGATTCGCTTTCGAGCATGGCTTCTGAGCTGGAAAAAGCTGGACAGTCAGCTGTCAGTGACAACGATATTCTATCTCAAGCGTCCCAGGACACCACTGCGTTCACCGCGGAGGAGAAACTGCAGCAAGCTACAAGTCAAGTTCATGCGATGACTATGCTTATTGCTTCCAACGAAGCACAGATGGCAAATTTCCAGCAAGAAAAGCTGAAAGACCAGGAGTTAAAAGCTCGCCTAACACGGGATTTGAAGAACACAAAGTCTGCATGCAACTCACTCTCTCAGAAGGTTTCCTCTTTAAATGCTGCTAGCAAGTCCGTCCTTGCGGAAAAAGAATCCTTGGCAAAGAAAGTGTCTGAACTTGATGATTTGGTTGCTGACAAAGACAAGGAACTGTTGCAGGCTACGAAGGAACAGGACGCCTTAAGGAGGTTGATTGCTTCGCATCAGGAGGCCATGCAGCAAGTTCAGGAAGAAAGGGACCAGACCCTGAATGCAAAGACTAGCTTGGAAGCAACGTTAGCTGAGGAAGTGGCAAAAGTCGAATCTCTTTCACAAGAGGTTGCCGCTGCCGAGGCAAAAAGGAAGTCAGCAGAGGATGAAATTGCCAGGCTTGTTCAAAACATTGCTGGTCTCAAGGATGCAGCTTCGAAGCAGGAAGAACAACTGCAACATGCCTCTGATCTCGTCAAGACTTTCAAGAAACGTGAATCCGTGGCTGGGTTGAATTTGGGCGACAAAGACAAGAGATGTTTGAAGCTAGAAGCGGAGAATTCGGAGCTCAGGGCTCGTACAGAACAGATGAAAAAGGACCTTCTCAAAGCAGAATTGGACATCAAGCGCGTTGAAGATGCGGAGGTGGAAAGAAAGGAGTCTGCCGATGCCAGACAGAGGCTTGAGAACGAATTGAAGGACGCCACTTTGATGACCGAGACAATGAAACATAAGCTTGCAGATCTCGAGGAAGCAAACAAGTCATACTTGGATGCCTTGGCAGGCCAAATGACGGTATCCAACGAGCTTGCGGAGCTGAAAGAGGCACACAGTGTGACGACTGAAGAGTTGTCGTCTGCGAGAAATGATGTTGTCACGTTAGAAGAGCAAGTTAAGCGAGCCCAAGATGAACTCAAGGAAGCGAGTGGTGTGGTGGGGTCTGAAGAATCCAACCATCAACAAGCGACATTGAAGAAGCTTCTGTCGGTGTGCCGGCAGGAGAAGCAACAAGCTATCTCGTCAAGAGATGCATTGAATACCGAACTCTGGGAAGCAAAGTCTAGAGCGAAGGCTCTGGAGGAAAAAGTCATGGATCTTGAAGATGCCAGCAAGCTGTACCTGGACACCCTGGCTAACCACATGAGCGTGTCTCAGGAGATGTCGGAGCTGAAAGAATCCAAAGCGAGCCTTTCGCAGCAGTTGGAAGAAGCACAAGAAAACGTTGCTGCGCTGAAAACCGATCTAGAGTCACAAGCAGCAGCTCTGGAGTCCAAGGCCGCAGAGCTCGTCGAGACCAAGAAGGCTCATCAAGAAACGCTGGGCGAAATCGAGAAGCATTTCAAAGATCTTTCGAACAAAGTCAATATTGTCACAGAAAAGCTGCAACAAAAGGAGTTACAATTAGAGCAAGTTCAGGAAGCTATGAAGGGCAAGGAGGACCAGCAGATTGCACAAATTGAACTCCTATCATTGGAGCTGAAGGAGAAGGAAGCAGTGTGCGCCGACCTCACAACCAGATTGGAAGCAGCTTCGCAACAGCCTCGCTCGATTGAATTTGGCACATTGTCCAGTAGCGCAGAATCGACGCAAAGATCGAAAGACCCGCAAGCGGAACCCGCAGCAACAGAAGAAGACGGACAGTCCCTTCGTACAGAGCTAGAACGGAGCAGGGACCTTGTCTCGAAGCTTCGGGAGGAGCTGAGTCGAAATGAGGTGGAGTTGGCCACAGGAAGTTCGCTTGCTCAACAGCTAGAGAAGAAGATCGTCGAGTGCGGTGGGCTGGTCAACCAAGTGACAGAACTGGAGACATCGCTAGCCAACAAGCAAGAAGAGATGGAGGAGAAGCTGAAAGACATGGACGACATGTCCAGCAAGCTTGAGACGCTTACCCATGAATTGAAACAGCAGCAAGAGCTTCAAGAGAAAGTCAACGAAAGCATGTCGCAGCTTGTGACGCTCGTTGAAGAAAAATCCGCTGAGTGCGAAACCTTGAGCGAAGAAGTCGACACGTTGCACGAGCGTCTCGGCAAGAAGGAAAACATGCAAGCCGAAGCCGAAGCACTGCGAATCAAAGTAGAAATTCTGCAGAGGGAAAAAGACACAGCCAGCGAGTCTTTGGTTGAAGCGCAGGATCGGCTGACTGAAAGTGAGACGCGCTGTGCTAGGCTCGCGGATGAATTGAGCACCCTGAGGGACCAGGTTGTCATCATGGAATCGGAATCCCACGGTGACGAGGATGGCCCGTCAGCTGAGGTTACCCGGCTTAGAACCGAGCTCAATGATCAGGAGCAGCAAGCGGAGAAACTTCGAAGGAATAATATGGAGATGCAAAAGAGGCTTGTAGAAGCTGACAAAATCTGCAGTAGCTTGACTTCCAAGCTTAACGAAGTGACTGGTGATTGTTCCAACTACGCGCAAACCATAGCGCGGCTGCAGGACGAGATCGATGGCAAGCGGCCTCAGTCAACCGACATGGCGTTGCTCCAGGAAGAACTTCGGGTCCACAAGGAGAATTGTGAGAAGCTCAATAAGACGAACAAGGAGCTGGAACAAGTTTTGAAGGAAAACGATGTGGTGTGCAACGATCTGATGGCTCAGATGAAGTCGTTGGAGGACGATTGCCGAAGACGAGCAGAGCAAATATCCGAGCTCGAGTCTACTCTTGGGATGCAGGAGGAAAGGGCGGCCGCGGAAATCGCAAAGCTTAGGAAAGAACTTGTGGAGCAACAGCAGCAACAAGGGCAGATGAATGAAAGTATGGTCGAGATGCTCGCGTTGTGGGAAGAAAAGGAGAGCCAATGTACATCCTTCAAAGAGAAACTTGATGAGTTGACGTCAAAACTTGAAGACCGCGAAGCCCAGATCGCAAGGCTGAAGACTGACGCCAATTTACGAAGGGACGGAAAGCGTCAGGGTGCGCGAGAGGACAGTGAAGGCGTACTGAGCGCGCTGACAGAGAAAGAGGAAGAGGTGACTAGTCTAAGGAAGCAGCTGAAGGAATTATCTGCGGAGCAAAAGAAGAAGGAAGAAGAATGGGGTAAGATTATGGTGTCAAGAAGCGAGGATGAGTGGGAGACACTCAAAGCTCGCAGAAAAGAGGAAATGCTAAAGTCGAACGAAGACGACGCAGCAAGCTACGAACAAGAGAGGAAGTTATCGGATCGGTTGGACACACTCACCAGCAAAATATCGGAAGGTGAAAAACAGCTTGCTGACTTGGAACGAGAGTTCAAGGAGAAGTGGGATGAATCGTCGGTGGATGCGTCAACGAGGTCTTCGAGCAAGAAGGAGAAGAAGAAAAGGGGGATGAGAGCAAAAATTCTGTCACGATTCCGACGGTAATGGAACGTGATTGTGTTTCCCTTCTTGTGGATATTGTGGACTCGCCAGCAAAACTTGGGGAAGCAGGGGTGTAATGCTACTGTCGATAATGCTAATTATTATAGAGTCTGTGCTTTTCTTCTTTATGTTGACGGTGTTAAGCTGGATGTTGAATGACGGTTTGATGAGACCCCACAGTATGGTAGTTCCATACGGAGACTATCACAGGCTGACAGGGACGGGACCAAACCCGCCAAAGGATCCTCGCACGGCATGCCTCCGAGATTGATTGCCCTGCTCATTTCGGTGGTTGCGGCAGACACGAAAGCTGCGATGGCATTTGCCTTGGCATTTGCCTTGGCTTTTGCCCTCTCGTCTTTCGACTGATTTTCGAAGCATGGCAACGGGTGGAAAAGATCCTGTGGTCCACCAGTCTTCCATTCGCCAGAGGGCATTGCCTCTATGGGAAACTATTGGAGAGTTGTATGACTCAACTCTACAAGAGTCTATCCCCAGATCAAGAGCCAACGAGCCAACAGGCTCAATGAGGGCATCGCTGGCTCTCAATTCTTCCCTATCACTCTCTATATTGAGGCAGTCTTCATACAATGCATATTGGGCTCTTATGGCTATTCATTTCACTCAAGGATCCTCGTGCTAAAGATGTCATCATGGCTGATACTATTGAATGTAGATTGACTGCAGATTCCCTTCCTCACCAAGTGTCCTAGAACGCTTGCCTCGGGCAATCTGTTGGTTATATTTGCGTGCCTTACCTTGAACTAACTACCAGTCTCTATCAGGATTGCCTCCTCGTGACACAGCTGAACTTTCCCCCTCCTCAAGATTGCAGAGAACAGTCACTGCATCAGTCCTCTCCGAGCCCAACACAGATACAAACAGAACGGAAGCCTCGTCCGAAGCCACTGTGCACGATTCTTCAGACCAAGCTCCTGCACTTTGGCAGTCGGCGGTTGTCTCGTTGACCCCAATCATGGCTCTTTCGCCGAGATTCACAAACAGATCAATGTCTCCATTGTCGGCGTCAGCACTGCAAGCGGTCACGGATCCGGCTGGGACTTGCACATGGAAAGTTTGCACTTCCCACTGACTAAGATCAAATGGGTCAGACCCGAAACCTAACGTAAGCTCCAAATTCTCTGCTGTGATCATGCTGTTGTTGTGCTCTGCCAACAGTGAACATTTTACGTTGATGTCGTCCACAGCTTCATCGAGCGAAACCACAGCCACGAACATTCTGGTGGTCGTGTTCCCGTCGGTATCATAAGGACTAACGAGTGCTTCGACAGTGCATGGAGTGTTTGTAAGGGATGTGCTGCAATTGTATGCTTCTTCTTGCGGAGAGAGGGCATTCACGGTACCGGAAGGCACTTCCCCTACCGTCATGTACAAAACAGTCGAGTTTGTGGGTGCAGATCCTTGACACTCCACGACACCACCTTTCGGTGTGTGAATGTAGAATGTCTGACTTTCACGTGGGATCAGGGAGAAAGCATCTGAAGCCACTCCATCGACCAGAGGAATGGCTTCCCTGTTCGCGGTTCCAATGCGACATGTGACCTCGACGTTCGCCGCTGGTCCCTCTGCCGACGATGCTGCGAAGAGCCAGGCTGTGGTGGCACTGCCCGTCATGTCAAAGCGACACTTTGATGTCATGGATTCCCGATCGAACAGGCATGTTGAGTAGGCATCTTCATGGTTGATGCGGGCTCCCTGAAGGCTAGGATTCTGATCTTCCCCCGTCCAATAGTACAAGGAATGGACCTCTTCAGCCGTGGCCTCGCAAGCTACCGATGCATTTCCAGGAACCTCGAGAGAATAAGTTTGAGTCGCATGGATGAACGCAAAGACGTCGTCCTTTTCTGCCGGGTCTGTTAGGTAGTTTCCAGTGTGTGTAAGGGCGGAGGGGTGCAACGCTGATGTCAAGTTGACGGCCGGATACGACAATTCTCCATCGAGTAGCTCAATGGTAGCAGCCTGAGTTTCCACATGACACGTCAAGGTAATGTTGTCTGCGGTCCCAAAAAACTGATCGACAGTGGCGTAGAGCATGGTCGATTCATACATGGAGCTGTAGACGAAACAGCGGGGCAGTTCCCCCATCAAAAGTCCCATGGTGCCCGAGTCGCAATCATAGATGCTACGGCCCAAGTGAGGAAGCGATTCCAGGCGCAAGAAGAGTTTGAGGAAATTAGAGTCGATATCTTCCCCTTCCACAACTGGAGACAACTCGCAAAAGGCAATGGAACGAGGTTCCAAAACCAACGCGAAAGCATGTGGCCCATCAGCGGTGATAAAAGGCTCAGATGGGACGTTCCTTTCAAGAATCTCAATTCTCCTTTCAGCGCACATGACGGTAATGTCCGCGCTATCTTGCACCGCCCGGACCGAAACAGCCAACAAGGCAGTGGCTTCTGACACATCCACCACGCACTCCTCCTCTGCAGATCCCGGATTGTTTCCATTACAAGTCACGCCCACACCTCCCTGGTTATTGATAGTCTCCACCTTCAAGTCAGTGTTCCCCTCCCCTGTCACTGTACAAACTACCGAGTCCCCTTGAAATCCTGCCATGTCAACGAGGAAGGATCTGCTGTCGCCGGTAGCCAAGGTAAACGCGCCAGTTGGGACATTGATTTCCAACTCTTTGTGAGCTATACTGTTGCACACCAGAACAAGCCCTTCAATATCCGAGTAGGACAACAACTCCACTCCCACCGTGGTGTTGGAAGTGACATCGTAGATTCCCAAGTGACAACCTTCTGTGGCATCTTCCGAGACGTCGTTGCATTGTCGTCCAGTGTCACGTTCCCCAACGTGAACTTTCAGGTCGACATCACCACCATTAGCAGTAGTTGTCGTTGTGGTGCATTCAATAACTGCCGGAACACTCTCGAAATCTTGTTCCAAGGTCCAACTGTAGATATGGTTGCTGGTAACATTCAATGGAAATACCGAGACTCCAGGAGTGAGCTCGCCCATCATGATGACAGGGAACTTCTGAAGCCCTCGTAGAGCAGCATGCGGCTTGTCCGCGATGGCGGCAACAGCGCCCCCAAGCTGGAGAGCTAGTAGGAGAGGCAAATAAGCAAGTCTCATGGTCTTTCTTGTGGACAAAACAACGTTCGAAAACAAAGTTAGAAAACAAATTAGAAAACCAGGAACTTGATTTTGTGAGGGCTCATTTCTTGGAGGGATCTTTCGCAGCCACGGGGAACAAAATTTTGGCGGAAGGCTGCGGTACAGTCGTAGTTTAGTTTTGGCCACTCCGATGTTCCTCCGTGCTTCCTACCGTACGGTATCCTACTACTAGCTAGAACCGGCATATCCAGTGAAGCACAGCTTCGTATCCTAATCACAAGCAGAATGGTAGAGGTATCTTGACAATATCAATGGTTGCCCACTCAGGCTGTCTAGCTAGCGAGTTGTGATGCGGAAGCCCAAGGGCGAATTACGGGACCATGCGGAAGAGTAGGATGGGCAAAAGGCTTCGTTACAGATGTCAAAATCAATTGCAGCCTGGCAATAGTTAGCTAGACTACAGTCCATGTCCATAAGTACCGGTAGTTTTCAAAGCAAAAACCAAGCTAGGGCTCTGACTGCCGGCGAAAGGCCAGGTGCATGGGGCCACTACGTTGCTTCTTTTCTGCGATGGCGGCCTTGGAAACCCCCCGCATAGTAGTACTCCCAGTCTTCTTTTTATGTCATTCGGCGCCAGCTTCCGCCACAACCGTGGCCCATCATCCAGCCAGCTAGATTCGATTCTTGGCCGTGGCCACCGGCACCGCAAAGTAGAGCAAACAAACCCACTCCAGTGCTTTGTCGTCTTTGTTTTGTTTGTCCTTACATGTCGAAACAGACACATCCATGCCAACAGTCAGACCAACAAAACCATCGAGAGCACGCAAGGAGTTCGAGCACTGCCCCACACCCACCACAACACGGTTGCAGGAAGGATATGCAAGCTGCCACTTCATCGACTTCGTCCTCGTCTTCGGATCCACACAAAAGAGAGCATGCTGGATTAGACGGCGGATCCTCTTCGCTTGCTGTTATCGACATGCTCGTATGTAGCTAGCTAGGTAGGTAGCTACGGTAGGATAGAGTGTTGTTGATCCTGCTGTTGTGTGGTGGAATAATAAATACAAAATAGATAGTGTGACCTTCAGTTGTCACGTTGTCACGTTGTCCCCCATGGTCTCATCGTCGTCGCTGTTTTTGCTTCTCGGAACCATCCCAGACACAACAAACGAATCCCGGATTGATTCAATCTAACGGACGTCAAAGCTTCGGTGTTTTTCTCAGCTCTGATGCTTTGTAGTTGTGATGACAGCTCACCCCCACTTTCGAAGAAGCCACAAACTGTCACAAAACGAGTGAAACAAACAAAAAAGTGCCTTCCCTTGATCAATCGAAGCACTTTTTCCTGGACTGACTCCTATTAGTTTTCTTGATCTCACCATGACATCTAACAAACGCGACGATCTTCCTCCTGCCGAAGGAGAAAGTGAGCCCAAACGTATTCGAGCGGACGATGAAGAGAAGCAAGAAACCAAGAAGGAAGAAGCTCCACGAAGGCGCCGTGATTGGCTCTCGTATTCGGGTCGACGACAACCAAGAGTGGGTGACGAATTCCAGGCTACGACGTTGCCCAAGGTGGCAGACTCTACTACCAATGAGGCGCCGGAAGCAGCAAATAATAATGAAGAAGGAGCAACAATCAGCAATGATGGATCCAAGGAAGAAGAGGACCCCACTTCTTCTACTGCTTAGATGGGATTGGTGCAAGAAGGAGCTGCTGATGAAGAACGTTTGGGACCAACAATCTGGTGCCTTGTCGAAAATTCGCAGTTATATTGAAACGACCTACTGGCAAGGACCCAGACAAAGTGGAAGAATCAACCTACTACTTTTCCATGAGACTGGCAGGCAAGATATAGACGTCAGTATAAAATAATCTTTATAGTCTTTTTATTGAATAGAGACCCGAACATAGATGCAATCATCGACCCTATCAAAATCCCCGTTTTCCAGAGGGCCGATGATACACCACGAATCTGCCACTCCCCAACTCTATTCTCGGTCCACGCCCAGAGGCATCATCTTCAATACCAGATTTTGTCCTGCAAAGCACAAACCACAAAAGGAACCACTGGCTGCTGCTCTGGTAGAATGTTCCAGATCATCGGCGACGCTTCTTTTTGGATTTCTTTTTCTCTTTTTTCATCCGCTCCCGAAAAGAACGTTCGTGCATCTCCTTTCTCTTTTTCATCCTTTCACGTTGCTGTCTCTTTTTCATCATTTCAGGTATAGACTCAGTATCGTCGTCGTCGTCGTTCTCGTCGGCGTCGTCACTAGAAGCGTTACCACCCTGAGGAGGGACAACGGGCCCAGCAGCCCGCAAATCGGCCAAGAGGCTAGCACACCGTCCCAGCGGAGGTTTCTTTTGGCTGGAGGTAGGCACAGAAAACAGTACCTCTGGATTCTCCTCCTCCTCCTGCTCCTCCTCACCAAAGTTGACATTGCTACCAGGTGGCAACAAAAGATGCTTGTATCTTCGAGCCAAGACACGGAGGAGTTTCTCCGTGGTGCAGCTGGGTTTCACATAGATCACCGTGCGTTTGCTAGTATTGGGCAAGAGGAAACGAACCGGAAAGGGATCTGCGGCGCCCTCCAATTCTTCAAAGTCGTTGCGACCCGAAGAATCGTGAAACATACCACCTCGAAGTCTCAGGACCAGATGTACGGTACTGTTGGGTTGGATATTGTAGTCGCTCAAGGTTCGGCCATCGTCCAACACCTTTCCAGCAAAGTAGAGACGCTGCTGATCTTCAGGGACCCACTCTACTTCCTTGATCTTGGTCTTGATGTTGCCAACGGTGTAAGATGAGTGGACTCGCAGAGTGAATGTCTTACCCACCAGAGTCTTGATGTACAGCGGGAATCCTTTTGGCAGAGTACATGTCAGAACTGGCCCCGACAAGTTAATGTCGGATAAGTTGACACCCTTGCATTTCTCCTTCCAGCCATCGTCGTCGCGACGGATATGAAAGCAGTCGCCATTGGAGGAGCGCAGCTCCAAGGTACCCTTGTTCTCTTCTTCCCAGAGATTGGGGCATGACTCTTTCATCTTGTGGGTCAGCGAGTTGAGTTGAGTTAGTTGGTGAGATCAAGAGAGAAAAACTGAGCAAAAATCCCCAGACTGTGATTATCTTACCGCAGAAACTAGCGTCAGGAGGTAATCATCGCCCAGCGGGACAATGATCTCGCCTTGGTTTGGTTGATCACCCTCTTCGTCGCCAGTAGTGGTATTCTCCTGGTTCTTTTCCCCAGTGTATTCTTTGTAGGCATCCATTTGACCCATCAGAACAAAGACAATGGTCTGGTCGTTGGAAGCCTCCAAACGAACTGCCAAGATTGCGGGGCACGTCACAAGGTCAATTCCTCTAAGAATGTTGTAGGGTGTTAATGGGCGGGATACGTATTCAATAGTACGCTTGTCCGGATGGGTCTCAGCTGCATTTTCGCGGTCGCGTTCTCCTTTCAATCGAGCCAAGGTAAACATGCCAAGGTCGTTGTCGTTATTTTCCATGTTGCGAAGCAGCATAATGGTATCATTCTTTTGGATTCCCGCCAATTCGAAGGCTCCTTCTTCGCCGACATGTTCGGTCGTGATGGGCAGCGTTTGTTGTAAGAATCGGCTGGGCTTGAAGAGACACAGGTTCTTGGAAGGACCTAGGATCTGCTTGGTGTAGAGATTATTGTGCATCTGACGTCGGGTTTTACGCAGCAAATGACACAAAGTCAAACCTTTGGTGACAGGAAAGGAAAACTTCAAAAATGATACATGACTGCTTTGCTTGCCATGGCGCTTGTCAGAAGCCGCTTCCCTGGGCTTGACTATCGAGACTTTGATCTCTTGCGGTGGTTGCTCGCGTGTTTCCATGGTGGATTGATTGACTTGATGATGCTCTCTATGGCTGTTGTGTTGAGCGTTCAGGTCTGGGGTGGATCTTCTTGGTCTACAAAGCAGCAGAGCAGATCTTTTTAAACCGTTATTTCCACGTCCTGTCATTGGCTTTCCACAGCAACCTGTTGGTCCGGCACTGACCCGACAACTACTGAGTTTGTGAAGCCCTCAGATTACGAAGAATGGGACTATTGGGTGTTTTGCATTGGGCCAGCTAGACTAGCTACTAGAGTCCTGATGAGCAGCACAAAAAGTCATCAGGGCCTGGATCACTGGAACTTGAAAGGGCCAAGCAAAGAGTACCTTACCGTAGTACCGAAGTGTTGCAGAAGATCTTTTCTGCCAGGGAATGAACTTCTGACAGTAATTTACTTAGTTACGTGCAAATAAGTAACATTTTGCTATGGCATGATTGACTGAAATTCCTTTCTTTTCGGAAGATGTCTCATCACAAAAATGGGAGGAACTTGTTGTGTACCGTAAAAGTATATCCCTGAACTGAGAGAAATACTGAGAGCCTGTACCTGTGGTAGCCATCCTACAGGAGGTATCCTTCCTATCGATCGAGGTATACCGACACCTGGTGTATGCAAGGTCGATCGTTAATACCAGTGTCGACCTAGTGAAGGTCACGTCCTCCATCACAAGAAAAATGAGGCTCGCACCTCTACTACTCACTGTTAAGATATACGAACGCACCTCCACCTCTCCGTTCGTTCGTTCGAAAAGCACAAGTCCACGAAAAGCACAAGTCCAACATGAAAACGAAAAAGATCAAGTCCATGTAACAAACTCACTATAAGGCATGGCTACCATGCTGATTAAACTAAGGTCAACTTTACTGAGCACGAACAACACAAAGATCCTCATGCAGACTGCCCATAATGGTGTCCTGCTTGATGGCAGCAGTAATATTCAAAACACTTCCTTTGTAATGCTCCTCAATCTTGGAGATGACCCAAGCTGGTGCTTTCTGAGCATTGACAAGTGTAGCCATGAGAGTCCAGAGTGGCTTCCTCCTGGAGTAGGTTGACTTGCAAGCCCTGATATCTTCAGCAGTGAAGTTCTTGGCTGGCTTGTTGCCACCAATACCATGCATCCACTCTTGCCAAGCAGAGCCAACAGTTCTGTACTTGGCTAGCTTGGCAGGCCTACTATCAGCAGGGGTGGTGGCCACAGCTTGTCTGTACCTGAGGCTAGTCTGGCCATTCCGGCGAGTCCTTTCCACAGTCAACTGCACTACGCTAAAAGCTAGTGTAAAGATCTTTCGAGTGTTTTGAGTTTGAGAGAATGAATGTTATGAGAGAGATTAGAAAGCTATGAAAACTAATCGACGAGAGAGATCATCATCAAAGGATCGTAGATCTGGCTTCCCGCGGGAGACTATATATAAAGTGTGATAGTAGGTTGTGGTAGTAATCCTACGTCTCTCCACGATCCTAAAACGGAACGCGTGGAAGGTTTGTCTAGCCTGGATCTAGTAGCGTGGAAGTACTCCACGCTGGCTAATATCTAGAGCGATGTTTCATCATCAACCTAGTATGACTAGCGCGGTCATTGAGAACCCTGTCTCAAATGACTATTCACGAGAGACTCGGTCATGAGTCGAACTCAAACCTATCTAGGATCGAGTCGCGAATAAGGCTAAGAGCCGTGTATTGCATTCGCCCCCTGACAAGGGTCACAGAAGGCGCGACAGCAGTCGGACAAGGAGAACATATGATTTAAAGTGCGGGGCACTCTCGTGAGATTTGGATGTAGACATGTGCGTCGCACGATGGCAATCCTACAAGGGGATCAGGCCTTGTATGGGTGTATATACCTTATGTTCCAAGTCTGGTAGACTGTGCCGCGTTGGCGGTAGATGTTGGAGCCGTACAGTTCATTGTCATTGACTCGGTCTATGGTGTAAGGACCTTTGTACTTTTGCTGACCGTACTTGCGGTGCTGATACTGTTGAATCATCACATATCGTTGACATTGTATTGATGAGGGACACGGGTTGCGTTTTCCCTATCGTTGTTTTGTTGGATTAGTCGTTGGCAACGTTCCTTAATGTACTTCCAGTTGGCTTCGAACCGGACATTGTGAATCGCGTCACGATTGAACACGAGCTGTGCGGGCGTTGCACCAAGGTGGTATGAATCGTTGCATTCATTGCAAAGCCAACCGCCGTGAGGACTCCATCCCAGGATCCATTCACGAGGTCGTCTTGGCACTTGATGTTTTAACAGCGATCAATTACGTATTGGTTTGATGAGCACGCTCGACCATAGAGTTGGCTTGAGGGTTACGCGTGGTGATGAACTTGCGACGAAGTCCATATTCATCCCGGAGTGTCTTTTCGACCTCTGGCGGAACTCACGTCCTCTATCCATGATAACCTCAGCAGGCCATGGATACCGAGTAAGCAGTTTGTTCTAGGACGATGGCTACTTCGTCTGCTGCCTTGGAGCAGATCTCTGCAATCTCGAACCATCCGGTTACGGATCAATCATTGTCAAGCAATGAAGTGTGCAGGAATTCTTTTTCTTGGGATCCCCGACGTTGTAAGGGCCTATCAGGTCAATACATAGTCTTTCCCAAGGGATCTCCTCGCAAGTCTTTGGAGGCATCAATCCCAGCTTACGCGTCTTGGGTTTGTTCATCTGGCAGCTTTGGCAACGCTGACATACGGCTTGCACAGTCCTGCGCAGCCCTTTCCAGTAGGTGGTTAGTTCGTGCGAGTCTCGCCAGGATGCATCAGCACACCATGGTACCATTCAACTAGCTTCTTCTGCATAGTTTTAGGTACGACGATTTTCTCGTCCTTAACTACTAAGTCGTAGACTTACCCCTCTGGGGAAAGATTGCTTCTTGTAGTCGTTTGGCTTGCCCTGAGGAGCTTCTTGATATCGTTGTCGTCTTTCTGACGATGTTCGATCTCGGGGAACGAGAGAGGGAACTCGCTAGGGAAGTCCTCTTCGTCTGCAGCCATGAGTTCAGCGATCTCGCTGGCGTCCATCTGTTCTGAAGAACCGTCGTTGTTGGAGATGTTAAGTCTCGACAACGCATCAGCGACGATGTTCTGTTCGCCCTTGATGTACCGTAGTTCAGGGCCGTATTCTCCAGAATAAGGCGCCATCGCATTACGCGATCGGTATTGAAGTTCTTACATGTAAGATTCTTGTGGTCCGTATGTACAACGATCTTCTGTCCTAGAAGAATGTTACGGAACTCTTTAGAGTTTCTACGATACTGAGAAGTTCCTTCTCGGTAACTGTGTAACGTGTCTGAGCAGGGTTGAGCTTCCTGCTTAGAACGCGATAGGTTTTCCCTTCTGGGAAATTACCGCACCTAGTTGAGTATCACTCGCATCCGTGTGGATAACGAATGTATCGTTGAAGTCAGGGTAGGCGAGCAAGGTTTCTTTGCTGATGATCTTCTTCATCTTGGCTAAAGCCTTGTCGTGTTCGGCTCCCATTTCCACTTCGTTGTTTTGGAATCAACGAAGCGAGTGGGGCCAGTACATGTGATCGTCTAATCCACATGTCTCGATAGTAGTTCACTAGTCCAATGAATCTACGGAGTTCCTTCCTGTTGTAGGAGGAGCGATATTCTTGATCGCGTCTATTTTCTTGGTTATAGGTTGGATCCCTTCTCGAGTGATCCAGTACCTAGGTACTCAAGTTCTCCTCTTGCGAAGAAGGACTTGGTAGCATTGATCTTGGTCCGGCTTCTCGAAGCCTTCGGAGAACTTCATCCAACTTTTCAACGTGATCTGCTAGATCGCCGTTAGTTAGGATGAGTAGATCATCAATGTATGCACGGACGTATTCTAGGTCGTGCATAGTGTTCCCATCTTCTCTTGGAAGATGTCGGGACTATTCATAGGCCCATTGGCAACCTCTGGTACTCGTACTTTCCCCACGGGAGTACGATGGTACAGAGTTGCTTCGAGTGAGGTGACAGCTCGATGTGATAGTATCCATGTTCAGGTCTAGACTAGTAGCGTACTTGAATCCGTCTGATTCAAGAGCATGTCTGTATTTTTGGGATAGGATAAGGCTTCCGCTTAATCCTTTTGTTCAGTCCCGGAAATCAGAGATAATCATACAGATCCTCTTTGGGAATGAAAAGTTGGTGCGCCCATCGGAACGGTTTACTTCTTAGTACTCCTGCTCGCAGAGACGTTCAACCTCCATCTTAAGAGTGTTGTATGGACCCGTGGAATAGGGTAAGCCCTTGCATGATAGGGTTTAGCATCAGGGAGAAGTTCTACTTCGTAGTCGTCCATCTGCCACTTTCCCAAAGTACCATGAATAGCTTTTCAAGGGAAGCCAAAACCGAAGCGCTTCCCTCTGGATCTGTCACTACAAGAACAACAACCTAATAGCAACACAACCAATTGGTCATACCTATACCATTACACTACCTATTAGCACCATTGAAGCATTGAAACGAAGCGAAAGGACCTCAGGAAGCTTGTTATCCGTTATTTCGTTGAAGAGTACTGTTTTACTATAGGAATTCACTCAACGTCATCACGGAAAACATCCAATCCCTTTTTCCTCTCTTTACAACTATTCAAGCCGAAAGGATCGATACCTCCTATCTCCTATCAGGCGCACCTCCTCTATCAAGAGACTATCAACGCGGCGTTCTCCGGTCCAGATTAGAAGCTATCCCAATTGAAATCCTACGAGATCTGGGCGGGTTTTCTATTCTCGACCTGCCGACGGCCAAGTGTAAGAAATTGAAAAACAAGAAGAAGTCTCCGTTCTTCTGCAGTACCAGACGAGCAGAGAAACACATACTCATTTGTTACTTGCTGTTCTCTCTCTGCCGACGGCCCAAGAAATCCCATTGTCACCTTTTTCGTAGATCGAACGATTCATCATTCCGCAACAACCATAGGATCGGTTAACCTACCACCTAAGGCAACTGATTAATCCGAATCGCGAATCCGAATCGAATCGAATTATCGATTCGAATCC